ATTCAGTGTGTACCACATTTTTGATGTTATTTCTTCATAGATAGAAAAAATATTACAGTCATTCCTTAAATAAACCATGAAAAAACGTTGATGACGTCACGGTCACAAGACAAAATTATGTCTATGAGCTGATAAACAAAACAACGTCAGCCAATCAGAAGACGCGTTACATCCAAAATTAAATTATTATGATATAAACATCAACAACAACAAACGCACAGAAACAAGTAATTATTTGAAATGAATGATACCATACAAAAGAATGCCGGTGTTACTGATAGCATTGCCAAGCTCAAAGGGCTAATCTGATATCAAACCATACTGTCATGCATTCTGACATTCACCTTATCGCTATTTGTCCGCCTTTACTGGACATCAAAAGTTCCCGTAAAATTTTGACGTCATAATAGAAAATATCTGACGCCACAATGGAAAAGTGATTGTTGTATGACGTCAAAAGTTCAAGCGGGACAGATTCTCGGGTCAAGCGGGAATATTGATAAGGTGTATTAGCGGCTGTATCATACTGTAAAGATATTACGTTCATCATTAAAAATCTAAATTGATCTCAAGTTATACTGAAATGTTCATGAATTAAGAGTATTATTTCTCGTAAGATTTGTTGTGAAATGAGTCGCTGAAGTGTAACTGCAAACACGAGCATTACGAACAAACTGAAAAGGGGAATTTCATAAGAAGGGGAAAAATTAGAATGGGGAAGGAAAGTCGAACGGTATGGGCATGTCCATAAAATACTAACTGATTTATTTTCGTTATAGAACGTGTTTGATCCTTTGCCGAGACTGCGGAGTAATCGCAATTCATAGTGTTCCCTAAACAGTGGTTGCTTAACTATTCTCCCACATTGATATTGAAAATAAATTTGATAATCTCACTTTATGTGCCCTCGATGTTATTATTTGATAAAAAAAATGTTCCTTTTACATTATTTAACAAATGTGATCATGGTCATGTTAATACTAATTACTTTATATCTAATAAATTAAAATAAAATTTTAACTTAAATTGATAATCTGGATGTTTATCTAACAAAATGACGATATTTAAAGTCATCATGAAACTTCAATTTAAAAAAAAATGATGCATATGTTTTTTATAACTAAATGGCTAGTTTTTATTGTACATATACTTTGTTCTCAAAATAATTCTTTAATTTGTCCAAATTTAGAAGAAATTAACTTTTTTGACCTATTGGCTTCCCAGACAATAATTCGCCGACATGTTTTTCCGTATGCAGTGACCTCAGCGTGACCCTTCTCATAAAAATCCGGTGATCGCAATACGCATCGCTCCGTCATCGAAATAAACTATATCTTATTGTACATGTTATAGGTGGCACGGTAGTATTTACATTCCGGAATTTAGGTTGCTCTTTTGTGTACCCTACTTAAGTCAATGTATCTAAACAGTGTGATTGGACAAAACATACAGTATCTACTGATCATACTTTTCCAAACTGAGGGATGAATCAGGTGTAGAAAAATATGAAATAATTTTACATGCAGGTGAAAATGAATTTTTGAGAATTTTTTTAAATTTTGTATTCACTGCTTGATAAAAGACCTAAAAGCACTAGTGGCCTTAGGTTTATAAAGATAGCAAAAAAAGTAAACGGTCATGGCACATATTCAAATTCATTTCTGAATATTATAATGAAAGTACTTCAGTTAACTGTGTATGTAGAATTTTGAGCAGTGTTAGAAAGTGGTGAAAATTCTAAAAAGGCTATCATTATCCCTATGGGCCAGGAAATACTACCGTGCCCCCTATACACGCGTGCTTACCTCAATATCCATGCTTCTTTGTTGCTTGTTTACTAAGGTGACAATCGGTCAACTTCGGCTTCAAAACACGACAATTAATTAGCTGCCATATTTTCACATCAAAACAGACCGGGTGAAATATTTTTTTTGACGATTATACGATATGGATGCATAAAAAATGATAAAATCGTGCACAGAAGATTAAGTTTATGATGTATACATGCAATGGTTTAAGAATTGGACTAACATTATTTTTCACCAGTCACTCGTTTCATATGACTTTAACTTTTATAAAAGGTAAAAGATATCCGCTTGTACGACTTTGCCCCCAGCAGAGCTATAGAAAAAAAAAAATTACATTAACGGGTGTTACACGGAAACTTTTTAGATGATACACGGACACTTTTCAGTTGTTACACGGACACTTTTTATGAAGAGAATCACTCGTGCATGATCACTGAGTTTATAGGCACTTTAGATTTGAAATTTTTGTTTCACCGACATATTTCCTGTCTTTTTTATTAATATTAACGTTGGCATCAATAACTATATTTGTTTCAAACAATTCCAGTATATTACTATTTATATAGGTACACTAAGGGATTGACAATTTAATTTCAGAAGGGGGGTTATGGTTTTTTACGGAAGCGTATTAGCGCCTCACAACTTTTTTTTTTATATTTCTTCCTACGTATATCGCAAACCTTTGCGAAATAACGCAAACCTTTTGCGTTATAACGCAAACATTTGCGAAATAACGCAAACATTTGCGTTATTACGCAAACCTTTGCGTTATAACGCAAACCTTTTTCGTTATAACGCAAACATTTGCGATATAACGCAAACCTTTGCGACATAACGCAAACCTTTGCGTTATAACGCAAACCTTTGCGAAATAACGCAAACATTTGCGTTATAACGCAAACCTTTGCGATATAACGCAAACATTTGTTATATCTTATTTCTTATTTAAGATTCAAAGGAAGGGACAGTTATTAATGGAGGAGGCTGCATATATTAAAATTTATCTTCTTTGTACTCATTGCAAAATAAAATGCTTTTAGACTATTTAACTAATAATGAGCAGGATAATAGATATAAGAAGATGTGGTATGAGTGCCGATGAGAAAATTCTCCATCTAAGTTATAATTGGTAAAAGTAAACCATTATATGTCAAAGTACGGTCTTCAACACGGAGTATAGACTCACACCGAACATCAAGCTATAAAGTGCCCCCCCAAAATGATATACATGATAATACCTGTACATATATTACAATGAAAATTGAGTTAATTAAAGTTATACCGAAGAAAAAAAAACCAACCCTGCTAATATAGCTATAGCCGAATGTAAATATACTTCCAAAGTAAGCTCTCGTTTGAGGATTGTGTAAGGTTGGTTAACTACCCTTTTGCAATAAATGAATAAAATGAAGATGTTTTATTAATAAAATTATGTTCTCTTCATTTAAATTGCTACCAAGTTACCACACTAGATTGAAAATTTCATGACTTTTTATGAAAGAATCTTTATCATATTCTGAGATTTTAAAAAACGATTTCTTACATCAAAATTAAAAAAGAAAAAAATCTTTCTTAATAATTCATTTGACAGCAGAAAGATCATTTTGTCTATTTGACTTGACAGTATTACAATTGTATGACATTATTTTTGCTCGTACTTATCTACTTAATCAAAATTTTAAAAATGTTGGCCTTTCAAATAAAATATCCCATTTCTATTTCTTATTAAATTATATACTTTTCTGATTCCTATGCATATTTATTATAATGACTTTGCCTTGTATTTATGGTTCTTTTCCGGACTAAATCACAACAGAAATTTAATGACAGACGGACATATATACAAAACTTAATGAATAATTGAAATCAAGATGTTTGCGTTATAACGCAAAGGTTTGCGTTATTTCGCAAATGTTTGCGTTATATCGCAAATGTTTGCGTTATAACGCAAAGGTTTGTCTATTTGCGTTATATTGCAAATGTTTCCGTTATAACGCAAAGGTGTTATATCGCAAAGATAGGCAGAAAATTTAAAAAAAAATTGTGTGGCGCTAATACGCTTCCGTAGTTTTTTTCCTAAAAAAATATTCTGATCCCCAATTCTTGGAGAAAAAAAATATATTGTGGTCAAGCAGATGACAAAATAATGTTCTGATTCCTGATTTTCCGAATACCGTATATAAAAGTGCTAATTTCGAAAAAATATATTTTGGTGATAGCGTTGAAAAACTAAATAATTTTCTTACTCAGAGAAAACCATACCCCTCTTTTGAAGCTAAATGGTCGGTCCGTAAATGTATTTTGTTTCACGAACCGCACATTTACATTTATGAAAAAAGACCACAATGAGTGGTCTGCCTTGTATTTCAGGGGTTCAAAATAGTATAATTTGGGGACAAACAAAACATGTACTTATAAAAACCTGACTTAGCAAGGACTATATACTTTGGGCGTATACAAATTATGTATTTAGAAACCAAAACAATATGCAGACGGATGACGTCCGTCCGTCCGTCCGTCCGTCCATCCATCCATCCATCCATCCATCCATCCATCCAGACAGACAGACAGACAGACAGACTGCTCTTGACTTTTTCGGGAATTATAAGAAAAAGATTTGTTTATTGTTCCATGTAACACATTGTACATAGACTGCTCATGACTTTTTTTCGGGAATTATAAGAAAAAGATTTGGTTATTGTTCCATCTAACATATTGTACATATCCAACTATACAAATAGTTCCTGTAATGATAACAAATTGTCGTTGCATTTGGTCACACAGTTATGAGTTAATTGATTAAATTTAGCTAAAGCCTATACATATATAGTCAATTAGTTGTCGTTGTAAACATACAAAAGACTATGCATCTATCCCTAGGGAAAACATGTTTCGTCATTGCAGTAGACCTATATACCCCATGCAGAATTACCAACGAATATGATTTTAGTTTGTGTCGAAGTTATGATAAAAAGTTAAGTTCTTTTGTCTAAACGATTAAGAATATGACTTATGTCGTAGAATAAACTTAGCCGCACATTTGTCTTGAGACAGAGAAGCATAAACTCTAAATTTCTAGGCTAAATGATCAAATTAGTCAGATATGTTTCAACACGGTTTGGTACTTTTCTTCGAATTAATTTAGTGCAACCAAGCAGAACTATTTGTTTACATCGTTGCTATAGGATCGTCCAGAGAGCTTAATATTTCTCTTGCACCGGAAGCGGCATTCTAAGCCAGGAAGAAAAATATTCATACGAGTTAATAATAAACAAAAAAGCTAAGTGTAAAGCTGTTTATTGCAAAGATGATTATATACGCTACTTGCATATACATTTAAATTGAGAGTATGAAAGCCAGGTTAAATTAAAATATCTGTGAAATATCGAATGTCAGGTAAGCTAACTTGAGTGAAGATCGATATAAGGATTCAATTACTTTAATATGTAACTCTCGTTTTTGAACTTTACCAGTTTTAACGGTGATTGGCAATAACAGATTTTTTTGTTAATTTTTCGATACCACAAACATACAATTTACTCGTCTGTACATGATAGCGAACATTAATATTTTAGCTTAATATACAGGCGTAATTTTAAAAATAAAATCTTTCACAACATTAAACAAAAACATTTCACGGTTGACTTTTTTTATATAATAACAAATTGCGTCATGATAGTATCAACATGTACTATAACTATATTTAAATCCCATAGTTATAATATTATCAATATTACATAATTGATACTATTTTAATTTTTAATTAAATTAATTGATTTTGACTTATAACTGGACGCAGAAGCTGGTATGAGGTTGTGAAAAGTTCATAGAAGCAAAATAAAATGGAAAGCAGATCAGAATTTGGGATTTGTTCATTAGATGACAGTCTTATTTGCATAGAATCTGATTTTGAAAGAAACAGCCAAGTCTTAGACTCATTGGAAGATACACTAGAGGGACAAAACAGCAGTGAGAGATTAATAGTTGAACATAGCGATGAAAATACTAGACAAATGTATGCTAATGAGAGTTTGACACCAGTCTGTGATATTACTGATGAGGAAGACAAAATAACGCCACCAGTGGAACACAGGAAAAACAATCTAGTAAACTACAGTACCACTCCACGATTTCTTCTAAAATACTGTCAGTTTATTGAAAAACACCTATGTATTTCATTTGGTAAGTTTGTAAACATGAGAAACATTCATCGTCATAGTCACTACCAGGCAATCTATGAACATTAGAAATTTAAAATCACTGAAGTATACAGTAGCTATTTTATTTTTATTCACAGTCAATGGTTTCAACGACTACAATAAAAAAAAAACTAATGTAATTTTAAATACTGCAATGGAAGGATATGAGAACATAAAAATGTATTTAATATTTTAATGGCACACATAGACGATATTTATCATATGTTATGCAAGCCATATCAGACGTCATATCAGAATCAAATATACCCTGGGAATTATTTCAAAAGCGTCCATCGCCAAAAACGTTGTGATTGGTTAAAACATCCTAAACCATGGAAATTCAAACAATGACGTGACCAGTTATTTTCATTCGAGGTACGAACAATGAAATTGTTTTTATAAATTTCACTTTTTTTCATTTGTAGCTGCCACACTGGGATTGCATACATCAATCGTGTTGACAACTATACTGCTTATAGTCAAAAGTTACAACGTCTTTCCCATAAGTTTTCAAGATTTGCCATTGGTTCTTTATAATGATACTTCGCATACACAAGATCTGGCATGGCGGTATGCAATGCACTACAAAAATAAAGTCATACATCCCATTTTTGGTCTTAAGCCTCGAAAACAGCTTTCAGAAACACTCGAACTTATATTTGAAGGGGATGATATTTTCTCGGAGATAAATATGAGGTTACTGAATGAAACAGAATCAAAATTGTTCTATAGACAAGACTATCAAGCCAAGTTTTGCTACCCTAGTGTTCAAAATGATTGCGAGAAGCCCATATCAGTCCTCCGGCTCTTTGATGGCACGTATACAGATGTTGACCGAGTCTTCAATTCAGGATCATTCCAAAATGCATCAAGTATCATATGTAAAGCCGTCAAGAATAATAAAACCCGAGTTTTTCTCCTACCACTTTTGGAAAAGGACTATGATCCTTGTGATGCAAACCAGATATCGTCAAGAACACGATTATTTATGTTATCTAGTTGGAAATCAAAGGAACATTATAATGAAAATAAATATCGCGAATATCTAGTTTTCAAAATTCAAAAAGAGATAAAAAGAATCCAAGACGAAATACTAGACGGACATATGTCCGTATATTATTATAGCATTAAGATGTATCTTTATGATGTTTATCAAGAAGCATTTAGAAATATGAAATTAGCTATCGGTAGTTTTTTGTTTATTTACATATTCATGTGGTTCCAGACTAAGTCATTTTTGATAACATTTTTTGGAATACTGAGTATTTTCACGAGTTTTCTCTTCACAAATCTTATTTATAGGTTTGTTCTTCAGTATAGATATTTCGGATTTTTTCATATTATTTCTGTGTTTATAATTCTTGGAATTGGTGCGGATGATATCTTTATATTCTATGACACTTGGATACTATCAAAACATACCAGATATCCATCAAAAGCTCATCGTCTCGCAGATTGTTATTTGAAAGCAGCAAAAACGACATTTGTGACATCGCTTACAACCATGGCAGCGTTTCTTGTGAGTGCGCCTTCCCCGTTACTGCCCGTTGCTTCTTTCGGAATCTTTACAGGAATGCTCGTCGGTGTTAACTTTTTATTTGACCTCACATGCTTTCCAATCGTAATTTTGTTTCATTCTGAGGTAATAATGCCATGTTTTGTTAGATTGATTCCATGTTCAAGGAAGACATTGTCGGTAAGAACAGAAAGTCAAGATAGATTAATTACATCACACCAAAACCGAACATCTTGTGATAGTAATGATGGCTCCCAAGATATGGCTTATCACCAGCTACAGCTCCAAGATAAAGTGAACGAAGAAAATGAGACAAAAATTGACACAGTAAAACATACTGAAAATAAGAATAAAGTAGTTTGGTTTTTGGAGAATAAATTCTACAATTTTATGATTTGGAAACCAGTTAGAATAGTAATACCTCTTATTTTCTTAGTGATTACTGCGTTTTTTACATACAGTGCTACAACTTTAGAAGCTGACAGTTCTCAGGTAAGACATTCATATTTTATTTTTAGATTCCACGACTACAGAACAAAAAGGTTTCTCTTATTTCCTTATTGTACTGTGCTAGACATATCAATAAAGTGATGTGTGTTTTACTCTCTGCATATAAACATAACATCCCCGTTTTGCAATTTCCAGAAAATCGAGTCGGACAATTTTAATTGTTTTTTTTTAGCACTCAGTAGATACCACTGATGGTGTACTATTAGACCCCAAGGTATCATCAGCCCAGTTGCCATTGAAGAACAATGAGGTCTGTCTTTACTTCAAATAATTTTGAATTTCTCAGTCATATAATCATGCAAGCGTCTAACTTTTCTAGTAATACATGTACACCGCCGAAATAGTTGCCTGTTGTGTTTTCTTTAAATTGCAGAAAATTTATTTTTGCTACACAATTGAGAATCACACTAAAACAAATGCACTTTTATTCGCTTCCAGGTTAAAGTTTACAGAGAATCCAACAACTATGCAAAAGCTATAGAGCGCCATTTCTCTGGGTTTCAACAGAACTATGATGACAGTTACAACCGACTTCATCTTACATGGGGCATGAAGCCACAAAACATGGAATCATGTGACTGGAAGTCAGGTGACTTTTGTAAAGGACAGTCTGAAATCGATGAACGTTTTGATATGTCGTCCTCTGAAGCACAAATCTCACTCATGGTGAGTCTGGCATAATGCTTGATAACAGTTTTCCATTTAAAATTTTGCAGTACCAGCTTTGGTAAGCTCAAGATAATCAATTTTAAAATAAAAACTATTACAGTCTATTGGTTTGCAGATATTGTCCGCATCGGTGTTTTACAGTGCACGGAAGCGGCATGATTGACATATACCATTCTTATTTTCTTTACTATCAGAATAGGATAATTGCCTTTATTTTTTTATGAATTTATTTTCAGAATCCCGAAAATGGGGAACACTTTAACAGTACAATCATGTGATTTGTACAATTCTTTATGCCGTAACATTGTGTTACTTTATTTGCCAAAACCTGTCCTTAATGCACCTCAACATCGTAGTTGATTCAGCCTTTTAACTTTTTTGATTCGAACATCAATGAAGAGTCGTATGTAGATGAAACGAGCGTCTTGTGTACAGAATTATAAACCTTGTATCTTTTGCGATTTGTTTAAATTGAGTTTTCTTATGGAATTATATTTTGTTTTTTGTATTTGCTTGAACTATATTGATAATATGCAAGGAAAAACAATATCATTATTTGCATAAACGTGAAAAATTACCAGTTCTACATATTTTTTTTCTCTCAGAACTTGTGCCGACGATTAGAAAATTTTACAGATGAAGAAATAACATCCTACGGAATAAAAAGAAACCCAGTGACTAACAAACCAGAAATATCATGTTTTATGTCGGCCTTCTATAGATTTATACAGGTGAGAAAAGACAATGTGTTGACCACTTGAAGTATAACCAATCCGTCTTAATAAAAATAGTTCGAACATTGTGTATTTTTCTTTCAATGTCTAAAGTCGTGTTTGATAAATCTAATATGTGATGGTCACAAGTTTTCATTTCGTGTAAACAAGGAGATTATATCTAAAACATGAACGGTATTTAATTGTTTTTTGAGATCTTCAAAGTTAAAATATGCATGTAAAATTATTTTGAATCGGAAAATTAATCTTTAAACACAAAAAATCGGCAGATATTGTCTTGTGAGATGAAGCAGTATCATGCCACTTGAAATCAATTATACGTCCTACAGCTGACTATTGCAGAATGAAGATGTCAATTTCAAAGTAGATAGCTCATAGCATGTTCATCAAATTTCAATTATCATTTGGAATGTTTATCATGAAAATTACATAATTCCTTAGAGATATACACATCATCACTATTTAAAGTTATCCATGTTTACTTCAAAATAACTAAAATTAGCGCCGGTTAAGGTTTGCACGAAGTTGTTATCATACAAATTAGAAACATAGACGACCAAGATCAGCTTTTGTCTGCATTGAAAATCTTCTGTAAATATTATGAAATAAAAAAATGTAGTATTTTATTATGTATTTTCAGAATACTGGTTACCTGGAAAATATTCCATTTCCGTTTACAAAAGAATCTGTTGTTCCGTTTATGAGAAGGAATTTTCATATATACAACATATCAAGTGTACCTGAAAATTTTAACAGATATTTTGAGGTAAATTAGAAGCTTTTTGCCCCTCCTACAATAGTAGAGGACATTGTTTTCTCGGTCTATACGTCTGTCCGCCCGCCCGTCCGCCTTTTCCTGTATCAGATTAAATAAAATGTAATCGTTGGTAGTTCGCTATGAAGATGTGGTCACTTCACTTAAAATTGAATGTTTCTTTTTGTAAATTCACTGGGGTGTAAAAGCGTTGACCGAAGTACATTTTGTTTGAAGCGCGGAAGCGCTTCATTCTAAAAATGTACGCACGGTCAACGCTTTTACAACCCTATGAAATTCCCCAAAAGAAGCATTCAGTACTTATAATTACATATTTTCGCTATGATCATGAATTAACACGATTACTATCAAGTTTTTCTTTTATTTACCTGTGCATTTTATTGTGGAAACGTGTGTCATCATGTATGTTTCAATTCATGCAATTCATTTTGAAATGAAGAATGACGCGAGATTGCTGTTAGCCAATCAAAATAACGTATAATAATGAAACCTACATCGTATGTAATTATTACGTTTTAAAAATGTATGTTAAATTTGTATTTAGATACAGAGGCGGTACACGTATGATAGTGCGAGCGGGACATGGTGACATATGGACACAAAATCTTTTTTTATTTCTATTTCTAGTTAATATGATTTCCCCATTATTTGATAATTATTATTTCATACATACAAGTTTTGAATATAAATGTTTGGTGAAACATAACGCGGCATTGGTCTTCTGTCGTAAAAAAATAATCTTCTTTTCTAAACCTACGAAACCTACTATTAAGTCAATGGAAGCCAAATTTTAACATAATCAATAGGATTTGGAAGGGTCAATCACCAAAACTGTTTTAGCTAAAAAGTGCTACTAGTATATTAAAAAACATCGTTGATGACCCCAACGACATTTAAAATTGATGGCAATTATTATGTAAGTTGAAAATCTTACAAATTGTACTACACTTAAAGAGAAAATTAGAGAATGCAGACAAGTTGAATTATGGTTTGCATCCCAAAATGGTATAACACGCCATCAATTCTACTAATTAAAAGCAATTAAAAAGGGATATACGTGTATAACCTAATTGTAGTCTTTGATCTGTTATGACTACTTGCAAAATAGTTCTATTAACTTAAGACTCTGCCTGAGTTAATGGTACTCCATGATTTGCTCATGCTGCACATTTTTCCATACTTAACTGGAGCTATGCATGGACATCATGTGAGCGATACAGGTGCCAAAGAGTCTCTTACTAAAGTTTGGTTTTATATTACATATTGAAAAGTAAAATGAATTTTCATACAATTTGTAGATTCTTGTATCTTATTGGCTAAGTAATGGATATACACACACTCTAACTGAAGACTTCTTGACATATCATCGTCTCATTGGTGAGGTAACAATACCAGGAGTAACGCAACGTTTCAACAGATCGTCTTTTATTGGTAACTACAATTTCTCATTTATAACGTCACTGAATACGACTTTTTATTTTTTTACTTTTGTCATGGTATTGTCTCTCTTCGAATAATTTGTCCCTCGGTATTTATTTTATCCCCTTTTACGTAAGACATTTATTGAAAGCAAGTTTTACTATTTATTTATTTCAGTTATGTCATTGGTTATTGAATATAAAAACGTATAGCAAAAGAACGATTGGATGTCCTTTTGTTGTCTTTTCCCTCTCTTGCTAGTGCTTTGCTATTTAGGGTTAAGTTTTTAAAAATAGAAATCAATAATATTGTTTTCTCTCACGTTCTTCTTATATAGGAACGTATGGAACAAGACTGAGAGTAGTTGCAATTGAAATTAACACAACATTTATGTTTCAAAATCTTGGATATCGAGAAGGCAAACCAATATATCATTTGTGGGAAAAGTTTATACAGCAGGAGGTAAAATAGATTTATACTTGCACATGTGAACAAAATAACACATAAATACAACTACAAGTTTAAGAAATTATAATCATATAATATTAGGTGTAGATACGTGTGAACTGTCCAACTATAAACTGACCAATGAAAATAGATGAAAATTTCTCAGTTGAATCAATTCACATTTTCGAGATTCAGAGTTATGTTTTAATCTTTTCTATCATCTTTAACTAGTGATTTTTGAAACTTGTAAATAAAAGAAAAATAAAATATTTTTTTTAGTTAATATTTTCTTTTGTAAAAACAGGAAAATAGTAATTTAAAACTGTCAATTAAAGGATCCATGCAACTTTAGATTTGTCGACTGTCAAACTTCTGACTCGGGGGGAAAAACAAAACATATTGACTACCAAAGCATTCGTCACAACTCGGCCGATTCCGTACCTTCATCTAACGGAGAGTAGCGGATTCACCCGAGGATTGCCGATTAACTACCAAAGAACAAAACTATCCATACAAACACAAAAATAATAAAAGAAGAGCAACATGAACTGTACTAACCCGAATAATTCAGTCCCTCCCCGTAATCGATCTCTCCTACTTGCGAGAAGTAAATGTAGATCAGCGGAATATAACGACTGAATTATTCGGGTTAGAACTGTACTGAAACAAATTGGAATCCTTTTTTGTATTAGTTTTTTTCACTTGGCTCATGTGTTGAAGGTTTTGATGAATAAAAAACCATCAAACAATCGACTACACTTTTTCTTATATATTAAATATATATGAGTCTACAGAAAACAAACAACCAGCAAATCTAATACATATCAGAGAGTCTGACGAAGATACAACACAAACAAACAAATCAAAATTATAAAAGTCTTAAAATTTGTGCAACGTCATTAATATTAGATAAAAATATACGTACAAGATGAAATGTAATGAAATCGTATCTACAGATATTTCGGTACAACAAATGGCCTTCATCAGTGTCAGCCCTTTTTCAAATGTGATAAAACAATGAGTTTTTTTTGGGGTAATCTTTATCCAATTTAAAAAAAAATATCCAAAAAGAACGGTAAAATCTTTTGGATAACTTAAATACGTGACTCCTTTTTCAGTTCATTTCTAGAAATAAATGGAAAAAGAGTAAAAACAGTATGCAGGTTTTGTATAGATAATATGCATATAAATTTTTAATTTTTTTAAAATAGGTATCAAAGATGCCAAGTTCTATGAAAAGTGGCTTCCAATCTACTCAAGAATCGTGGCACTGGATAAAAATTCAAGAGGTATGAAGATATACTAGTTAAACTTCAAATATTACATTTTGGTAAAAACGTGGCGTTTCTTTTGACAAGCCAAAAATGGCCAAATTAAATTAGTAATTATTAGTGAAATGTTACTGTGAGCAAATAACAACACGTGCCTGCAGTTCTATATTTAGAATAAAATTTAATAACATTGGATATGATGGACAGTTTGTGTACATATATAGATAAATTAGGATAAAATATTGTTGTTTTGATTTGAGCGCCAGTTACGAGTCTTATGTAGACGAAACTTGTCTGTAGTACAAAATTAGATGCCTGGTTTCATTGATGAGTTTTTTTTTATGTCCCCGCTTTAAAAAAGTGGGGGAATACTGTTTTACCTCCGTCTGTCCGTCCGTCCATCCATCCGTCCGTCAGTCCGTCCGTCCGTCCGTCCATCCATCCGTCCGTCCGTCTGTCCGTCAGATGAATATTTTTCGTCGCATCTTTCTCAGGAACTACATCATAAGGATTTCTGAAATTTGGTTTCAGGGTTTATATAAGTCAGCTATACCGTGTGATGCGTTTTCAGATTCATCACTCAACAACAAATGCATATTTGAGCTGGAGGTATCATCAGTGAGCAGTAGCTCGCAGTTTTTTTTTTATATATGTTGTTACTTTTGATTAATATTGATGACAGATCGTTCCTCCTTTTTTATCAATATAATATACTGTTCGTAAATCCTTAATTTATGTTATCCTTTCTATGTATAAACAATGTCTTTTTCAGTAAAAAAAAATAAGATATTAAAATCGGCTTGATAAGAAAACAATATCAATTCAATTAAGAAAAACGAAAACAGTTTAAACTTACAAGTAGGTCTCTGGCGGATAGTTTTGAATACTGAATTGACAATCATACCGCATCGTCTAATTTTTGTGCAGAACGTTAACCATTGAAAAAAAGCCGTACTGCACTTGGAATATGAGAGTGGATAAACATTCTTCAACAAACCAACATCGCGTAAATATGTCTTTAAATGAATGTGCACATTATTTTGGTTAATAATTACTTTATGATAAAAAAAAGGAAAGTAACAAAAATACCGAACTCCAAAGAAAATTCAAAACGGAAAGTCTTGTATTGGCAAAATCAAAAGCTCAAACATCAAACGAACGGAAAACAACTGTCATATTCCTGACTTGGTACAGGCATTTCCTTATGTAAAAAATGGTAGATTAAACCTGGTTTCATAACTAGCTAAACCTCTTACTTGTATGACAGTCGCATACATATTCCATTATATTGACAACAATGTGTGAACAAAACAAACAGACATAATAGGTAAAAATGTAATAAATAGGGGTACAGCATTCACCGTTGTGTTATAATCTTAATCACGGTAAAAACTAAAATCTACACTGCCATACTTTTATTGGCATCAGTGAAATAAAACAATTCATCAATTCGCTCGTTTCAGAATGTGGTTGTTTTATGTGAATTGTTTGCATTATATAATACAACGGGCTTACATCTTCACTTTACTTTCAGACTCTTGTGAAATCTGCAGTTAGAGGTGTTGTCATTGGAATTTCATTAGCATTTCCAATTTTAACTATTACGACATTAAATGTGGTGATTGGCTTTCTTGCTACCATTTGTATTACTATGATAACCGTGGTTGTGGTTGGTTTAATCCCTCTGATTGGATGGAAACTAGGGGTAAGTTGAAGTTCAAGGAGGTATGGTTAAGCCTCGTGACTAAAACAAATATGGTAATTGTTATTAGGTAATCACTACACGACATGCAGAATGTCGAAAAATTTTACTTGTTGTAATTGTCTTGCGTAGAATTGGTGTTTATTAAAAAAAATGAAAATTATGAAAAAAAAAAATGAAAACAACACGTTATAAATTTTATGCGTTCGAAGCGCTTTTCTAGATTTACCTTCATCAGGAACGCCCAAAGCCAAATATTTGAAAACCAAGGATGTATAAGAACCGTTATAGATCTCTTTTTTCTTGGACTTGGTAGGGATTTCGAGTTTGACATATACTGAACGTTATGTAACTTGTCTATTGTAAGATATGGTATGTTGACCTCTAGATGACTTTGTGGTTTTGTCGTATTTTTTACTTCTTCTGTCTCATTGACGTTAACTCCATTTTTTCTATATTATCAAAATCCCAATGTTCTAGTATAAGGGTGCAAACTGAAGTAAAATTCAAAAGTCGGAGATGATAACTAAGAGCATGTCTAGTTACCGCTCGACCCCGTTCGTCAATACGTCTTAACGTCCGTTTGAAACACGTAAAGGCTACGTAGTTTGTGTCATTCGTATCTCCAAACGTTTTCCTTCAAATAGTTGTTTTACCTCAGACCTTAAAAACATTCAAGGAAGCGGACGGAAAACAAATGAATATACATCTTTGGCCTTCGTTAATTTTTCATTTATTGTGCTATCTGTAATCCCAAAAAGTTTACTTCAACATTTTACAAATTTTGCACATTGATAAAAATCGCACAAAAAATGAAGATGTGCAACTCCTATCTTCCTGAAACTGACTTAGTCAGTTTTAAAATTAAAAGCTCTACAGAGCTTATGTTGTATTGTTATATGTATACCCGACTTTAAATAGGCCTAAATAAATCTTTTATGCTTATGCTTATGCTTTGTGACATATTTGAATTTTTTTTTTCACAGCTTTCTCGTCTATGAAACTGTTATTTTTGTCATTGAATGGTTTAGATTGACGTATCTAGTTTGTAATTAAACAGTATTTTTTTCTACATTATTCAAACTACGAGTCTGAATATTATTAACTTATTTGATATATACTAACCGGAACTATATTAAGATATCTACCAAAATAAAGAAAGAAGAGAGAGCTCTTTACAATATACAAATCTTTCTATAATTATACTTGACCTTAGTTCTTCAACAATAAAACCACTCTTAAGTCTGAGAATTTTCTTTACTACCATTGTAACAATGGTAGTAAAGAAAATTCTCAGACTTAAGAGTGGTTTTATTGTTGAAGAACTAAGGTCAGGTATAATATTATACTATATTCATTCGTTTTTGATTTTATAGTATTTACTTATTTACACTAAGAATTTTTCTCATTTAAAAAAAAGTAAGAAATAAGGTTTCAACTCGCTCAGGCAACGTTTACAATATGGATTGGGCTATTTTAGTCATATAGCTCTTCAACTGTTTTGGTTCTTATAAACATATTTGGCTTGGCGTTCAAATATTCTGCTTTGAGCAATCCTGATGAAGGTACATTAAAAAAAGCGCTTTGGACGCATTTAATTTAAATAGTGTTGTTTTCATTTTTTCGAGAAAGTTGACCTGTTCACTTATCTCATTTTTTTTTTTTTTTTAGGTTTTGGAATCGATTAATCTGAGTTTAATCGTAGGACTGTCAGTTGATTATGTGGTGCATTTTGCAGAGGCATACAGAACCTCACCATTTACCCACCGCAAAGATCGTGTAAAGAGTATGTTAGAAGGCATGGGACTGTCTGTACTATCAGGGGCGATAACAACCTTTGGCGCTGCTGTTTTCATGCTGTTTGCTGAAATTCAATTTTCATATCAGTTCGGAATATTTGTGATGTGCACAATCGGAACATCTTTTCTGTTTTCCTTTGTGTTATTTCCTGCATTTATGGCATCATGGGGACCCGAGGGAAATACTGGATCAATTACAGCAATTGTGAAATCGATGAAATTAAAGTGTCAACGGAAACAGGAATATATGAGAGTTAATCGCGATGAAACGTACGATTCAGACATTGAACTATTGAGTTAATTGCAATGATATGTACGATTCAGTCATTGAACTATTGAGATTATTGCGATTATCAATACTTTCGATTCAGACATTGAGATTATTAATTTGTGATGATACGTGCGATTCAGACATTGAACTATAGAGATTATTGCGATGGTACGTGCGATTCAGACATTGAACTTCTGTTGTAGTATTAAAGGCATTATTCATAAATTCTAATGATCTTTTTTTATTCACATTTTTTTTATTTCAGCTTATTCATGAATTGTACAAGACCATAATTTATCAGTCTATAGTAACCGTTTATTGTTATGATGTTTTCGTTATTATATTTTTTATAGATATGATTATAAAAATGAACTTTATCTGAATACTGAGGACCGCGAATGCTTTAAGCGCTAATCATAGAAACATTTTGACGATCCATTGATCAGCCAGTCGAAGACTGTTATGCAGTTGTCTGTCCGTTTGGGATAACACATTTGTACACTTAAGTCTTATTCGATTTTGACATTACCTATTGACCAGAAACTTTAAATCAACGGTAATATGAGAACCTGTACAATACTTTCGGACGATTTTCTCATTTGTAATATGAGAGATTTATAGCTTTATTCAGTGAAATAAATGTTTTATAAATTCAAACATGTAAAAAAAGCATTTATTTTAATAAAGGGGATTAAATTTGTTTTTTTTTTCATTTCGGTTTTGTCTAGACTAATCTTTGTATGAGAAAGAAAAAACCTGGTCAATAAGAATATAATCATACTTAGTAGAGGACTTAAATATTGTCTTATGTTTGACAAGGCGAGTTTAGTTATGACAAGATTTACATTACTTTAAGCTGCAATTAAAAAAAATGAAATTGCCTGGAAAATCCATAAAAAATAAACCTGAAATGTTAAATATCATGGTCATTACAGTTTACTTTTTTTAAAAATACAGGAAAAAAGATTAAAAAAAATACTGAAGTCTTATAGGTAAATTCAAAAAGTAGAATTCCAAAAAATCTGACAAAATCAAACTTTAGACTTTATCAACCAACGGAACGAATGGAAAACAACTGTCATATTCTTTACTTGGTATAGACATTTTCCAAAAAAAAAATATTGGGTTAAATCTGGTTTTAAAGCTAGCTAAACCTCCCAGTTGTTTGTAGATCAGTTATATTGACAAAATTGTGTGCGTAACCTAAACAGACAATGATTGGGATCCAGCAGCAGAAACTGTTTAAACATACATCACAGACGCACTACACAACGGACTTAAAAATTCAAAGAAACATACAAGTAAATCAATAAAGGCACCAACAAAAAAGTTATTGTAGTTGAAAGTAAATCTGACAAAGACGAAAAAAAAAGTTTTTTGCATTGGAAAGTACATACAGTACATAGTATACACTTTCTCGATAAATTACAAATGAAGTGAAGTATAAATACAAAGGTAAACAAAATGAAAACAACACTGTTTAAACCTCTTGTGTCCGAATCGCACATCTGGACCAACCTGCACTAGGAACATCCAAAGCCAAAAACCCGATAGATGGATGCATAAACACCGAGTCACGTCAATAGTCGTACGACCAAAAAGGAACATTATAGCAAATTTAAAGACAAATAAAAGGAAAACTGTAAAGAAAATAAAGAAATACACAAGTTAGTTAAGCACCTAGAATCTACAACTCAAGAACATCTTGTATTATTTTTGAAGTAGACATTTCATATTTATTTATTAGGTCGTGGTACTTTCCGATGAACTTTTTGAGAAAAATGACGAGATGTTCTTTGACAAAACCCTGGCTCATTAATTTTTTGCCCAGACACTGATGACGTTTTACGAAGTCGGAGTCGCTGAATATCGTACGAGTTGAGAAATGTATACGCCGTACGCGGGATAAGTTGGTATATTGCTGCTAAGATGAGAAACATTTATAATTTCAAAATTGAAATTGTCTCGTTTGTCATACCAGAAAGATGACCGATGTAGTCAAATTCGAGATATACGTCTAAAAATGAGGCGGAGGAAGCTGTAACTTTGGTTTCTGTAAACTATAGTTCAGGTGGATATATAAATGGGACCAATCAGAAAATTTTGGATTGTTGATGAAAGAACATCATCAATATAAAATTGCGAATGGAAATGGGGAATGTGTCAAAGAGACAACAACCCGACCATAGAGCAGACAACAGCCGAAGGCCACCAATGGGTCTTCAATGCAGCGAGAAACTCCCGCACCCGGACGCGTCCTTCAGCTGGCCCCTAAACAAATATGTATACTTGTTCAGTGATAATGGACGTCATACTAAACTCCAAATTATACACAAGAAACTAAAATTAAAAATGATACAAGACTAACAAAGGCCTAATATAACTGTATGTGAAATCAAATGATCTAGATTTTTTATTTTCTTGTTTTTACAAATGTCAGAAGGAACTCCGACTCATTTGAAAATAAGATAAGGTCGGCCAATACTGGAAAACAATACTAGAATAACATTTATATTAGTACTGTGATCGTCAAATTCATGTGATCCGAGGTGCACAGTTGGTTTCCATTGAAATGCCAACCTGCTAGAAAATTCGACCTTAAAATTCAACAAATATGTTGTCAATGAGAAACTCCAGCATACTGATAACTTGTTCTTAGGTATAGAATATCATTGTCGGACTAATTTTTAACAAAATATGCCGAATAATATCCCAAAACAATACTTTTGTAGCGGATGTTACCATTTTTATGGAGGAAAGCATCGCGGAATATTTCTTTTCAGGAAGGACGCGTTAGTAGGAAAAACAGCAAAGAAACACAAAGAAAAAAAGTTGTCAGAAAACCGAATTATTTTCCTTTATCAAATTTTCTGTCACAAAGTACAGAGACTTTCTATACTAAGTATAGAAAGTCCCTGCACAGTAAGATGGCTAAACTCATTAAAGATATCAGGCTTATAATGTGTTACGCCAAACGCTTAAACAAAGCGTTTACAAACAATGCATATACTTAAGGAACGGCATTGGTCCAAACAACAATTTGGCTTTGAGCGTTCTTGATGAAGATAAATCCAGAAAAGCGCTTCGGACGGATGTATTTTATCAAGTGATGTTTTCATTTTAAGCAAGCGCTACAAAGACACCAAAGATGAATTTCTCAACTAATTTCTCCAGTGCTGACGAACAAAATCCTTCAGCTGTAGTCAACTTCCAATATTTGGAATTGAATGCATAAAAACAACAATTACATAAATCGGAAAACACAATACTTACATCATCAAGGTGCTTGATTTTCATTATTGATGATATACTAGAGTTATGTTTGATAACCGTCTTTTTCAACAGACAGTCGGCAATCCTATGAGACCCACTTCGCTCTTTTTATTGTATTGTTCCTTTATTTATATTAGATATGTTTTATAAAGGGGCTTTTCAATGAGAATAAAAAGAAGTTAGCATAAATATTTAAATTCAGGTTACGCTTTGCTGAGGACATTCTTTCACTGAATAATTCAAAGTTTTGTTACTATGTTAATCTCATCTTGTATCCAAATTGAACTTGAAATTAAGGATAACACTGATACGAGCAGGTCTGTTTCGTTTCCATCCAGAAATTTTCAGTGAGTGCCGCCTGAGAACTAAACTTTTACGAGCAGCAACATTCCAGAAGCACTTTTATATGGAGTATATAGCCTCCTGGTAAACGATATTCCAGGGCTTGCATTTCTTTTCATAATCATGTTTCATATAATGTATTTATAATTGATAGCAACCATGCATGCACTAATTGTTGTTTATTATCAAAGAGCTTAAATGTTGATCTCTATATATCAATCGTTTCTGGTTTTCTTGTGTTGTTGAATTGTTTGTTGTCGACATTAAGATCATAAAAATACATACCTTACATCTGTTTTGTTATATTTATATGGATAAATTTCCGGCATGCAATACCATTTGGCATATTAGTGTTTTTAAGATACATGTAATTGGCCAAAACGGTTAGATTTGTATTTTAATTAAGGATGTACTTGGGTGAAATTAAAAAAATCTAGAATTTGAAATTGATATAATAAATCAGAAGAGCATTAGTTAAGGAACAAAATAAGCTAAAAATATTGAACAGTATATATGTTCCTGTTTATGGAGCTCCTTTTCAAGATATTTAATTTTTGAAAAATGGCGGGAAAAGGTTGACTCGGACTTTTACCTTATATTTGCATTGATATTATTTGGGTCTCAAATGGAAAGAAAAGAAATCTAGAATCTGCTTAAATTTTGGCACATGACCTCTTATGAGCTATTGAAGTCTTATATGAAAAGAAAAATGGGTGTTATGGGGCAAAATATTTTACCTTGTATCGCAGGAAAAAAAAACAAAGAGTCCGAACATCTGACAAAATTTCCTAATCCTGACCTAAGTACATCCTTAACGGGATTTCAAAAGGAAAATATCGGTAATTAATTAATTGATGTAAGGCGGGCGCGCGACCGGGCGGCTGTCAAACAGTGTCCGTGCAATAACTTGAAAAGTTTTTGACGAAATCTTTTCAAATTTAGATATGTTGTTTCCTGTGACTAAATGAAGGTCAAGTTCGATTGACACGTTTTTAGCTTACTAGTATATCGTTGTAGAGTTATAGGCCTTTAAGTAGCGACAAGTGATACTTAGAGCGTTGTCCGTGTAATAACTTGAAAACGCTTTGACGAAATCTTTTCAGAGTTAAATATGTTGTTTCCTGTGATTAAAAGAAGGTCAAGTTCGATTGACACGTTTTAAGCTTACTAGTATATCGTTGTAGAGTTATAGGCCTTTAAATAGCGACAAGTGATACTTTGAGCGTTGTCCGTGTAATAACTTGAAAACGCTTTGACGAAATCTTTTCATAGTTAAATATGTTGTTTCCTTTTATTAAAAGAAGGTCAAGTTCGAGTATCATGATTTTAGCTTCTATCATTGTTGAGTTGTAGACCTTTAAGTAGCGAAAAGAGATACTTAGAGCGTTGTCCGTGCAATAACTTGAAAACGCTTTGACAAAATATTCTAAAATTAAGATATGTTGTTTCCTGTGACTAAAAGAAGGTCAATTTCACGATCATTCATACATTGACCATCCATGTATTACAAGATAACAACCGTTTGAAAGTGGGTTTCTGGAAAGTAATTAGAGTGACTACAAGATTCTATGGTTTCATATTAGATAAGGTTATACTCTCATAAACATATTTTTTTCATTATTGACGTCATGATTTCTGCCTACCCACCCCTGCTGAACAAATGTGTGCACTTATATACTCTCTTAAATTCCAATATAATGTCACTTATGATAAATAGTTCAAGACTTTTCATAAAAATATGTTTATGAGAGTATAACCTTATCTAATATGAAACCATAGAATGATTTTAGCTTCTATCATTGTTGAGTTGTAGACCTTTAAGTAGCGAAAAGAGATAATTTCACGATCATTCATCCATTGACCATCCATGTATTACAAGATAACAACCGTTTGAAAGTGGGTTTCTGGAAAGTAATTAGAGTGACTACAAGATTCTATGGTTTCATATTAGATAAGGTTATACTCTCATAAACATATTTTTTTTCATTATTGATTTCCATTTCTGAACCCTAAAAAAATCATTTTTTTTACTTGATCCTGTTTGGGGGTCGAAATTTGCAAATATCATTTTCATGCATGAAAATCCGGTTTGCTGTCAATCTGACAGCCTCTTGTTTTTAATTTAAGGACTATAACTCCTAGGGGGATTTATTCGGTGATGGTTTCAGTCATATTACTATTTCTAAAATTTTTATTGTTGATTAGTGTTGCCGTTTACACGTTTTTTTTCTTCTATATCATATTTTTAAGGTAAGTAAGAAAAGTCAGATTTTCTCTAACCATTTTAATTGTATTAAAAGATATCAAAAAGGGCTTGATTTTTACCCCATGGTTCTACTGTTTCATTTTTCTTTGAGTGTAAACGATCACATGAAATTTCTTACTGTAAATCATAATCATTGATAATCAACAGCATGTTTTAAAAAACTAGATAACGGAAGGTATTGTTGAATGTATCAACCAAATGTAACAATGACGTGTCTTTACTGAGTATGTATAAATTTAAACGAAAGAAATTCAAGGAAAAAAAATTCACAAAAACAAAAAGATAACAGCAAAGATTAAGCCTTAGACTTCTTAATTTTGGTTTCAAGCAAATTCAACCGTATATTATTAGAACATAAATATTTCTTTAGAATATATCAAGAACACCTCACATAAACGTGCAACAATCGAGATAGCATAATTTAAAATTATAATGATATTTTTTTTTATAGCAAAATCTTATATGGAGTCATCTATTTTATTAAAATATTTTGCGTTCAGATTTATCTCTGGAATAAACTTTTATTTTTAAAAATCGTTTGCTGGTGGCTTTTAGTCCGGTCAATCTTTGCAAAAAGGCTCAACATTAAAAAAAAAGCAACAGAAACATCTTGAGTGTTTTTATGTCAAGGATGTCATCATTTTTGATATACTAAAAGTCTACCAATATAATAGCGGTGGAAATTGATGATTTTGGGTTTATATCATGTTTTTTTATTAAAAAAAAAACCAATGAAAACTAGAATTTTGATATTTATGTTATAAATGGAGCAACATATTTTATTATGATATAACTCTACATGAAACATAACACACATGATTGTACAAGGAAGCTGACAAAATTGCATTACTGGAAATTACTATTTTGAGTCAAAACCTAAGTTTTATCATGAAATCTCCGGATACAGGAAACAGAAAAGTTTGTCAAATCAATTTATTTTAATAAAAATTTATAAAATTTAGTTCGTTGTCCGTTCATGAATATTCATGACATGTGACCATTCGTTTGCACTTAAAACCCGTGCGGTCATCTTTCTGACCATCGACTCTCGCTATAGCCTAAAGAAGAGACACGTGTATTATGTCTGAAGAAGAAATTTCGGTAGTTGAACAAATGGACGAAAGTCAACTTTTAAAAGAAGACGACAGTGATCTTTCAACAGCTGATGCAGTTTCTTTATTTAATAGTTCTTTGAATAAAGCTCTTCAAAGACAGAAAAGTGAAATTTTGTCGGAGTTCAAGAAGACACAAGTAAGCTCTGTAAACTCAAATACACGCACTATCACCAGCGGTCAATCCTCTACAATTGCTTCCCAGCCTCCGGCTTTTGATTTTAGACAAGAAGGGATTAAGATTCAGTTCAATTTCAACACTGACCGTATTTCAGCTTTGAGAAGAATTGAACATTTGCTAAATTCCGAGTCACTCAACCAAACACTTGATCTACAGTCTATTGTTAAAACTGAACTTGACACTTTAAGCCAGCGCAATAAGATTTTGAAAATTGCAGATCGCCATGGGTGAGATACCGTTCATGAATATCTGGACGATCCTCTTGCTGACAGTGTTGAAGATGCTTCAAAACTACGAACTGCCGTTTTCAGAGCTACCCGTAAGCGTACAGTTAATAAGCCTTACAGCGGAGGTGGTGGCAGAGGAGGCTTTAATGCTAGAGACTTTTTTCGTGGCTTCAGCAAAGAATCTAGACCCAGAAATGACAACTACAGTCAGCAAAACAACTTCCAGCAGCAGTACAACGACGGACTGTGCTTTTACTGTAAAAGGCCAGGTCACACTGCCCGATTCTGTCCCTACAAACGACGTACATTCAACAGTACCAAGTCAGCACCAGCCACTATTACAAGTGCCCCACCCCTGTCTTAATGAAAAAGTTGAGTATGATATAGAATTTAATAGTTATGAATACACTGATGGAAATAAGACTGTAAAAAATTGATTAAAAGATCATGTTCAGTTTTGGGAAGAAAGTTTAAAGCCTTCTGAATTAGTTTAAAGCACTGTAAAATTTGGTAACGTTAGTCCTTTTATTCAAGAACCTCCATCAGTTTATTTGAATAATAACAGATCAGCATTTAATAATTCTTCATTTGTTTTGAAAGCTATTACAGATTTAAAAATGAATGGCTGTATCACTGAAGTTTCAAATAAACCTTATGTAATAAATCCTCTGACTGTAGCTATTAGTGATACGAAGAAAGAGAGATTAGTTTTATATCTGAGACACGTTAAAAAATATGTACAAAAACAGAAAATAAAATTTGAAGGCGTTAAATAGGCCAAGCAATACGCAAAAAAGGTTTTTTTCATGTTTAAATTCGATGTACGTTCTGGTTATCATCACATTAATATACATCCAGAACATCAGAAATTTCTATGTTTTTCCTGGGTAATTGATGGACAAGAAAGATATTTCATTTTCTCAGTTTTACCTTTTGGACTATCTTCTGCTGGACATATTTTTACTAAAGTTGTTCGTACATTAGTTAATTTTTGGAGATTACAAAGTTTCCCGATCATTGTGTATTTGGACGACGGATGGGCTTGTGATAACAAGGAAAGGTGTTTACGTATGTCCAAATCTGTTTTACATACTTTATTGAAATCTGGGTTTTTATCAAATTTTGAAAAATCTATTTTTTCACCAGTGCAAAAATTAGACTGGTTAGGTTTTTCATGGGATCTAATATCTGGTGTTATTGAAGTTCCCTACAATAAAATTGAAAAAATACAGTTCAAAATCGAAAAAATTCTTTCAGATAATCGTTCTTCTGCTAGAAATTTGGCATGTGTTTTCGGGAAGATTATATCTTTGATTCCAGCTTTTGGTAACATTTGCCAATTGATGACACGTAATTTATGCATGTCTGTTTGCCAGAGAAATACTTGGGACTCGTATTTTGAAATTCCCACCCAAGTCAAAATCGAACTGGAATTTTGGAAAAGTAATTGTGAATATATACCAAATTTATTAGTATGTCCTATACACAAGATTCCAGAACGAATTATTTTTTCCGATGCCAGTATGTATGCTGGAGCAGGTTTTATCGATGGCAATGTTTTACAAATTGCTCATAATATGTTTAGTGAACAAGAAAGACTTAAGAGCTCCACTTGGAGAGAGTTGAAATCTGTTGAGTTTCTTTTAGAAAGTATGTTTGCACAGTTAACTGGAAAACTTGTAAAAATTTATACTGACAATCAAAATGTCGTGCATATATGCAAAGTGTGTAGCATAAAGCCTGATTTACATGAACTTGCTATGAATATTTATACAACATGCATAGTTAATAGTATAACGATTGAAGTTGAGTGGATCCCAAGATCGGAAAACGTACAAGCAGATTACTATAGTAGAATTTTTGATTTTGATGACTGGGCTGTGTCCGACAGCGTTTTTAGTTTGTTTAATAACAGATGGGGAAAATTTACTTTTTGACAGATTTGCAGACGATAAAAATCATAAGATTGCTCGATTTAATTCAAAGTTTTGGGTTCCTGGAACTCTAGGAGTCGACGCTTTCGCTTTCGACTGGTCAGGAGAAAACAATTGGATTGTGCCCCCGGTTGGGTTAGTTTGCCGAGTACTAAATCATATGTTAACTTGTCGAGCAAAAGGTGTATTGATAGTTCCTAAATGGACGTCTGCTTTGTTTTGGCCTATGGTTTGGAACAACACGGAAAATAAATTTTACGATTTTATTACAGATTTTGTTGAATTTGATCGTCCAAAACATTTCTTTTTATCTGATTCAGACAAAGACAGTGTGTTCGCTCAATCCCCATTCATCAGTAACGTCCTCGTTTTTAAACTTGATTGTTCATCATAGGAGGTCACATTCTTTTGTACGGTTCAGTGCACTTTTTTACTATCGGTTGTAAATTTATTACTACAAGGTAAAATAAACGTGTCTAGGTAACTACTACGGAATTGACCATACGCTTACATCTGTATACATTATTAGTTATATAAATTGATAGAATGGAGATGCATCTTGTGCAGTTTATGTTTGAGAAGCACCTTGTGCAGTTTATGATTGAGAAGCACCTTGTGCGGTACCTTGTGTGGTTTAACAGTAAGAATGCACCTTGTGCGGTTAAAAAATGAAATATGTACAGTGTGCGGTTATTGGATAAAAATGCACATCGTGCAGTTGTTAAAGATGCACTTTGCATGATTGTTATGTTATTATGATGTTTTTTGATTATTTAGCTAAGTTGTTGTGCTTAGTTCTATTTATGTTTCATTATTACAGGGCAGTGTAACATGGAGGGAAATTTCTCAGTTTGCGGATTCAAATCAACAATTTATTGGATGTGAAAAAAGCATTTTCAATATTGTGAGAAGCAGTAAAGCAATTTCTACAAATAAAAAGTATGATGTGTATTTCAAAAAATTTAAAGAATGGTGTGTTACATATAAAGTTATTCCGTTGCCCGCAAGTGTATCATCTGTTGCAGTTTATATTAGTGGCCTTGTACAGCAATCCGTATCTGAGTCAGTTTTATTAGCTCATTTTTATAGCATAAAGTGGTATCATGATTTCAATTTAGTGTATAATCCGTGCGAAGACAAGCTTATTCAGATGATGATCGAAGGAGCGAAGAAAATCCTTGGTAAACCAATATTGAAAAAAGAACCAATTACAGCAGATCATTTACAGAAGATAGTAGACAAAATTGGCATTGATCGTTCTCATTTGCCGAATGTTAGAATTTGTACAATGATGTTAGTCGGTTATGCAGGATTTTTACGCTACAGTGAGATTGCAAATTTAAAGATGTCTAACATAAAAATTTTTGACACTTATGTTTCTTTGAATATTGAATCCGGGAAAACTGATGTATATAGAAGGGGAAATAATGTTATAATTTCTAGAACAAATTTGTCTACCTGTCCAGTTGTCTGGTTATTGACATACATTAATTTAGCTAAACTGTCTTCAGATTCTGATGAATATGTTTTCCGTTCTGTTAGATGTTTGAAGTCAACAAATTCTTATAAGTTAGCAGAAGTTAATCGTCCTTTATCTTATACAAGAGCTAGGGAATTACTTTTGGGCACATTATCTGCGATTGGTCTTGATTGTAAACTATTTTGTCTACATAGTTTGCGCAGCGGTGGTGCCACTGCTGCTGCAAGAAATGGTGTTTCTGATCGTTTAATTAAAGAACATGGAAGGTGGCGTACCGATTTTGCTAAAGACGGTTATATCAAAGATTCTGTTAAAAAGCAACTAACGGTTTCGTCAAATCTTGGTATATAACGAGTTATAAGACATTTTTTCTTTTGGTGTTATTATTTACTCACATTATTCAGCTCACGTACACCATTACTTAACTATTTTCCCTTTGTCTCGAGGTTATAGCGAGTAGCACACCTACATTTAATCTTTTGTTCTTTGTTAATGCCATAGAATATAATTACTTTATATTCGGACGAACGTAGTGAGGGAGAATATAAATAAAATTTAGTTCGTTGTCCGTTCATGAATATTCATGACATGTGACCATTCGTTTGCACTTAAAACCCGTGCGGTTATCTTTCTGACCATCGACTCTCGCTATAGCCTAAAGAAGAGACACGTGTATTCACGGATGATTTAATGTATATTTGTATTTGTAATTATGATTACTATAATTATCATGTTTGTATTTGATACATAAGATATAGAATTAAAGGTTATAGCGAGTAGCACACCTACATTAAATCTTTTGTTCTTTGTTAAGGCCATAGAATATAATTACTTTATATTCGGACGAACGTAGTGAGGGAGAATATAAATAAAATTTAGTTCGTTGTCCGTTCATGAATATTCATGACATGTGACCATTCGTTTGCACTTTAAACCCGTGCGGTCATCTTTCTGACCATCGACTCTCGCTATAGCCTAAACAAGAGACACGTGTATTCACGGATGATTTAATATATATTTGTATTTGTAATTATGATTACTATAATTATCATGTTTGTATTTGATACATAAGATATAGAATTAAAGGTTATAGCGAGTAGCACACCTACATTAAATCTTTTGTTCTTTGTTAAGGCCATAGAATATAAATTCCGAAGAAGTTGATACATGTAAAAAATCATCCTTGGCAATCAGTACTTATGATGACATATATTCTAATCAAAAGCTTCCTTTTTGAAAAAAAAGTCATCCAAAACCGGAAAAGAAAATAAGATGTATATCATGATTCTGTGGAAACCTCTGTTGCAAAGACTTTTTAAAGGTATAGATAGAACTTACATTTCGTATAGCTATCAATGTGTAAATTGTCCAGTGCCCGAAAATTAGCAGGGAGAAGGGATTGTTGATACTGATTTAGTCGAGTTATTGGAATAAGTATTTGATATTACACAGATTATAGCTGGTAGATACAGATACAAGGAGTGGCATAATGTCTGTAAGATAATCCAGCCACTGATTATTACAGTGTTTGTATATGAAACGATGGAAATATGGTATGATTGCTAATTAGACTTTGAAATTTATAGTTGCTGCTTCTCCAACAATCATGCGTCATTTAGGAGTAAGAGTAAAGACTGGTTGACTCGGATGCCACATTGATGTTACGGTACTGTGAAATATAATCTTGATGTGCGAGCACGAGACAACCGATCCGGTTCAAATATTTATAAGATAGGAGTTGTGAAAAAGGTTAGATATTTACATCCGTCATCAATAATATACTTGACGACGAAATTAATGCTCTCGAGGAGTGAACATTTCAAATTTATGGATAGCTGAATGATTGTGCATACAAAACACCAACATAAACGAAAAGGTAAGTCTTCCCTAACTTGATACAGAAGAAAATCTTGTCGATCTATCAGCTTGGGTTTATAAATGATATTTACTTAACTTGAATAAATTGTGATTCTCTGGGAACTAAAAACGGGAACCTTAAAAACTACTGAAAAATTAATACATGATTAAGTTGAAAAGTAGATGAAATATTATGACAGTATTTCAAAATTAAGAAGTCCTATAATGTGTTTAGGGAGTAGTTAATGGAAACGTCAAACAAGTCTTATATTTTGTCTTATAGGGTGATACTTTAGACATGAATTGAGACCATGTAACATTTAGTCGTAAGGTTTTAAAAAAGCATATTTCAGACATGTTTTATTCAGACAACCTGACTTGTGACGTGCACATAAAGAATGTGGTGGAGTTAAACATGTTTTTGAACGCTACCCTAACCCGTGAACGTGGTGTAACAGCAAAACATTGAAACACACTATAACAATCGGTTTTAAAAGGCTTGACTCATTAGATTGGCAGTAAGCACCAAAAAGATAACATAACCGAAAAGAAAAGATAAAGAAAGTTACCGATCGAAGAGTACTCGCAGTTATTAAAAGCTAGTTCAAAGCCAATTCTAACAACTAAATAAACCATGTTTCCCAGATTAAAATTTCAATAAGTACACATCCAATGGATTAAGTGTAAAGACGTCATAAGCAGTCAAATAAAAGCATGGCCTTGTGAATTGCCAAAATAAAAATATCCAGTCAGTAATATGATAAAAAGTGTCCATAACTGTTTACCCATACATGCTAATATATGTTTAGTTATGGTTCATTTTATTTTTAGAATAAAACGGTAATCGTAATGGTGATTACGAATGGTGATTTTCGCCCCACTTTGACAAGTGTTTTACTGCCGATCGGAAGAAGACTAAGTGTGACAACATTTCTATTTCCCTTTCACCTTTTGTGGCCTCTTTATTATATTTATCTTTAATATGCTTTCACTTAGCTGTCAACGAGACCTGATCGGTTTTTTTTATATTAATCTTTCCAAAAAAAAGTTCTCATTTCAAACTTACAGAAAAAAATAAAAGATATGTATTCATTGCAAGAAGAATGGTAATATTACCCCGAGTTTTAATTTGAAGACTAAGCATACCTGAAAAAATTATAATTACATTTTGTTTTTACTACACTTAATTTTAATCAAACACTATTCCATGAATGCCAACATAGTTTTACCTGTATTTTGTCGGCAGATCAAATGTTGTAGGCATTCAGGGAATAAACCATTGTAATCATTACAAGAAACATTGTGTAAAAAACAATCCACGACAAGACACGTTTGAATTGTTTTACATTGTCATTTCAGGGCCTTTTATAGCTGACTGTGCTGTATGGGCTTTGCTCATTGTTGAAGGCCATACGGTGACCTATAGTTGTTAATTTCTGTGTCATTTCGTATCTTGTGGAGAGTTGTCTTATTGGCAATCATATCACATCTTTTTTATAAGACGAGCAAGACCATAATTAATTTGGTCTAGGACACACATGTGAACAAGAGAGCACCGAAAACATAAACATAAATACATACATTTAAAAGATGACACATAGCATTGCAATCAAAACAATATATTACTATATATGCAAGTAAAAACAACTGAAATAATCGAGTAAACGCTATACAGTTGCAGTTCACATAAAACATACACTATCCGAGCAACGAGATGGAAAACACCAAGGTAGGGATTATATATTATATCATACCATTTCATAATTCTGTAGAAAATTTATATCGTTTTATAGAACTATCTGTTACAGTTTGGTATTGTTCCCTACATTTTATATTCCATGGGATTAATCTATTTGTGTAGTTTATTCGTATACATTTATTAGATTGTTGATTTCAATGTGCTTTCAAATGATAAAAAAAAAAACAAGTGAAAAATTGGCAATGTCAACAGATGCTCTACAAACCGCACATTTACTACAAAAAAATTTTAAAAAAGTTGAGCGCAATGTATCTTCTTTTTATTTCAAGTGAATAAAATAGTGTCCTCGGGAGAACAAAGTAAAAATGTACTAAAAACAACGTGATTTAGCAAGGACTTATTATATAAGTTTGAAGTATACAGCGTTCGGGATCTAGAAACCAAAATTGTTACCAATACTTCATTCAGAATTCAGAGCCACAGTATACTGACGGATGACGTCTGGAAGGACAGACAGACAGACGGACGGACATTTAGTGACTACTATATGCTCCTGATTTTTTTCGGGGATTATAAAAAAAAAAAGATTCGTTTATTGCTCTATGTTACACACTGCACATATCAAAGCATACAAATAGTTCCTGTAATGATAATGAATATGGCGGTGGTAGTCTTGTAGATAGTTGTATTTGGTCACACAGTTAAACGATTAAATGTAGCTACATTGTAAAGCTTATACATATCTAGACGATTTTTTAGAGTTGTAAATACCTAAAAGACGACAAATCTGTTCCTAAAACATGTTAGCCTCTTCGGATAGAGATCGACCTTATGCAAATGAATATCAATACATCTGTTAACCTATTTCGTGTTGGAAAAATCTCTACCGGAAGTCTGTAACTGTTTGAAAATTGAATTCTTATAAGAACCCTACAAAACCGACCAAAATTCATCTTTTATTTCGTATTTGAATGTTCCAAAATCAATCAAAGTCTTATACATGTACATGTATACGTGCACTTACATAAAGTCCATTTCTATCCGACGCAGCTCAATTGTTTTGTCTTTGCAGTAGACCTATATATACACCATACAACAATTATCATTTGCATTCGGAAATGATTTTTGTTTTTTCGAAGTTATGACAAATTTTTTAGTCTTTTTCAAAACGATCAAGAAAATGACTTATGTCGTAGAATAGACTTAGCCGCATAAAAGCACCTACTCTAAATTTGAAGGCTATATAATAAAATTAGTCAAATAATTTTCAACACGATTTTGTACTTTTTTCGAATTGATTTAGTTCAATCAAGCAGAACTATTAATTTGTTTACATCGTTGCTATAGGATCGTCCCGAGAGCTTTATATTACTCTTGCAGCGGAAGTGGCATTCTAAGCTCGGACGAAAAACATTCATACGGGTAAATAATAAACAAAAAAGATTAGTGTAAGACTGCATATTGCAAAGTTGATTATATACGCTACTTGCATATACATTTAAATAGAATTTATGAAAGCCAGGTAAAAATTGAATAACTGTGAAAAATCGAATGTCAGGTTAGCTAACTTGAGTGAAGATCGATAAAAGAATTCAAATACGCAATATTATGCAGAAGCTGGTATGAGGTTGTGAAAAGTTCATAGTAGTACAGTAAAATGGAAAGAAGATCAGAATTTGGGATTTGTTCGTTAGATGACTCTCTTATTTGCATAGAATCTGAATTTGAAAGAAACAGCCACTTCTTAAACTCTTTGGAAGATACGTTGGAGGAACAAAACAGCAGTGAGAGATGTATAGTTGAACATAGAGATGAAAATACTACACAAATGTATGCTAATGACAGTTTGACATCAGCCTGTGATATAACTGATGAAGAAGAGAAAATAACACCACCAGTGGAAAACAGGAAAAACAAACTAGTAAACAACAATACCACTCCACGATTTCTTCTAAAATACTGCCACTTAATTGAAAAACACCTTTGTATTTCATTTGGTAAGTTTGTAAACACAGTTCTGCCAACTTTTAATAATGCAAATGAGTGAGATTTGGCCAAAATCGTAAAGATCAAAGAGAAAAAACAATAGATCAAAGGAAAATGCCGCCAAATAAGCATGAAAATGCGCGAGTCTCGCGCTAAATGCGTAAATGCGTGAGACTTGGCAGCCCTGTAAACATGAGAATCAATCATCGTCATCACAATGCAATCTATGAACATTAGAAATTTAAAATGACTGAAGTATACAGTAGGTATTTTTTTTCACAGTCAGTGATTTCAACGACAACAATAAAAACTAATGTTATTTAATGGAACACTATGAAATATTCCCATAATTAAAAAAAAAAATGATAAGCAATGAGAGCAATAAAAATGTATTCAATATTTTAATGGCACACAGAGATACAGATTCCTATATATAATGTTATCATATTTTAATGCACCAATGTCAGTCGTCATTTCAGAATCAAATGTATTCTGCGAAATATTTCAAAAGCGTTCATCGCCAAAAACGTTATGATTGGTTAAAAACGTCCTAAACCATGGAATTTCAACCAATGACTCGACCGGTTATTTTCATTGGAGGTACAAAAAAATGAAATTGTTTTTATAAATTTCACTTTTTTTCATTTGTAGCTGCCACACTGGGATTGCATACATCAATCGTGTTGACAACTATACTACTAATAGTCAAAAGTTACAACATATTTCCCATAAGTTTTCAAGATTTGCCATTGGTTCTTTATAATGATACCTCGCATACACAAGATCTGGCATGGCGGTATGCAATGCAGTACAAAAATAGAGTCATACATCCCATTTTTGGTCTTAAGCCTCGAAAACAGCTTTCAGAAACACTCGAACTTATATTTGAAGGGGGCGATATTTTCTCGGAGATAAATATGAAGTTACTTAATGAAACAGAATCAAAATTGTTCTATAGACAAGACTATCAAGCCAAGTTTTGCTATCCAAGTATTCAAAATGATTGCGAGAAACCCATATCAGTCCTCCGGCTCTTTGACGGCACATATACAGATGTTGACCGAGTCTTCAATTCAGGATCATTCAAAAACGCATCAAGTATCATATGTAAAGCCGTCAAGAATAATAAAACAAGAGTTTTTCTCCTACCACTTTTGGAAAAGGACTATGATCCTTGTGATGCAAACAAGAGATCGTCAAAAACACGATTGTTTATGTTATTTAGTTGGAAATCGAAGGAACATTATAATGAAAATACATATCGCGAATATCTAAGTTTAAAAATACAAAAAGAGGTTAAAAGACTCCAAGACGAAGTATTAGACGCACATATGTCAGTGTTTTATTATAGCATTAAGATGTATCTTTATGACGTTTATCGTGAAGCATTCAGAAATATGAAATTAGCAATAGGAAGTTTTTTGTTTATTTTCATGTTTATGTGGTTCCAGACCAAGTCATTTTGGATAACATTCTTTGGAATACTGAGTATTTTCACGAGTTTTCTCTTAACAAATCTTATTTATAGGTTTGTTCTTCAATATAGATATTTCGGATTTTTTCATATTATTTCTGTTTTCATCATTCTTGGAATTGGTGCGGATGATATCTTTATATTCTACGACACTTGGATACTATCAAAACATACCAGATATCCATCAAAAGCTCACCGTCTTGCAGATTGTTATTTGAAAGCAGCAAAAACGACATTTGTGACATCGCTTACAACAATGGCAGCATTTCTAGTGAGTGCGCCCTCTCCGTTACTACCCGTTGCTTCCTTCGGAATCTTTACTGGAATGCTAGTCGGTGTTAACTTTTTATTTGACCTCACATGCTTTCCAATCGTAATTTTGTTTCATTCTGAGGTAATAACGCCATGCTTTGTTAGACTGATTCCATGTTCAAGGAAGACATTGTCGGTAAGGACAGAAAGTCATGATAGATTAATCACATCACTACAAAACAGAACATCTAGTGATAATAATGATTGCTCCCGAGATGTGACTTATCACCAGCTACAGCTCCAAGATGAAGTGAACGAGGAAAATGAAACAAAAATTGACACAGCAGAACATTCTAAAAAAAGGAATAAAGTAGTTTGGTTTTTGGAGAATAAATTCTACAATTTTATGATTTGGAAACCAGTAAGAATAGTAATACCTCTAACTTTCCTAATAATTACTGCATTTTTTACATACAGTGCTACAACTTTAGAAGCTGACAGTTCTCAGGTAAGATATTTGTATTTTATTTTTATATTCCACGATTACAGAACAAAAAAAAATGTCTTTTATTTCCTTACTGTCCTGTGCTAGATAAATCACTAAAGTGGTGTGTGTTTTGCTCTCATAGAGAATCCGCGGTTTGCAATTTCCAGAAAAACGCAGCGGACTCATAACTTTTTTAAGTGTTATTTCAATTTTGTTTAGCACTGGGTAGATACCACTGATGGTGGACTATTAGGCCCCAATGTTATCATCAGCACAGTAGTCAACGAGAAATAATGATTTCTGCCTTGTCTTGAAATAACTTTTGAATTTCTCAGTCATATAACCAAGCGTCTAATTTTACTAGTAATGAATTTACACCGAATAGTTGCCTATTTTGTATTCTTTAAATTGCAGAAAATTAATTTTTTTGTTTCACAATTGAGAATCAAACTAAAACAAGTGCACTTTTATTTGCTTTCAGGTTAAAATTTACAGAGAATCTAACAACTATGCAAAAGCTATAGAGCGCCATTTCTCTTGGTTTCAACAGAACTATGATAACAGTTACAACAGACTTCATCTTACATGGGGCATGAAGCCACAAAACATGCAATCGTGTGACTGGAAGTCAGGTGACTCTTGTAAAGGACAGTCTGAAATCGATGGACATTTTGATATGTCGTCATCTGAAGCACAAATCTCACTCATGGTAAGTCTGACATAATGCTTGATAACAGTTTTCCGTGTAAAATTCTGCAGTACTTTGATAGTAAAGATATAAAATTTCAAAATAAAAATGAACACAGCCAAGGTTTGTTAATATTGTCTCCGTTTCCGGTGCACGGATGCGGCATGATTGACGTCTGTTATTCCTATTTTCTTTACTATCAGAAGTCAATAATTTCCTATTCTTATTTATGAATTCATTTTCAGAATCCCGAAAATGGAGACCATCCGTACAAAAAGTTCCTCTTTAACAGTACATGTAATGTGTTCAATTCTTTATTCAGTAACATTGTGTTACTGTATTTGTCAAAACCTTTCGGATTTTTTTTGTCCTCAATGCACCTCAACGTCGTAGTTGATTTAGCCGTATAACTTTTTTGATTCGAGCGTCAATGAAGAGTCTTCTTTAGATGAAACGAGCGTCTGGTGTACAAAATTATAAACCCTGAGTCGATTTTTTTTATTGAATTCTTTGTTTGCATTTTGTATTTGTTTGAAATATATTGATAAAATATGCAAGGAAAAACAGTATTATAAACGTGAAAAATTACCAGTGCTACATATTTTTTTTCTCTTAGAACTTGTGCCGACTATTAGAAAATTTTACAGATGAAGAAATAACATCCTACGGAATAAAAAGAAACCCAGTGACGAACAAACCAGAAATAGCATGTTTTATTTCGGCCTTGCATAAATTTATACAGGTGAGAAAAGATCATGTGCTTTTACTTGAAGTATATAACCAAGGAAGCCGTCTTACTAAAAAGATAGTTCGAATATTGTCTATTTTTCTTTCAATTTTTAAAGTCGTATTTGATGAATTTAAAATGTGATGGTCACAAGCTTTAATTTCGTATAAACTAAAACAAAAACGGCATTAGAAAGCAGTATCATGCCACGAAGATGTCAATTTCAAAGTAGATAGCTCATAACATATTTATCAAATTTTAGGTATCATTTTTGGAGTATATCATGAAAATTACATATTTCCATAAAAATATTCACATTGTCAGTATTTAAAGTTATCTTTTTTTTTCAAAATAACTAAAACTAGCGCCGGATAAAGTTTGCACGAAAGTTGTTATCATACAAATTGGAAACATAGACGAAATCAAGTGATTCGTCTTTCAGTCAATACAAGATCAGCATTTGTATGCATTGAACATCTTCTGTAATTATTATGAAATAAAATAATGTAAGTACTTTATTATATGTATTTTCAGAATACTGGTTACCTGGAAAATATTCCATTTCCGTTTACAAATGAATCTGTTGTTCCGTTTATGAGAAGAAATTTTCATATATACAACATATCAAGTGTACCGGCAAACTTTAACAGATATTTTGAGGTAAAATAGAAGCTTTTTTGACCCACCTACAATAGTAGAGGGCATTGTTTTCTCGGATAATGCGAACGGGACATGGTGACATATGGACACAAACTCTTTTTTATTCATTTTCTAGTTGACATGATTTTCCCACTATTTGATGATTATCATATCGTACATATAAGTTTTGAACACAGGCACTTGTCTCTGAAAAAAAAATTCCTATATACCTTAATATAAAAAAAATATTCGTCGTAAAAAATCTTCTTTTCTAAACCTGCTTAGCCAATCGAAGTCGGACTTTAACACAATCTATCGCGATTAGTGTCCATATATGGTATAAAGAGTTCCTGTCAATTAGGCAACACAACAGCTGTTATTAAAGTAGAGCATAGATATAATGAGGTATACACGGAAAGTTTCAATCAACAACACTGTTTTGGCTAAAAAGAGAAATATAAAAAAAATATTATTAATGACCTCAACGACCTTTAAAACTGATAAGCGTATTATGTAATTGGAAAATCTTACAAATTGTTACTAAACTTCAAGGAAAGATAAGAGAATGCCGGCAGGCTGAATATTGGTTTGCATCCCAAAATGTTATAAAAAGCCATCCATTCTACTCCTTAAAAGCAATTATGAAAAGGGTTATTCATGTACACACTGAATATAAGTCTTTTTTATGTTAAAAATACTTGCAAAAATATTTCTATTAATCTAAGACTCTACCAGAGTTATGGTACTCGTATTATTTTTATCTTTTTATCCATGCATATTTAACCGGAGCTATGCATGGACATCATGAGAGCGATACAGGTTCCTAATAGTCTCTTATAAACTTAAGTTTGGTTATATATTACATATTGAAAAGTAAATAGAATTTTAATACAAATTGTAGATTCTTGTATCTTATTGGCTTAGTAATGGATATACACACATTCCAACTGAAGACTTCTTGACATATCATCGTCTTATTGGTGAGACAACAATACCAGGAGTAACTCAACATTTCAACAGATCGTCTTTTATTGGTAACTAAAATTTCTCATTTATGACATTACTGAATAGGACTTTTTATGGGTTTTTTTTCTTTTGCTCGTTATATCCTCAGGATCTTTAAAATAGTTTTGATTGAAGCGGTCCGGAGACTCCATATGACAGTTATTTCCCTTTCTGTATTTAAAATAAGTGAAATGTAATTGTAACTGGTACACCATAAGTAAAAGAGACCAGGGTCTTTTGAATTGAGGTCCTTGGTCCTCCAAAAAGAAAATGGGGTCAAGGTCAAAGATCAAGGTCAGATTATAATTTTTTTTTAATTTGGCTTAATATTGCTTCTTTTCAGAAACCGTGTAAGATATCGACAAAATATTTTAACTTAACTGATATTTGCGACGTGTCGTAACATACATATTTTGGTTAAAAGGGTGCGTTGACATTTAATGGGAGTTTCCTCCCCTCTAATACTCAAAATAAACATTATTGGGATAGAACTCATTTCCCTTACATAGTGGAGACTAAGGGTAATTTGATTTGAGGTCCTTGCTTTATGACCTTGAATTTTAGTTCAAGGTCAAAGGTAAAATTGACGTTCTAGATTTTGACCTTTGCTGTAGATTCATATTTTTACATGATAAAGCCTTGGGATCTTTTGCATTAGGTTAGTAGACATATGACCTTTAAAATGTCAACCAGAAGTGACCTTTTTTAAACCGGAAGTAGCAATTAATTTCCCTTATTTAAAGCAAAACTATATAGAAACTATATATTCTTTAAATCAGAGTAAAGTAAGCTATTATTTGACTCCGGAAGTGACTTTGATGTAACCGGAAGTGGCTTATTATCTCCCTTAATTGATGAAAAAAGTGCCTCAAACATTGTATTTTCAAAATCAGTGTGTGATAAGCTATCATTTAAGCCCGGACATACTGTTTTTAATCAAAATTTTCTAATCTTAAGTGAATTTGAGTGGAAAGACCTTCAATTGTTCTCTGAACAATTGGTTTTTAATTTGTTCTTGTTATGTGCTATTGGTTAGAACAGGTGATTGTGTATAAAAACGCATAGCAAAAGCATGGTTGAATGTCCCTTTGGTGTCTTTCGTCTCTGTTGCTAGGGGTTTGCTATTTAGGACTAAGATTTTTAAATAGAAATCAATTTTGATCTGTTTCCATTTTTATGTAGGAACGTATGGAACAAGACTGAGAGTAATTGCAATAGAAATAAACACAACATTTACTTTTCAAAACATTGGATATCGTGAAGGCAAACCAATATATCATTTGTGGGAAAAGTTTATACAGCAGGAGGTAAAAGAAGTTTGTACTTGCACGTGTTACATGTGAACAAAATAATATAAATACAACTACACGTATAAGAATTTATAATTAAATAGTTTAACTTAAGATATGTATCCACTAAATTGATGCAATCTTATTAACCAATGGAAATGAAATTTTCTCTGTTGAACCCATTCACATTTTCGAGATTCTGAGTTATTTTGAATCTTTTCATATCACATGGACTAACAATTATATATAATTTTTGTGGTGGTTTTTTTTTATACCTGCCTTCTTTGATCAATGATTTTTTTATAAGATAACATTCTTCCATTTTTTACAGAAAACAGTAATTTTAAAACAGTCAATTATATGTCAAAACAACTAAATATTTTATTTTTAATAATAATAATAATTTATCGACTGTCAAACTTATAATGACTACAAAAATGAAATATTCAAGCAAACACAAAGAAAAGAAGAGAAGAGCAACATTAATTGTACTAAAACAATTCTTTTTTTTCGTATTTGCTTTTTCACCTGACTATGGTGATATAGGTTTTGATGAATTAAAACATCAAAATAATTGACTATTCCTTTTCTAATATATTATATATAATAGTCTATAGAAAAACAAACAATCAGCAAATTTAATACACAAGACAAGACAAGACAAGGCAATATTTTATTAAAGTCAGACTTTCCTCTCTTACAAAACATTAACAAATCATAAATTCACTTATAAAACAAGAGCAACTTTAAAAGAGTTAAGAGAGACTATATATTTTTTTTAAATATAAACAAGTCTATACGTGTGCATGCAAAACAAATTTCTTGGTAGAGGGGTCTAAATACTGCACAAACAACATTTTCCAAAAGACAAAAAAAGTGAAAAAGTATATTTTAACAAAACGCATTTGACTAGCAGGTCGAACAACGGATGTTCTTAAACCCTGCTGACTGCCATTGGCGATTACCAAATAAACGGATCACCATATGTAACAAAATGGATCTTAACTATTAATTTAATACCAAACAGAAAACAATAAACTAGCGGAAAAGATGGTATACCGCAAACAAAAGGTGCAAAAATTAGTACACCATATCCGGATTTCGACAATTAATGTTTTAAATATATATACACATAAAAAATAAAACATAAAACATAATAAAAAATATACCTTTTAAGAATATGATAAACATTTTCTTTTCAATTAAACAACATAGCAGATCTTAGCAGTGTGAAAGTAAAGATTTTCCCCATTTAATAAAAGTACAAATTTATTTATTTACTATAAAAATCATGACAAAAAAAAATTGCACGTAAATTTTCATATAATGGCAAACTCAAAATTACATGTTTCTCATCTTCAATTGTATTATCTTTACAATTAAAACAAACTCTAATTTTGATACATACCAGACAGTCTAATGACGGTACAGCACAAACAAACAAACAAAATTAAATATCTGACAATTTGTGCAACGATATTGATTAAAAATCAAAATATACGTACAAGATGAAATGAAATTGTATCCATAGATATTTCGGCACAACAAATAGCCTTCATCAGTTTCAGTCCTTTTTCAAAATGTAATAAAACAATGAGGTCTTTGTGAGATAATAGAACTCACTCAAGTATACAGGTAATCTTATACTTTATCCAACTTTAAAAAAAATCCAAATAACGGTAAAATATTTTTGGCTAACCTAAATACATGACCACTTTATCAGTACCTTTTCTAGAAATAAATGGAAAAGAGTAAAATTTGAAATCAATCAACATTTGTATGTAGTAGAAAAACAAAGGATATGGGGTATCCATTCATGAAAAAAAATCAGTACATGCAAAGCAAGAAAACCCAAAAAGGCAAAGGAACAGCGCTTTTATTGTTGTTCTTCATCTCAAAGTCACAGTGAGGCCTTCAACAAAAAACAAAAAAACAACAAAAAAACCCTCACCTCACTGCAAGTTTAAGGCGGCCCGTGGCACCAGTTTGAGCGGAATTATTTGCAAAATGATTCGGATAGACTTTGTAAGATGTAACCCCATCAAAACACCAGGTTTTGTTTTAGATAATATGCATATGATTTTTTTATTATTTTTGAACTAGGTATCAAAGATGCCAAGTTCTATGAAAAGTGGCTTCCAATCTACTTATGAATCGTGGCACTGGATAAAACTTCAAGAGGTATGAAGATGTACAAGTTAAACTTAAAGTATAACGGACAGGATGTTTGCGCTGTTACCTGTACCACGAAGGACGTTTGCGCTCTAAACACAATGGACATTTGCGCTTTAAGCTATGATACACCTGAACTAAATTGACTGGAAATTTGCGCTTTTTACTTATGATAGTTTACTTGTAATGTTAACCAAATTAAACAAAGTCATTGAAAGATGTTCACATATTCTTTGAAAGTTCATGGCTTATCTAGTAAGATTGTTTTAATTTTTGAAGACCGAAATTTGATTTTTCAAACCACCTGTTGTTCTTTTTGTCTTTGAGAGAAAAATCATTGTTGTTTTAAGGAATTTACCACATTCACGCTCTTGAAGTGTTGTCGTTTTCATCTGACACAAGCTTGATGGCGAAAAATGAAGTCCAGTGGCAGATCGGTGGTGGGAGTTCCGGGCGTTAGAACCCCCCCTTTTTTTGACGATCAATGCATTTGAATGGGGACATATAGTTGGAACCCCCTCTTTATCCTGGGTTAGTAACAACACCCCCCCCTTTTTTTTTATAAATGGCTGGAGCCGCCCCTGAAGTCCTAGCTGTATATGAACACATGAATGTATTGTGTTTTTAAAATTAAATGATCTTTTAAACTTTTAACCATAATATAACTCAAATGTTGTGTTGTCTGTTAATAAAGCGCAAATGTCCTTTTGGAAAGCGAAAATTTTCTTTTTTAAAAGCGCAAATGTCCTTTCAAAAGACGCAAACGTCGCGCACCGAGCATACTCTTTGGTAAAAACGTATTGTGGTTTCTATTGAAAAGCCAAAAAGGCCAGATAAAATCAGCTTTTATTAATGAAATGTCACTGTGATTTGTATGCATTATATAATACGGCTTACATTTTCACTTTACTTTCAGACTCTTGTGAAATCTGCAGTCAGAGGTGTTGTCATTGGAATATCATTAGCATTTCCAATTCTAACGCTCACAACATTGAATGTGGTGATTGGCTTTCTTGCTACTATTTGCATCACTATGATTACCGTGGTTGTGGTTGGTTTAATCCCTCTGATTGGATGGAAACTAGGGGTGAGTCGATATTTAAAAAGGTGTTCAAGATTAGGCAATAAAATGTATTACTGTTGAGAATATATAAACTATAAGTGAATTTTAGTCAAATTTTGTACAAATTGTGTAATTTGTACAAATGTGTAATTTGTACAAACACTTTTTGGACAAATTACAATTTGTACAAAATAAAAATACAAACTAAAATTTGTACAATTGTTTTGTACAAATTAAAATGAATACAACAGGATAACTTGTACACAATATATATATATATATATAGTTTTCCTTGTTCATTGTTCGAACTTCTTGCAGTAATTGCACATACATTGAAGATGTGAAGATGTGCACCTCCTACTTTGTACAGGTCTGAATAAATTTTTATCAGGTTTATAATGTGTTGAACATTGACTTTGTCTTTTTTTCAAATTGTTTTGCGTGAAAATGTTAAACCAACAAGCAAGTCGGACTCATACACAAACTAAAAACACGCCCATACTAAGGTAACAGGTATACAACTAGGCGTCAATTCTTAAAATCATTATCATTCGTGTAAAACAAAACATTTTGAACTATACTTACTATACGGTATATCTTATCTCTTTTTAGGTATTGGAATCTATCAATCTGAGTTTAATCGTTGGACTGTCGGTTGACTATGTGGTGCATTTTGCAGAGGCATACAGAACCTCTCCATTTACCCACCGTAAAGACCGCGTAAAGAGCATGTTAGAAGGCATGGGACTGTCTGTATTATCAGGGGCGATAACAACCTTTGGTGCTGCTGTTTTTATGCTGTTTGCTGAAATTCAATTTTCATATCAGTTTGGAATATTTGTGATGTGCACAATCGGAACATCTTTTCTGTTTTCATTTCTGTTATTTCCTGCATTTATGGCATCATTTGGACCCGAAGGAGATAGTGGGTCAATTCCAGCAATTGTTAAAGCGATTAAATTGAGGTATCATAGGAAACAGGAATATATGAGAGTTAATTGCGATGAAACGTACGATTCAGACATTGAACTATTGAGTTAGTTGCGATGAAACGTACGATTCAGACATTGAACTATTGAGTTAGTTGCGATGATACGTACGATTAAGACATTTAACTATTGAGTTGATTACGATGATACGTACGATTCCGGTATTGAACTTTTTTTGAGATTATTGCGATGATAAGTACGATTCAGACATAAGTGCGATTTAGACATTGAACTATTGAGATTATTGCGATGATATGTACCTTTCAGACATTGAACTATTGAGATTATTGGGATGATATGTGCGATTCAGATATTGACTTATTGGAATTATTGCGATGATACGTACGATTGTTGAGATTATTGTGATGATAATTGCGATTCAGACATTGAACCATTAGAATTATTGTATCAATACGTATGATTCAAATATTGAACTAATGGAATTATTGTGATGATATATGCGATTCAGATATTGAACTATCGAGATTATTGCGATGATATGTACTATTCAGACATTGAACTATTGAGATTATTGTGATGATATGTGCGATTCAGATATTGACCTATTGGAATTATTGCGATGATACGTTCGATTGTTCAGATTATTGTGATGATAATTGCGATTCAGACATTGAACCATTAGAATTATGGTATCGATACGTATGATTCATATATTGAACTAATGGAATTATAGTGATGATATATGCGATTCAGATATTGAACAATTGAGATTATTGCGGTGATACGTACGATTTAGACATTTTCTTATTCAATTTAGACATTAGCTTATTCATAAATTGTAGGGCTTGTATTTCCTATCATAACTTCCTTAATAGAGGGTTGCTGCTCACAAGAAAGCTATTAAACCAAGAGTTTCAAGTGGTGAAGTTGAAATCATCCCTTCGTAAATTTTACGGACGCCATCACGAGTTGGTTGACCGTTATGGAGTATCCGTTTCACAGATGACAACGTGTATGTTCCAATTGTCGTAACTACAATCCCGTCCCCTTTTCCCCGAATGTGACCTAGCGAACTAGATTTATCACCGGGTTTGTACAACATGAGCAACACGACGGGCGCCACATGTGGAGCAGGATCTGCTTACCCTTGAATTTGTTTGTTTGTCTTTTTTTTTTAGCCATGGCATTGTCAGTTTATTTTCGACTTGTGAGTTTGAATGTCACTTTGCATGTTTGGTATCCGTCGCCTCTTTTGTATAAGAACATAATTTATCAGTTTGTTTTGTTATAATGATGTCTTGTTATTATTTTTGATGAATATGATTATAAAGATGAGTTTTGTCTGAATAGTGAGGACCGATAATGTTTTAAGCGCTAATCATAGAAATATTTTCATCTGGGGTCTACAGCAGGTCAAAGACTGGTATGCGGTTGTCTCTCCGTTTGGGATGAAACATTTTGCACACTTACTCGAGTTTGCCATTACCGATTTACCAGAAACTTTTTAATCCTTTGAAATGGTTATACGAGAATCTGATTACCTTCAGACGATTTTCTCATTTGTAATTTGAGAGATTTATGACTTTATCCAGTGAAATAAATGTTTTATAAACGCAAACTTGTCAATACAATATTTGGTTTATACAAAAGTATACAAACAATAAAAAACATTTATTTAAATAAAGGGGATTAAATTTGTTTTTTTTTCTTTTCGGTTTTGTCTAGACTAATCTTTGTATAAGAAAGAGAAAAACCGGGTCATTAAGAATATAATCATACTTAATAGAGGATTTAAATATTTTCTTATGTCTGACAAAATTTACATAACTATAAGCTGCAATTAAAAAATTAAATTGCTTGGAAAATCCATAGATAATAAACCTGAAATGTTAAATAACGGACATGGTTATTGCAGCTTACTTTAATTCACAGGAAAAAAGTATTAACAAAAATACCGAACACTAAGGTAAAATCAAAAAGGGGAAGTCCATAATATTGAAAATCAAAGTACTGAAGTACTGAACATCGGATGACCGCAGGTTCTTGTGGATGGTCAAAAGCACATGTCACAGAAACAGATCACATCTCTATACCTGAAACTGAGGTTAATTTACAGAGATTTTTTTTTCTTATACAAGTTCGTGCTTGGATGATGAATAAATGACAGGAAATTCAACCTCACCGTAATAACTATTATATTGTAGTGATACAAATCAGTATACCTTAGACTATTATACTAATATAATAATAGTTCCAGAGAATACACTGGTTTGTTGTTATATATTATATTAATATTACGGTTGCATGTATATATAATTTTCATCTATTTGTATATCATACTATTCTACTATTATTATAGTGTAATGCAAGTGCATGGTGGACACTCTTCTGTAAAAAAAAAGTCAAAGTCTTAAAGGCTGTAAAAGCAATTGCTGCCATGTTAATGTTTTGTGGACTTTTATTTTTCATCCATATATATAAGAATTAAACCTGACAGGACAGGAGTGTTGACTAGTGAGAAGCAAGACGGTTTTAACTTTATATCAATATAAGACTTTAGCAGGAAATCATTTTAAATATGTTTTATATTTTACAAGGAGACAACAAGTTTACCAGGCTAAAGTTGGGGTTAATTATACATGTGCTGAAACATATAACTGAAAAAAAAAATCATTATGGATTAGCCCCTGGTAGTGTTTGTAACTGGGCAATAATTTCCTTTATTGATTTAATTTTAACCATTTTCATAATTAATTTAAATTAACCATTCAGTTAAAACATTTCAACTTTCCAGACGCAAATGTTGAAAAACGGGACAGAAATAAAATATCTTACAAGACATAAACATGTAAAAAATAAATATATATTTCAGCTTACTAAAAATATTTTCATAATGTTACTTTGACATCATTTCTTAAAACTAAGTCCCAAACATAATTGCTCAGTTGACATGTGTCATCCTCATGCGATACGAGATAACTATAATTCTGATGCAATCCCGAAAAGGGGGGTCATCACAAACAAACATGACATTAAATTGTCATTATACGAACTAGAACAAACAGCTCTATGTTGCTTTGATATTTATCAATTTTCAGGAAACATGTGAAATAAATTTCAGGTCCATTTCATTATAGTGCCTAACAAGATTGTGTGAGGTAGACGAAATTGACCTTAAAACGATCGTATTGTCTTTTGATGTCCAAAAATAGGCAGATCGGACATATAAGGACTTTATCTAATGACTACATAAATTTGGGATTTATTATTATTATAATATTCTAATGAAACTGAAAATTGTATTTTTTTTTAGGATAAACAACAATTTTACCTGGCGTAGCCGTTCATAAATGTTTTTCTGCATTTATCTTCGAAAAATGGCGTATTTAATGGAATAGAACGTTAATACAGTAAACTTTCTCTTTTTTCTCCGCAATAGGCTATCAAAAATAATTTATCTAATGTGTATGTGGAAAATTATGTGAAAAGATAAAAAGTGGCAATTGTTACCTTTCATACCTTAAGTTTCGTTCATCTGATTCTGACCAATGCTTATATACTAAATATCTATTTATATGCCGCTATTATTGTTGTTGTTACCAATTATGTAAATCAATTGTATCTGATTTTATGCCCTTTATGGGCCCTGTAATTTGGGAAATAAAAAAAAATCTATTCATTGATAAAACGTAATATGGACTGGTCCAGTGTCCAGTTTGCAGGTCATTTAATTTTCTGTACACATTCATGCACGCTCTGATTTAATCAATATACTCGTACGAAAAAGCATGAACAGTTTGAAGGTAATCTAATAATAACTTAATCCAATCAAATTGCATAAGATTCAATAACAATGTCAAGTCCACATCATAATGAGTAATAGAGGTAAACTGGGTAGGGAGAAAATGACAGATATTTCAAGTTAATATTTATGCAATAACGAATTAAAATTTGTCAACCAAAAGTTTTGCTACAATTTCAAAAACATGTCGTTCTGTATGGGTATAGTTTTCGGATCTTTCATTAGCGTATTTAAGGCTATAAAAAGTTTGGGCTTCAAAAGTTCACACAATTATTGACTTTATACAGAAAATTCGTCCTTGTAAAACATTTAATAGTTCACAAATGATACGCGATTTTAAAGTAAAATTATTTCTTAAAACACTGCAAAAAATTTCATTCATATTGATAAAGTGGTATCGTCATAAAGTGCGTTGAAATGAACAGTGGTATAGCAAACATCGAATTCCCTCACAAAATGTTATCACACACTACAGTAAGGGGAGTCAGTTAAGTTTGTCTATTTTTAGATACTATACAGGTAATCTTTTGACACTACGTATACAACCTGTGTGACCTGTGTAGTGATTTTGATTTTACGATAAATTCATGAATGAACGATAATTTTATGAATGAACATGAGCACCTGACCTCTTTCTTAAACACCTATTAAACATATAAAACCGTATTTAATAAGGAGATAATTCAGTCAAATTTTCAGTACTAAATCAACAACTGAAATGATTCCATTTTTTGATGAAACATCGTACGAACGGAGAACGGAATCGCAGGTATAAAAATGCACTTTTTCCCTTGTAATGACCGCGGATCTATAATTTTTATAGATCGGTTGAAATCCCAAAACTAATTTGCATAATGGAAATTTAGGCGATAGCAATACAGCGGAATGACCTCAAGGTCATCCTCTGTAAAAATCACACGTTTTAACGTAGATTTTATCAACCACCGGACTGAATAGAAAACAACTGTCATATTCCTGATTTGTACAGACATTTTCCAAAGAAATTTGGAAAATGTCGGGTTAAACCTGGTTTTAAAGCTAGCTAACCCTCCCAGTTGTATGACATTTGTTTGTAGATCCGTTATAATGATAAAATCGGGTGCGCAATCCATACAGACATAATTAGTTAATGTGACAGTAATTGGGATCCAGCAGCCAAAACTGCTTAAACATATATCACAGACATACTACAGAACTGACTAAAAAATTTAAACAAACATATTTATAAATCTAACAAGGACGCCAACACAAAAATTATTTTAGTTCATAGTAAATCTGACAAAAATATTTTTGTATTGGATAGTACATCAGTATATAGTATACACTTTCTCGATAAAGTACAAATTAAGTAAAATATAAATACAAGGGTAAACAAAATGAGAACAACACTGTAAAAACCTCTTGCGTCCGAATTGCACATCTGGACCAATCAGCACTAGGAACGTCCAAAGCCAAAAACCCGATAGCTGAATTCAGTAATACCTACGGCTATATAGTTACGTTAAGACATACGACCAAAAGTAACATGATAGCTCAAAAACAAATAAAGGAAAACTGTAAAGTAAACAAAAAGATACAAACTTCAGTTCCTTGAATCTACAACTAAATACCATCTTGTATTATTTGTGAAGTAGACATTAAATATTTGTTTATCAGGTCTTGGTACTTTCCGATGAAGTTTTTGAGAAAAAGGACAAAATATTCTTTGACAAAACCCTGGCTCATTAACTTTTTTTGCTCAGACACCGATGACGTTTTACAAAGTCTGAGTAGCATCTGCGAGCTCTTGAATATCGTATGAGTGGAGAAATGTATAATCCATACGCAGATGAAGTAGGTACATTGCTGCTAAGGTGAGGAAAGTTCATAATTTCAAAATTGAAATCGTCTCGTTTGTCATAGATTCTAGTACTGAGGTGACCATTGTAGTCAAATTCGAGGTATGAAGTTGTATTTATGGTCTCTTTAAACTCTAGTTCAGGAGGATATATTAATAGGACCAATCAGAAAAGTTTTGATTGTTGATGAAAGAACATTATCAATATAGCTATATGTGAAATTAAATGATCTTGATTCTTTGATTTTATTTTTACAAGTGTCGGAAGGAACTCCGAAAATAGGAAAAAGGTCGGTCAGGAGATGTTCACAGTTGATTCCCATAGGAGGGCCGACCACCTCCTGGAAAACTCTACCTCCAAATTTAACAAATATGTTGTCAATGAGAAACTCCAGCATACTGATCACTTGTTTTTCCATGTAGCATGTTTTATTTTCGGGCTTATTTTAAACAAAACTTGCCTAATTATAACACAAAACAATAGATTTGAAGCGTATGGTTCACCTTATATTCAGGAAAGCATTTTGAATAATATCTTTGCAGGAAGGAAACGTTTGCAGGGAAACAGTAAAGAAACGCAAAATGAAGTTGTCAGGGAACCATATCATTTTCCTTCATCAATTTTCCTGTGACGCCGTAAGACGGCAAAACTCATCAAAGATAATGGGCTTATAAAAGGCTTCCTTTGCTTTTTGTGTGTTTTTTTGCTGCACATGTACTGACTTTGTGTCATGGATGGATACCCCATATCCTTTGTTTTTTCTATTATAATTTGTTACGCCCGACGCTTAAACAAAAGCATTTATAAAAATATTGTTTTGCTGCGGCTTATGCCTAAAAACTTTTCAAGATAATTGGCAAAAACGCTTAAATTGGAAAAAAAATGTAATTTAAGGGTTATAACTCCTATAGGGAGTTAAATCGGTGATGGTTTGAACTTTCATATTGTTATTTTTTTTAGAAATTGTATTGATGATCAGTGTTGACGTTTACACCGTTTCTTTCTGTATCACATGTTTAAAGTAAGTAAAAACAACCGCTAAAATTGGTTAAATTTCGACTATAATTAAGCCAATGAGGCGCCTGACAATATTGCTAGAACCGTAAAGTAGTTAGATCATAATATTTTAAATGTGTAGCGTTTTATCATGATTCCGTCCGATTTGTTCGTTATCTATTATGATTATTAAGATAGGCTTGAATTTTACCCTATGACTCTACTGGTTGTCATGGAGATCATGTTGTTTTGTTGGCAAGGATCATTCTGAGTGACAAAGTTTTTTTTTCTTTGAGAAAATTTTAAGTGTAAACGATTACATGAAAGTCTTACTGTAAATCATAATCATTGATAATCAACAGCGTGTTTATTTTAAATTTTCAACTAAAATCTCAATTGACTAGTTGTATAAAGTCATGTAAAGTGGCTGTATGATAACTTGAGTTTGCAAATTAAAACCATATGGGTCAGGCAAAAACGAAATATAACACAGTACAGTGCGAAAACACAATAATTATAGAATATTTAACAAAAAATAGTCATATTAGTGTGTGTGTTTCTTTTATTGACATGGGCCTCATTTTCGTGAACCCAAATATTTCTTATAAAGTCACCAACTGCTGACAAAAGTTTAAATTCAGGATTTAGCTTGAAAAGTGGTTTTTATGACTTTGCATTCTTATTCAATTTTAACGTTTTTATGTTGATATTTTCATTTTACATTTTGTTTCGGACATGCGTTGGGCAGCGCATTGAAAGTAAAAACAGAAAATCTCGTAAAAAGAAGCTGCAAGAAAACAAACAGAAAAAGGCAAATATTGCCCCTGAGATCCGCGGTGGTATGTTATATCAGAGACATATCATCCGTAATACAATGCCGCCTGATTATATGTTTTAAAACTTCCGTTTTATCTCAGATTTTATCTTCTGTAAATAAATGCCTTTGACTCGACTGTCTGTAATAAAATCGGTGTATTCAAGACCTTTTAAGTATAGACGTCAAGTGATATCTGTTTTAATTTCATCCTCAATGATTATTTAATTTTGCTAATGGTTTAGTCATATAAAGTTTCGGAGCAAAATCCTATCTCTTTTAAGGTAGCACAATACAAAGATTGTATACCTCCAACTCCCCAGTTTTAAAATGCTGTAACTTTCTTTATAATGCTTGAAAATTTATAAAAGTGGTATTTATGGATAGCTAACAGATTACTCTTTCAAATTAATGCAATGTTAGTATTATACAACAATTATGTAATTAATTATAATTTTAACTGTGTCTACAAAATTTTACAAAACATTTCCACTTTCAATTGAAATTATCTTCTTCATGGATACCCCGAGAGGGTTGATTTTATAATATATTGTTCCTAGAGCCATTATCTACTAAAGGGTTTCTCAGATTTTGGATAGAATGTATAGATCAAATTTTACACCTAATCAAATAATCTCTACTTTTATGTGGTAAGGATGTTTACACTAATTACAGATTTATGAGAGAATGGAATACGATAGCGATAATTTGAGACACCCTTTTGTAGCTCCTGCTGTGTTGATTAAGATAACGTTAAAATTTCTTGTGTAGTTATAGAGATGTCAGAGCTAAATTTATTCAAGTGAACTGACTAAGATTTTGCCATTAATTGCATAATAATTGATTTCATAATGATTGCATAACAAAAATATTGCATTCATTTAAAAGATTAATCTTTTATCTATCTATATATACCTCTTTTATTAATTTGTATGCAGTCATAAGAAAGTAACATCATTTTAAAGGTTGGAGATTGGAAGTAAAAAAATCTTTGTATTGTGCTACCTTAATATATTCAAAGCAAGTTTATGCATGCTTTAATTAAGCCTTATGTACACCTCTGAGGAGCCAAAAATTTCTAGATGATTAAACTTTTTTTCTTAACCTCATTTTTGGGTTTATATGACTGTTAAAAGATAATTGGTGATGAAAAAAATCATATGGTGGTGCACTTCTTTTTTTGCTACAGCCATTTGAAAGTACCCAATTTTGATGATTTACCCATTTTCATCAATTTTTACCCATTTAATTTTAGGCTATTATCATGAAAAAAATCACAGTTTCACAATTAAACTTTTTTCATACTTTCACTAAAGATGAAGTGGACCAATCTGAATAAATTTAACTTTAAAAAAAACTACAGGTAGGTGTTAATATAAGAAAGTTTTATAAAATTTTGATGCTTTTTCGTGTCAAATTTACCATGTTGTCAATTTTGTAAATTTGGGATTTTTCTCTCTTTTTAGAACAAAAAGCATATTATTTCAACTTCTTTGTTATTAATGATTGAAAAAATACATATCTAAGAAATTTGAAAAGAAAAAATTGATATGAGATGTACATGCATCTGGTAAAATCATTTCTTGTACCCTCACCCATTTTCTCAACATTTTGGCTAATGAGACTGACTTGATTGGTCACTATAAAATTTGAAAATTTTATTACTCAAAAACTACTTATTGTAAATACACAATTTTTTTCACAGAGTTAAGTTTGATTATAATATTTTTAAATTCATTGATTATGATATTTTCCTCTCAGTGTATCACATGTTTTGGAAATAATTCCAGAACGAGATTTCAACGAGACTGAAATGTCAGAAGAATACATCCTTAAGGGTGTAAATTATTGTCCCGTTCCAATTTTCAAAAAGAGTTATTAATCTTAGCGATTTGTTTTTAATATTTGTTTATAGAAAACGAACATTAGACAATATTGTCTGTTAATATTTCACAGCAAATCCGGAAATTAGTCCGGTACGATTTTTGACTTGAACAACCCAAGAGCATTTTATCGTACCCAAGCAGGTGCCATGACGATTGTAAACAATATGGTGGTTTAAATTATCCTTCTGACTCGAGGAGTGCACTTTAACAGATTAATTGAACAAAAATGGCAGACCAAGAAAAGATACTTGAGGCTGCAAAGGCAGAAATACAATCTGCCATGAACAAAGCTTTTGAAAACGTGGCTGGTGATGGGGAACCCAATAAAGCTGCAGAGTCAGGCGGACCATCAGAAGAAAAAGATTACGTTGAACCGATCCAAGATCCTTATGGAAAAGCAATCAAATATCTAGAAAAGCATAACGTTATGCAACTTTTTCAGGTAATTAGACAAGTTTTAATCTAGATAAAAAAATAGATTACCCAACAATTTTACAGTAGCCCATAGCATAGGCATACATAGCTGCTAAACCTTAGCTCATAGGTCTTTATGATATTTTTTGACAATTTGCGGACAAATTAAGGACTTACAATAGTCTTTCTATATAAATCATTGGTAAATATTTTTTTTTTACAACAATAGTTATATGTTTGAAAAGGTTAATACCTGTTTCCAGTCATATATGATATAACGAAAGATTTTGATTGCCAGTTTATAGGATTTTAAAGGAGACTTTGTTTCTTTAGTTATAAAAGAAATGTTCAGTTTCAACAGTTTAGAATGACTCAAATATCAAATCAATGCATGCACTGGTACATAGAAAACCCAAAGACATGCTAAAAAACATGAAAACAATATTTTACGTGGTCTAATATTGTCAACTTTGATTAAAAAAAAAGACAATTATACAGCGATACATGTCAATTTTACTTAATTTGAATAGTATTCTTTTTCTTTCATGAAAACAATTGTTTCTCTTTATGTAGGAACATGACAACATGTAGTAAACAATAGGTAAAATTGATTTTATGATTCATTTAGGAAACAACTAGCTGTGTCAAGCAGCACATACATGTACCTTTTTTTTACTGATTTGTAAACAATCAAGTACATATATTGTAAGTGTTTCTATCTTTTTGTACTTGCAGGCTTTGACAGCTAGCATTGTATACAACAAACCAGACGACCCACTGCAGACAATGATGAAAGAAATAGAAACAATGAAGAAACAATCGGGTTAACAGACTTTTATGGAGAAGTTGTGTGTGTGAAGTGCAATCTGTTTTACAAGAGATTTATACCACTGTCCTTCAGTTGTTGTTTTGGTTCAATATTTCATGTTGTTAGCATAATAATCATTGAATTTATAATTGAACAGTATTATGTAAATGAAAATTACTGCCTTATTTGTATATATGAGTTGATTGTAATTTTAAATACATTGACAATCAAACATCCTGAGTGACGTTTTTAGATGTAAAATTTCAAAGAGTAGTTCAATTAATAGTGTATTGATTTAAAAGTATAAATCATACATGTATTACATTATTTTTTCAACTAAATTTAAAACAAACCAGACTACTATATTTTATACCATGAACAAGACAGGTCAAAATTACATTTCAGTTGTGCAATTTACCTAATTAATTTTTTATAAGTATGCATTTATTCTGTTTTGCATTCTACTCTAAAGACGGTTTTTCTTTATCTATAAATGAGGTCGATACTATAGATCATTATAATTTTTCACAACATTTCTCACATGTGATCATGTGACAGGAGGTTTCAACACTACAATTTTGAAGAATTTTCCAAGCAATAGTTCACTGACCCAATTCAACACTGATGATTTTATTTCATGAAAATAATTAATTTGATCTTGTGGAAAATATTGTGCTATTTTTATGATGCCACAGAAACCTTGCCTAAAGAGATGGTCAAGTAAACAGAAATTAGAAAAAAATCTTGTTTGATATTAAATTATGTGAAGCGAAATCTGTGATATAGTAGAAATTAGTTTTATTTTTATAATCAGCCTTATAAGTACCCAAGCACTTACAAAATTTAAGCTGAAACCAGACTTATGTTGAAATAATTTAATTGAAAAGAAACAGTATTTTCTTTTATCTTCAAGTACTATTTTTAAAATCCATTTCACATTGTTAAAGATTTCTCAACATGATCAGAATAATAAATGGAACATTATTAGATGCTTGTACATGTAACAAATTCAAAAAATTAAGCAATACTATATCAGTGGTGCTTACAGTAGGTGGGATAGAGTGGGTTGGATCCTAGCCTTTTTTGAATGAGATAAAAATTGACAAAATTCAAGGCCTATTCAATAGGCCTTAACCTGGAAACTCTGCTTGGTCAGAATCTAACCATAAGTGAGCTTATGGGTGCTTAATTGATTTTAGACCATAATATAAGTGAAGGAGCTTATTAGGCTGAGTACAATATATAATAATTATGTATTCTGATTTATTTTTGTATATAGTCAACCTTAGTTAAGCATACAGATGTGCCAATATTGTAATGTTGTAAAAATTGTTATTTTTTATATTGTATAAAGTTTGTGTGCATTTGAAAATATATGATCTATACACTATTGTAAAGTTGTTGAATGACATCAGTCTATAGAATAAAATGATATTTTAAACAGATAGTATAATTATTTCCTTTGAAAATTGAAGAAAGAATACATACAGTTCAATACATTAATAAGTTTGGAGGTTGAATTCTTACTTAAGTTTTGTAGAGAGATCTATATGTATTTAATAAAAGTGGAATTTTAGGACCAGTTAATAAGGTGTTTCAGACTTTAAAGGTACATTTTTGGCTTATTGAAGCAAACACCATAGAAAAATGGTTCTTATGCATGAAAAAAAAAATAATTGGCTAAAAGAATAAGCCTTTTATTTTCTCCACATATAAAAGCATTAACCCTTATTTATAAATGAATAATATTTATATACAACGAAGTAGAATACATATGATAACTGGTTGCCACATTAAAGATCAAAAGTGCTGATAGTGGCGTTAAACCCCATACAATCAATTGATCGGTCAAATAATCTGATAAAAAACAGTGAGAAGTATACATTCTAAACTCCTACTACTATGGTAGAGATATTTAATTTCAAATTTCAAATGGATTCAACTGTTGGAAGATTTTCCAATTGCTTTCTAATTTATTCAATGTTGTAGTCAGAAAACCAACTAGTTGTTTGTGTGGTAGAAGGTTCTTCTCAATTGCTGGGAGTGTGAGTTCAACCCCAAAATTTGTACATTTAGTTGCAAGTATGAGCCAATATGGGTTAGTTTGGAGTCAGAATAATGTGACAGAGTAGGGTGGCAGCCCCTAATTTGTATATCTTTGAAACACAGATTCCATTTAGTCATTTTTGCTTGCCCTCCCGAAGCACTTGAGCTCACCCATGGTATTTGAAGTGGTTCATGTTGCTTAGTCTTTAAATTTCTATATTGTGTATTGTAGACTGTTGTTTGTTTTTTCCTGTTTTTTTTTTGTTGCCATGGCATTGTCCGTTTGTTTATACCTTTGGTATTTTTGCCTCTCTTAAAACAAATGTCTTCTTCGCGATAAAGTGAACTCAGTTGACCTTTGCAGGAGTAAACTCATTTGACCTTTGCAGGAGTAAACAGTTACTAATATTTGTTCAAGACTGACTCTTATCAAGATTTTCTTGATAAGAGGTCTGCTACTTACTAGTAAGTTATTGAACCAAGGTTTTTAATGGTTTATTTGAAGCTATCCTTTTGAAAGTTTTACAAACGTAATCAGGGTTTGGTTGACCTTAATTGAAAATTTATGTCACATATGACTTTAATTATGTTTCAATTGTTATAGCCTTTATTGAGATATCATTGAATATACCTTATCACCAGAATTATACTTGCCTTGAGCAACATAACAGGTGCAACTAATGAGGCAGGAACTGCTTAAAACCATTCTGGAGCATGTGAATTTGTCCATGGTTTATAGAAGGGTTCGTGTTGCTCAATCTTTTCTGTGTAGTGTTTTTTGGCCAATTTTTCTTCTTTTTTTCTTTTGCCATGGTATTGTATGTTTTTTATTAAACCTTATTTACTTTTCCTTTTGACAAATTTAGTGGGTGTTTTTTTCAGTTACTGTTTTGAGTGGCTTTTGTCAACATAATAACAAATCGAAACAACTTGAAAGTTTATATTTTAATATAAACATACTAATAAATAAATGTCTGATAAATAACAAGTAACTATATTTTTACTACAACCTCTTAAGTAGCTACAGCTCTATCAAATTGAAATTTTAATTGGTCACATAACATGTAAGAGAATTAACTTTTAAATTGTCAGCAGAAAGTATAACAAAACAAAAATGTTTTGATTTTGCTGTAAAGGTGTGACCTACTTTCAGCATTCCTCAAGTTGAAGGACATAAAAAAGCACTGTTGTTTTGATTTATGATTTTCCAGTACTTTACATGCTTGTTGCCTACTGTATCCTAACCTCATAGCAGTTTTTTTTAACCTATCAAGGATAATTGTGAACTCCTGGATGTTCAAGACATAAAACATAAATGTCTTAAATAAGAAATGAAATATTTTCAAACATGCAAACACTTACTGCAACTAGAAATTTATCTACATTATTCCTTTTTTTTAATATTTGAAAATTGGTTAAAAAGTCCTATTTGATGTACTTTCTTTATTAAATAATTTTCATTTGATATGTGGTCACATAGAAAAAAAATCTTTTTAAACACATGTGATGTTTTAACATTTGGTCTTCTGAAATGCAAAGTTGCCATTTTCATTTTCATTGTATCGCAATGACAAAGTTAAAATATGATACCAAACTTCAATGTTTCAATGGAATTTAAGTACCGGTATTTAATTAATGTTAGGGAAAAAAAGGAAGCACAAATGGTTCATGAAACAGTAATTGGTTATAAAAAGTACAAATCAGCAAGATTAGGAAAAAAAGACAACATATTTTTTTACCGTAAATATGTTTCAAAGATCTACAAAAGCACATATAAATGTTACAGAATTTGCATGGCACATTCATATAGGTGTGCTGATACACATATGTAATAGGTAAGGCTAAATCCTATATAACTGAGACATTCCCAGACAACTAATATACTATTTTCATCTAGATATTCTTAGTAAACAATTAATGCACAATATAAAAGGATAAATATCAGTACAAAAACTAGGCAAAATAAATTAATTGTTTAGATTCTCACCCACCTACTAAGATATGTGATGTAGAGCTTACTTATATTTTGTTGTTGATATATATTCAATCATTAAAATTGCTAAGAATTTTAAATGTATTTGAAAAATAACACAATGGATGAAAATGAAGGAAAAATGAGATGGAGGAGGAATAAAAATCTAAAAATTTAATTCATTTGGCCTTGTAGAAAAAAATGCAATATAAATGTATATGTTGTAAAAATGTATAGAAATTTATCACAGATACTAGAAGAGATTCCTACAAACATACAACCAGTCAAATTTTACCATGAAATAAATCATGGCTATTTCACATAAAATCTATTTATGTAAATATGACATACATACAACCCGTCAAAACTGCCCATGAAATAAAAACAAATTGTAGCTTATTTCAAAACATAGAATTAGTAGGATATATACAACCAGTCAATATTTCATGTATAGAAGAGTATGTTAATAATACAAAACAAAATCCTTTCTGGACAAATATAGGCTTATATACAATCGAGATAGAAAAAAATTCATGATCAAATCAAAACGTTTTGTCATAGTCAACAAATTTTTACTGTAAATGATATATATGATATGGCGAAATCTCAAGTCTGCTTACAACCTGATCGGTGATGACCTTGTATCTGGTCCCAGCTTGAATTCCTAGATATGACTAACAAATTTGGTATGGTATAATTACTTATGGTGGGATGTTTTTATTATCTATTGATGTAAATGTAAAGCCAGTTGAAATTCAGAAGTTGATTCAGTTTACACATAATTCTTAAACCTAAAAATGTCCATACTTTTAATCAATAAATCCTAGCATTTATCAAAGAAATTGTTAAAGTTTGTTTAAACCTTATTTTGACTTATTGAAGTCTTTTAAGTTCTACCATACTTGAGCATACACAGAAAATGATCCTAACAATGTTTAAAAATAACAAGAACAATAATATGCTGCCATAAAGCTATAATTTCAGTTCTTTTATACAAGTCTGTTTAAAAGGCAGTGAATATTTCATATCCCATCAAAAATGCCATTTCTTCACAACCATATGCATTCTGGAAAATAACATCTGGAGGGCAACTTGTTTTTCAGTTTATCCACACTTTTCCTATTGTCTATACACATTTCCATACAAAAATACTGAAAAAATAAGGTTATCTGTGTTATTAACTATTAATATCATTATAACATTTCAAAAATATAATATAGAAAGATAGAATTTATGACACTCTTTTTGCTAGGACTATTCTAGAAGTTATTTGTGGTCTTTTAGGCACTTGGATATAAATTTCCATTGGTGGTTAAGTCTACCATTAATAAACAAACATGCATTTCAATAAGAAATATTAGTAAATGAATCTAAACTATGATTTCTATTTTTTATTTCACTTGTGTTTTGAAATGCAAGACATTTTTACATTGACTTTATAGTGTAAAGTAAAACTTTTTTTCTTTAAAAGATACCAAGGTCTTTCACATCTATATCTCAGATGGTAAATTGCTCTACATTTAAACACCAATATACACTGAGACATTGAGAGACTGGATTTTTTTTGGGTGTCGGCTAACACGGTAGTGATTTGTAGGAAGACTAGTTTTTGTATGTACTTTAAAATGCAGCATGCTTAGTTGGAATTCAGCAATACCAATAACAATCTCCCACACTAAAGACACCATCACAAACACACACAGATGGGAGCAGCTAAATATAAATAAAAGGAGTCGGGGTAAACATCAATGACCCAGCAACCCAATGACACAAAAGATCATATGATCTTCAACAAAAGAATACTGTAAATTCAGAAATTATTGCGATGTTTTTATTATTGCGAAAAATGCAACAGGGTTATAATCGCAATAATTTAAACTCGCATTTTAAATTTTTTGATATGAATTAAACAGGATTTTTATTTAAATCGCATTTTAGTCTAAAATGACAAAATCGCAATAATAAATGCACGCAATAATTTCTGAATTTACAGTAGTGTCTACACAATAGTCAAGCTCTAAATTGCCTCTCAGTTAGTATAGATTTGAATAAATTTTACATCAAAGACCTGACATCAGAACGAAATTCCATAAGTGAAAAAAACCCCACTAAGATATCACAAAGGACAACCAATGACACAGTTCCTGCCATAAATTTGTGGCAGTGTTAATCTTTCAAATGGGAGTAAAATAATTTGATTTCTCACCAGCAATCATCTCCTCCAGTGCTTATGAGATATTTATCATCTGATGTAAATCTCACATTGGTTACATCAGCAGAATGGCCTCCATACTTCTTACACTCAGCCTGTGAAATAAGGAATAATTTGGATATATATTATTCACAAGTCAAATTAACAATTTACAGATCACATTCACAATTTAAATCTATACCTTAATGTAAGAGGGACTATTCTCACCAAAACTGAACTATGAAAATCTGTTTTGATATAAACTGAAAATTAATACTGTCCAATCATTTTTAAAAAGGACCTTTAGTTTAAAATTTGTTGATTATTCAATCATTTCTTTTGGAGAAAAGTTCAATCCAAATATTAAAACAAAAAAATATCAACATTTGAAATATGACAATCATATGTAGAACTGTAACAAGGTGATCATCTAATAAACATACACATATTATAAGCGTATTTAAGAAAATTTCTCAATGAATGATGCCTGATGCAATATGATGACTTATGGAATAAGAGCAATAAAATTACAAGGACATCTATAAATTTTTTTCTAAGTCTTCAAATAATCTCCATTAAATTAAAAGAATTTCCTTGCTAACATGTGCAATTAAAGGATAAACTATTCATGTGTTAAGCATTTTATTACAAGTGGTTTATTCTATTTCAATTGTATGTAACTACCTGCAACTGTTTAACATTTTCTCTGTATTTCAAAAACATTAGTCAGTTGAAACTCAGGTAAAGCTGAAGCAAGAGGTTTTACTTTTGCAATATTGCTTTCATTACCTAACATTTGTTTATTTAGTAGTAGGTTAAAGTTCTGACTGAACTGGCCAGTTTTAAGATATATATGAGTTTGTGTGTAAAAAGAATTAGTTGCAATTGAAAGTCATGCAAAAGAAATTAATGCTTCTTACATGTTTTTCTCTGCAGGGGAATTCAAACAGTTTGACATATCCAAAGTCATCGCCTGTGGCTAGGGCGTTACCATGGTGAGACAGGTGAGCACAATTAACATCAGCATTTGGAGAATCTTTTGGCCAAATTCCAAGTACCTCTGGACCAACCACACTACAAAACAAATAATATATACAATACATTATGATAAAACTTGTCTTCCGTACAGCAAGAAGAAGGGTCAAGGGAGATAACAGTCTCATAAAATATTGGAAAATTACCACTGTTTAGCTATTTCCCTCTTGATTTAAATAAAGCTTATGCAGAAGTTAAAGTTATTCGTATATAGCAAATACCAAGTCTTATATAACACATTAACTCTAATTTCTTTACATAAAATTCTCAATCGGTTATGGATTATAAAGAATATTCAAGGCTAAACATATTTACATTTACACAAAAGTGTTATCATTTATCAGCAAAAAGTTCAGGTTTTGGCAATTAAACCAGAAAAAGACAAGATAGTAGTGATTCATATTGTCATACAAAATCAGTGATAAGGTATCAATTTGATGACAGAAAAATAGAAGCAATTAAGATTTCATTCCAAATCCATAATCACAAAACATCTTCTGAAAGTGTTACTGCATCTGGAAAATTTGAGATAAAGATACTATTCCTGTTTTATCAAAACTAATTGCTCTTTTTAGAACAAGAGAAAAGATAAAATTATTATTTATTACTTCTGGGTAAATCAGATGTAGTTGTCTCATATCTTCTGGGCTGAAGCCCCTCAGATATGAGAAGACTACATCTTATACATTAATAAAAAGCATATAATTTCTAAAATGAAGTGAAATTTTTGTACCTTGTCCAATCAGCCCATGTGATTTTATCTACAATCTCTGGTTTCTCTACTCTTGATCCACTTGGTACAGCAAACACTCTGTGTGTGTAATCTCCTGAACTAACCTTATGTGTAAAAACATATATGATCAGATGCAGATTGTTTTAATAAATGACATTTTTTGTTAGAATTTATCAATTTATTCAATTCCGTAAATTTTACCCATAAAGGATATGTGTCAATAATTTTTTTTAAATATAAATGAAATTCAGATGAAATTACAATATTTCTTGATTTTTACTTTAATTATACAAATATCAGGCCTCTTCTAGGAAAAGATGAATTTGAGGGTTGGGGGTTTAAATGTCACTCCTTTTAATGACCAACCTCAAATACAATTTTCAAAAGTGTAATATATAGGTTTTGCACCCAGTTCCCCATGTATTGTCATGTAAAGTGATGTCCCACATATCCTCGCATAAGTAATCCTAAGTATTCTAAAACTTGATAAGTCTTTTTAAAAATCTTGGAAAAATCATATTTTCAAAAATATGGCCATAACGTCTGCTTCTCTAAATACGAATTAATCTTGTGTGATTAAGAAGTATACAGTACTTTCTTTCTGAAAGTAACTCAAGAAAAATTTAATAATGAATACTAATAAATAAGATATTCAGCTGGTTGTCTCCCCTGATGAAATTTTCACTGGTTTTCCATAATCTTTAAAGTATGTAAATTGAATACAAGATTGGCACTAAAATCTAGACTGGGTCACCTGTCTTTTCTGTATCTAGGCTTTTACATATAAGGGAGGAAATTTAAAAGCCATCTTTCTCCTCTAGAATTTTAAATCATCATTGGGAGCATGACCTGAAAACTTACCCTGATGTATTTGCTATCTGCTGAGAAATCCATCTGGATAACAAAACTTGGTATTCCTTTACAATAGCCAGCTCTATTAAGTGTTGGTCCTTGGGACAGATCATAGAAATCTACTGTATTTTCCTCTGAACCAACGGCTAAATATTTACCATCAGAACTAAATCTAAAAATATGTATAAATAAAGAATAACATAAATTTGCATTCTACCGTAATATGCTATCCCTCGTGATAAAATATTAAACATAAAGACATGAATTATTTCTTACCGTCTTTTGGTGTATATAGTACAGGGGCTTTTACTCTGAAAATAATTTCTGAAAAGGGGGACTCGTATCATGTATGGCTACACTGTTCTTGAGATTTTTTAAAATTATTTTTAACTAACTATTATCATGATGAACATTAAACAGTTGATTCTAACCATTTCAAGTGCTGTTATCTAAGTTAGAAGTACTTTCCTTGTGTTTTATATTATTAAATTACTATTTTCATGATGAGCATTAAACAGTTGATTCTAACCTCAACTTTGAAAAAGGAAAGTCCATTCTGTGTACTTTCAAATATAAATGGACCAGTTCCTTTTTTGATTGTTGTTCTAAATTAATTCAAAAGATTTTCTAGACTCATGCCAATGTATTCCATAAAACGATTGTCTATCATTGACCTCTTAATGTCTTTTGTGAAGTTTTTCTGTTGTTGGGTTGCTCATCAGGAGATAACTATTGTATTTTAAGCTCCGACGGCATCAATTGGTGATTTGATGGTTGCAAATTAAGTTTACTGGCAATGCGTTAGCATTGCCAGTAAACGGGTATTATTGTCAGAATTTTTTCCAGTTTTTCTTTTTAAAATTACACCAACAGAACTGAAGTAAATGTACAATGTAGTAATATTTTATTTTTATGATATCACATTATGTTCAGTGAACAACTTTGCAAGATTATATCATACATACTTGACGTCACTAATGGCACCAGATCTATCTCTCCTCTTTCCCCACATCTTCATTCCATTGACTGTTAACACCATCACTTCACCATTCTTCAAACCTACAGCTACTAATTCTCCATCTCGACTAAACGATGCTGACTTAGCTGCTCCTACTTCTAACCTACCTACCATGGCCTAAATGGAAAAAATAAAACATACATCTGTCTGAATTTAAGCACAAATGCCACTTATAAAAGATAACCATCTGCAAATAAGAAAAAGGATGCAGCTAACATCAGATAAATTGTTTGAATTTAAGGAGACATGCCATCGATGAACTAATAGTAATGATAATTATAATCAATTTTTTTTCTATAGATATTGTCAGTGAGCTCATAAAATTATACCTCTTGCTCTGTTTCCCTTTCAAGATGGGATGTTCAATTATCTCCCTTTAAAGATAACTGACTCTATTTATTTCCCTTCATGCACATCTCCATATGGTGTAGTACCTTTGTGTAAAGTTTCATTGAAATATGACGAATGGTTAAAGAGAAGTTGCACTTACAAGATGCATGGACAAGACAGACCCCAATGACCATGACCTATAGTTGTTTACACCCCCTTCTTTAGGTTACTTGTGTCACTGGCTATCATTACTTGTCTACTTATTCTTATATGGTGGGTGATTCCAATATACCCATTAAAATCATTTGCAGGGGAAGAGGTTTAACAATGAAAATTCTTCAATTTTTTACAGAACTTCCTGCATCAGCACCACATGATTACACAATCCATAGGGTAACAATTAAATACTATAAAATACTAACCTTGTTTGTAAGATCCCACAGTCTAACTGTTCCATCAAAACTGGCTGTAATAAATCTAGGAATAGAAGGATGACTATCCAGACCCCACAACTCTCCTTCAGCATGAGCAGATAATAAAGTCTGAATGTTGCCATCTTTTTCTCCGATCTCTATCACAGAATTCATCTTTGTTCCTACTAATATTTTACCCTAAAACAAAACATTTCATTTCAAAATATACTGACTGTTAATGACATCTTTAATCTAAATCCATTGGATGTTGGATGTGTACTGATTGATATTTAAGTCTTAGATACATGATTATTTTATTAGGTGTTATTGGCTTTGAACTAGCTGTCAGTAACTGCCAGTACTCTCAGATCTGTAATTAGTGTCTTTTTTGTTGTGGTGATGTATAAATACCCTGCCATGTTCGGTCTGTGTTTTTGTTACTTGTTTTCTGCTTTGTATTGATCTGATGAGTTAACTTCTTAATCACACAAGATTAATATGTAACAATAATCTATTTATGGTGATGATTAAAAGTAAAGTTATTTTTCAAAAATGTAAAATTAAAACATTTGTTGTTAAACTTTTTTAAAAGCATCAATGCTTATTTGCCATTTAAAAACATTGTTTGTACCAAAAAGTTGGAAAGCTCAAAATTTTTGTTACTTATTTCATTTACTGTTTTTTCTCTCTAATCTTTCAAAAAAGTATAAATATATCCTGGAACATATCAAAACTTGCAGTTTGGATTTTTATGAAAGGTAGATATATCATGTAGACTATAATGCAAAATAAGGGAAAGTTTTCTTTTCTACCTCACCTAGTGATCTCCCTTGTAAGAACTGTACGTTTGTTTAAAATTTTCTTGTAAAATTTTGATGGACAATTTACAATTTTTTAATTACTTTTTTTATATGGTTAAGATAACAAAGACATGAATGATTTTAAACAAATAAATCTTGAAAAAAGAAACCGTGATAAGAGTAATTACCTTTGTCCTACACACAGATTTAACAACATCTGTTTTTGTCCCTGCCTCATGTAATGGGAAGGCCCTTCTTCTCTTCATTTCCTGGTCCCAGAGTTTAACTGGACCATTGTCTTTAGATCTATAAACATAAATAATAAATTCTAACAGTTGAAAGTGCTAATCCATCTCAGAAATGTTTTTTTTTTTTTTTAGAAAACTCTTTGACCTTGAAGCATTAAGTGTATCAGAATATCTAGGTTGTTGTTGACAGGTAAAACAAGTAAAACTGCGAGCTACTGCTCACTGATATTACCCCCGCCGCAACTGGATAATTTTATTAGTGTAAAAATATGTAAGTGTTCGGATAACAGGAAATTGTTGAGTGATGAATCTGAAAACGCATCACAAGGTATAGCTGATTTATATAGACCCTGAAACCAAATTTCAGAAATCCTTATGATGTAGTTCCTGAGAAAGCTGTGACGAAAAATATTCATGGGACGGATGGACTGACGGATGGACAAATGGAAGGAAGGACGGACGGACGGACAGACAGACAGAGGTAAAACAGTATACCCCCACTTTTTTAAAGCGGGGGTATAATTAAGGCCTGACTTTCTCTTTACACAGGTTTGTGCCATTTATGAAATTTCATGTACTTCAGAAAAGGGTACGGCATTACTTTTTACAAGGCCAACAATTATCATTCTTCAACATTTTGTTTTTGTCATTTTGAGCTTTAATGATATACATTTATCTATTTTTTTATTGGGAAAAAAGTCTAGAAATATTAAGAACTAGTCCTTGGTAAATTGTGTTGATGGTCAAATATTGATGTGCCTAGAATTATGTAAATCAATGCAAGACATCAAAAAGCAACAATTATAGAAATATGTCATTATTATCAGTAGCAATAAGACCACCCCTAACCCAACACACAAATCAGATGGCACATGACAGCCATTTGTAATATTATTTTGATGTCATATTGTATTATCTGAAATAATGTGTGTCCAATTTTCACTAAAGACATTTTACACTGAAATTTTACCCTACATGAATATCAAATTTCTGAAAGGCAAAAAATTAACACAGCAAAAATTAAACTGGTTCTTTTAAAACTTTGTACAAACTGTGAATAAAACCTGACATGAACATAACCTAATATACCATATTATCGCTATTTTACAAAATTTTCCTTTGATCTTACTGACTGATAATTTCCTTTCTCAGCACAGTAGAGTGATGTGAAAAATTACCGCTAGAAACTAAGGGAGCGCATGTGCCATTGTCAATGAAATTAACAACGTTGTCATAGGTAAAATAACGATAAACAGATTATCATTGGTCATCTCAACTTGATTGCTTTTCTCACTTTCGCCGTAGCCGTCAAGCTAGAAAATCAATCCTGTTGAGATGACCAACGATAATCTATAAATACTTACGGAGGATCCTTTCCACCAGTAACAATAAAACCATCCCTGAGTGTAGTAAACATGGAGAACACAGGACCAGTGTGAGCCTTTGGTACAATTCTAACTAATGTTGTTTCCTGCCATACATAGACATCTCCGCTCATTGCGCCAGTGTAGGTTAAGTTGTTCTGAAAACAAAAATTAACTTATTTCATAAATTATCAAATAAAGACCAAAACCTGTGTAAACAACAAAAAAGAAATATCTTGTATTCAAACTTTGGCAAACCTAGAAATAGCTTGTATGCAAACTTCAGCAAACCTAGAAATAGCTTGTATGCCAACTTTGGCAAACCTAGAAATAACTTGTTTGCCAACTTTGTAAAACCTAGAAATCAAGTACCTCTGAACCTACAATTTATTCTCAATCCACAAAATTGGTATCTTTGAAAATGAAATGAAACCACAGTAAGTTTTCTATAGTTATCCAACTTGTGTAAATTGATCTTCTTTTCCATTCCAAAGGTGTTCAGTTTTAAAACGTTGAAGAGATACATCTGAAAACAACTCACCGCACCAAAAGCAACACATAACATAGTCTGCATCTTTTTAGATTCGACTCCTGTTCCAGCACTAGTTAAGATCCCTTTCTTCCCTGTCAATTCACTACCGGTAACAGTCCAAAATTTAACATGTTTCACACCAACAGATACAAATTGACTATCAGAATCTGGACGGAACTCAGCACTAAATATTCTCTGTGTGTGGCCTGGAGCACTGGCAACTTTAGAACCTGAATAAAAAATTGGTTTCTTCTATAAAATTTCATAAATTTAAAAAATAACATATGACTTAGACATTTCTTTTTTTTTATATTTCAACAGCTTTCTCAAGTTATTGAAACACTTCCACAGAGTCATCTCCTCTTAATCAAGGTATCTAAACTTTTGTCAGTTCTATTGTTCCATTGTATAAATACAATAGCTATTGTTCTCTGTGTAGTTTATTCACTGGGATCTTTTAATTTCTTCTCAGAGAAATCAAATACATTCCAAAAAGAAATAATACGTTAGAACTTGAAGAATATCTATCAATTTGAAATCAAATGAAATTCAGCGAAAATACATGAACGATTTTGGCGCTTAAACGGCTAAACGTGACGTCATACAAATGACAACGTTCAAACTGAAGGTTATTTCGTTACTTCTATGATTCAATTTTGGATTAAATCTCATCAAAACGGCATTTTTGGGGTAGGTGTTGTTTTTTACGATTATATTGTAGTAATCAAACATTTGTTAATCCAAACACTTCAATATGGGGACTCACTCCTTAGTTACAACATGTCAACCATGGTATTGGGCTAAATTTTAGCCAATGAAAAAAATGGTTACATAATAATTGCATTAGAATATCTGTCTTGTATCTCTTTTAATAAGGTGAATGTTTTGGAAAGCTTTATTATTATCACTGATATCTAAAACAAACAAGTTGATCTTCAGTCTTTGTATTTGAAGGAAAACAGAAAAACAAGATGTCAGAAACTATAAACAGGTTTTTTTTGTAGCAATACTAACCTTCTTGCCACCTCCAAACAGCAATAATATTATCTAATCCAACAGACAACAAAAATTTCCCTGAGCAGGAGAAATCTAGGGAACACACTCCACGACTGTGACATCCTCGTAGAATAGATTTGGTTTCCTTGGTAACAGCATCCCAGACATGGATTGATGGTGGTTCACCTATCTGGCCTGTAGCTATTATATTGCGTAGTTTTGGATATTGGTTAACAGTTAAACATAAAATATCATCTGTGTGTTTTAGGTAAAAACTTTGTTGTCCTGAAAAATAAAACTTTAATGTTTATCCTATTATTCTTTAAATTTTTATTTTTTTTATATTAGAATTCACAAGTTTTTAAAATTCATAGGCAAAGTATCAATTATGCTTATTCTGTCACATGTACCCAGGAATTATTATACTATTTACGGTTACACATTATTATACTGTACACCTGAAATATTTGTGGCTCATCTTTACAGCTCATTTACATAAATATTGAGATGATGAATATAGTAAAAAAAAACAAATTTCCTTGCTCTGAGTTAAGTCAGCTGCAAAAGCTTTAAAGTTTAAACATAACTAGAGGCTCTAAAGAGCCTGCGTCGCTCACCTTGGTCTATGTGCATATTAAACAAAGGACACAGATGGATTCATGATAAAATTGTGTTTTGGTGATGGTGATGTGTTTGTAGATCTTACTTAACTGAACATTCTTGCTGCTTACAATTATCTCTATCTATAATGAACTTGGCCCAGTAGTTACAGTGGAAAATATTTTGTAAAAATTTACAAAAATTTACAAAATTTATGAAATTGTAAAAAATTTACTATAAAGGGCAATAACTCCTTAAGGGGTCAATTGACAATTTTGGTCATGTTGACTTATTTGTAGATCTTACTTTGCTGTACATTATTGCTGTTTACAGTTTATCTCTATCTATAATAATATTCAAGATAATAACCAAAAGCTGCAAACTTTTCTTAAAATTACCAATTCAGGGTCAGCAACCCAACAACGTGTTGCCTGATTGGTCTGAAATTTTCAGGGCAGATAGATCTTGACCTAATGAACAACTTAATCCTCGTCAGATTTGCTCTAAATGCTTTGGTTTCAGAGATATGAGCCAAAAACTGCATTTTACCCTATGTACTATTTTTTAGCCATGTCGGCCATCTTGGTTCGCGGGCCGGGTCATCGGACACATTTTTTAAACTAGATACCCTAATGATGATTGTGGACAAGTTTGGTCAAATTTGTCTTAGTAGTTTCAGAGGAGAATATTTTTGTAAAAGATTACAAAAATTTACGAAAAATTGTTAAAAATTGACTATAAAGGGCAATAACTCCTTAAGGGGTCAACTGATCATTTTGGTCAAGTTGACTTATTTGTAGATCTTACTTTGCTGAACATTATTGCTGTTTACAGTTTATCTCTATCTATAATAATATTCAAGATAATAACCAAAAACAGCAAAATTTCCTTAAAATTACCAATTCAGGGGCAGCAACCCAACAACGGGGTGTCCGATTCATCTGAAAATTTCAGGGCAGATAGATCTTGACCTTATAAACAATTTTACCCCCATGTCAGATTTGCTCTAAATGCTTTGGTTTCAGAGATATAAGCCAAAATCTACATTTTACCCCTATGTTCTATTTTTAGCCATGGCGGCCATCTTGGTTGGTTGGCGGGGTCACCGGACACATTTTTTAAACTAGATACCCTAATGATGATTGTGGACAAGTTTGGTTTAATTTGGCCAGGTAGTTTCAGAGGAGAAGATTTTTGTAAAAGTTAACGACGACGGACGACGGACGCCAAGTGATGAGAAAAGCTCACTTGGCCCTTTGGGCCAGGTGAGCTAAAAATCAAACATGTGTAATTCATTTTCCACATAAAATTTGATGGGGCTTTTTTAATTTGTTTTATCAAAGTTCAATTCTATACCATCAATCTAATTTAAGGTTTTTTTTACAGAGTATTTCCCTCTTCTTATCATGCTTACCTGAAGACAAATTCTGTACAATTCCTGCACCAGCAGCATGGAAGACAATATCTGTACCATCATTGACATAGTAAAGATTATTACGAGAATCAAAACCACGGTAACCATAGACAAAATCTAATTTCAAATCCTAAAATAGAAAGAATGGAAAATTGGAAAATATAAATTACTCAACCTTTATAATAAGGAATTCTGCATAAGGATTGCACTGAACTATTACACCACTCCTAAAAATAATTAATAAATTGAAAATATCAATTCAAAACAATATTTTTTGTGTATCTTATTTCAGTCAAACCTTCATTAGTTTCAAGAAATTTTATTTGACAAATTGGGAGTAACATGACAGGTGTCAAACATAAAGCAGGATCTGCTATCCCTTCAGGAGCACCTTAGATGTCGTATTTTGTTTTTGCCATGGTATTGTCAGCTTCTCTTTGATTTGTGAGTTTTAAATGTCCCTTTGGTATCTACACACATTTAAAAAAAAAAAAGGTAATCTTAGCATTTTTTATGCATTTTTCTTCTGAACATTATCTTTAGCACTCAATCTCCCAAGATGAGAATTGAAGGTGCCATTCAAACTGAATATCAAGTATATTTAAAAGGAACAACCATAGATAGAAAAATCAAATAGAACTTACAGTAACTTGTGTCATTTTCTTTCTCTTTGATCCAGATGATGGCGGTTCTGCTCTTTTCACTTTAGGAGGTTCTGGAGCATTTCTACTGACACTTGGTCTACAATATAAAATAAAGTTTTGTTACTAAGTATTTCAATTTAATCTTATGAAATAATAACAATTTTACAAGTATCATGAAATCCTTTTTTTATGTTTGGCTCAGACATTTTATATCCAACACATATATACATTTGATCTTTTTAATTCATATCCTGAGAAACATTAAAACAGAAGTCAACTAAGGCATTGTTAAGCAGAGTAACCTCTCAATTTTAAAACATCATATACAATGTTTCCAATACTGCTTCATTTTGTAATTTAACAATCAACATCTGATCCCATTACAATGATCAGGCATAGTACCAAGGCTGAAGAAAGTTTATTGCAAAGTGTAAGCTCTTACCGGTATATGCTTAAAAACTTTTTTCTACTGTGTAAGAAATTTTTTCAATCTCAAAATATCTAGGGACTGTTTAACTGACAGGGAGGCATGAGCTTTTGTTACATGCTGGGATTTTGAAATCACCGATATAATAAATAAAGATCTGTTCCCTTGCTCTGGGTTTTTGTCAGTTGCATGTGGGGATTTTGATGTCATCAACCAATATGCCATATCCCTTTTTTGGGCATTTCAAATAGCATTTTATGCATGAATAGACAAAGAAACGAATGTGCAAGTCTGCAACTTGTTGCCAAAAATGTATCTTAAACTTACTTAGCAACTTGAACTGTTTCTTGTAGATGTGGTTTAACACCGTCTCTTTCTTTATTTGTGTTGGCATATATCTTTTTACCATAGTCCATATTCTTTTCTCTCTCTACATCGCTATCATATCCTGGGTTGAGATACAAGAAGAAAGATATTAGCATGTTTATATTGAAGAATATTATTGGTAAATAAAAAAGTCAATTTTTTTTCCTTCAGTGTGTTATTTGCACAAAATCATCATCAAGACCAGGGTGTTATTTTTAATTTTTCATCTTCCAGGCCAGGGTGTTATTTTCACATTTTCATCATCCAGGCTATGGTGTTATTTTCACATTTTTATCATCCAGGTTAGGGTGTTATTTTCACATTCTCATTATCCAAGCCAGGATGTTATTTTCACATTTTCCTCATTCAGGCCAGGATGTTATTTTCACATTTTCATCACCCAGGCCAGGGTATTATTTTCACTTTTCATCATTCAGGCCCAGGTGTTATTTTTACATTTTCATCATACATACCAGAGTGTTATTTTTACATTTTCATCATCCAGGCCAGGTTGTTATTTTCACAAGCATACCTGAAATTTGTATCATATCTTTATATTCTTAATGATAGTTTACCTCCTTCCTCTTCAGAATCTGTATCAGAGTCATCACTTTCTCCATGTACAAAATGTTTATCTTCTGGAGAGGAACAATTCCACACCATCACTGCAGTATCGGCACCTCCTGTTGATATCAACTTCCTGTCACTAGCCGTCCATCTTACATTAGTCACATGGGCACTGTGTCCAACATATTTTTTGTGTTTGGCAAATTTTCCCTAAATATAAGAAACATATCATAATTTAAAAAGTTTTGGAGAACACAATAATGGAAGAATTTTGACACTAATCAATTTTAAAATACATAAACTTTTGTTTGAGTGCAAAGTTTTTAATGTACTTTATGTTAATCATTAAATGTCTGTAACAAATGCTTTTTGGTTTAATCCTCTTGTTTTGAACTTTACTATTGAAATGACTCTATAAACAAAAAAGTTTTGGATAGCTTATATTTGTAAAATGAAATTATTTTTATATGATACATGCCTTTACTGGATAAACAAATAATTTTACAAATCCAAAGTCATCAGCTGTAGCTAAAAGTTGTCTGTCCTTTGTGAGACAGGTGGCATTAACGTCTGTAATATCACTTTTTGGAGGCCATACACCTTCACATGTGTCACCAAGGACAGAGGTCCATGAACACCAATCAAATTTCTCTATTTCTTGTTTCCTTAATGTGATACGACTGCCTCTTGGTGCCTCATAGAATAATTGTTCTTTGGCTCCTGAATTTACCATCAATACCTTTCCTGAAATTAACAAAATCATGCTCTCAAATATCTTACATAAAAGTTGTCTCCAACATAGAAGAGTCCTTTGATTGTTGCTTACTTAATGTCACATACCTTCGATCGAGTCAATTTAGTGAAAAGGTAACATTCTGAGTTCCCTTTCACTGATTACTGTAAATTCAAAAATTATTGTGTTGTTTTTATTATTGCCAATTATGCAACTGGGTGAGTCTATCAATAACAAAAACTCGCATTCTGATATCGGATACATTATCTTAAAATTTTCCAGAAATCACAACAATAATTAATCTTGCATTTTTGTCCTTACTTCATAAATTGCAATAATACATGCATGTAATAATTTCTGAATTTTCAGTATTTTAGATAATTTTACTTTTAAAAGAGGTGTGTCGCTTGCCGTCTCCAAATAAATTTTAAACAATCCAAATGCCATTAATACAAATACAGGAAAATTCAATCTCAAATAGGGCAACTAATTCAGATTGTACCTGCAATTATGACTTTTTCCTCTAATTTCCTTCACTGAAAGCTAACTGTTTACAAAAGTCTCACGACAAGTCTACAAATATTCTCTTGACCAGATGTTTCTGTTTCATTTGCATTGTGAACAGTTTCTAAACATTGAGTATTCTGAACAGCTAATTCACTTCCTTGTTAATATGTTTAACAGTAAGCATGAAGATTTTATGGCTTGAATACATTGCTTACCATTTTTATCCCAATCAACATGAGTGATATAACTAGATGCTCCTTTACATGTGCCTACTCTTTTCTGAGCTATGACATTGTATATATCTACAAAGTTGTCATGTGATGCTACTGCAAGGTATTTACCAGCATCTGAAAAAGATTTTTATGAAAAATATGAATCAAAAGAAACAAGTGAAACTGCGAGCTACTGCTCACTGATGATACCCCAGCCCAAATATTTCGGTAAACAGGAAGTTTTTGAGTGATGAATCTGAAAACGCATCACACAGTATAGCTGACTTATATAAACCCTGAAACCAAATTTCAGAAATCCTTGTATTGTAGTTCCTGAGAAAGATGCGACGAAAAATATTCATGGGACGGAAGGACGGCCTGACGGATGGATGGACTGACGGATGGAACGACAGAGGTAAAACAGTATACCCCCACTTTTCAAAAGCGGGGGTATAAATATTCTCTTTTGCTCTTAAATGAAATTTTCACACTGTATTCAATTTCCAAAGGATATAGATTTTAACTTATCAAAATTGGAAAACTGCAATCTTGTTCAATTTAAATATTCTTGTATTTGTAATTTATTTGTATTTTTGCAAAAAATAAGTATATGATATATATACACATATGTGAATAAATCTAATTCTTATATGCGTACTGCTAATAATTAACTACTTAATACATCGATTATTTAATACAACATTAAAATGAGTGCATACATTAGTTTTGATTGCAGAAATATGTATATAAGTACATACAAAAAGTACAAATATACAGATACAAAATTTTATGCAAATAATGTAAGTGGAGTAATAAATTGTATTTATCATCAAGTTCTCCCATATCTCTGATAATCATCATTTGGATGGGTATCTAATAAAAGTTAGAACTGGTACCTGGTGACCATTTGATGTCTGAGATTTCCTCCTTCCTGTGATGGAATGATGTAACATCTTCTAATGTATCAGTCTTCATCACAACAAAACTACCTGAAACATTTCAAATACATTTATAATTTACAGAGTTTTTACTTTTATTTGTAAACATCCTCAAGTAGAAACCTTAAAAATCTCATTAATTTATAACTTCCAGCACTTCAAACTTCATTTCAGCAAAAGTTCATACTTCTAAATTATTCATTGTAGTAAATAAACTATTTCCAAGACGTATTGGCCACTGCCATTCATCAGTTTCTCTGTTATTTCTCTTAACTACATGGTAGATCAATCAATTTTCTCAATGCCTTTAGAAGTTAATATTACCAACGAATTTGTGAAAATAACTGATCGACCATGTAGTTTAGAGAAATAACAGAGAAACAGCCAAAGGCCAGTGCAAACAGGTTATGTTCTAGAAATCAGTCTGAATAGATATGGGAAGAAACTGCAGACAACAAATTTAAACAATGTGTGGTGTACCAAAATTTATCAAACTGGTCAGAACCGGTTTCAATGCACACAAAGTTAGAGAAATTTTTTCCAGACTGTTCAAGATGATGATGGATGGCTGCTTAACAACCAGCGGCAAATTAATATGCATATTCAGGATGAGAACATGTAAATGTAATATGAATATTAACCCTGCTTTGTACTAGACCGACACACTGAGCCGGATTTTTAACTTGCTAGTTCACAAAGTAACAGTCCGCAGGAAGACATGTCACCTTACCCAGACATATTATTCTGACTCTGAGACGACCAGTCTATGCTCTTACTCTTTAATACCACGTGCTTAGCAGAGAAGCAGCAAATACCAATTTTAAAGTCTTTGGCTTGACCTGGCTGGGGTTTGAACCCATGACCTCCCACACTCATGGAGAACACGCTACCATGAGTTCTCCGAACCGTTCAAAACTATAATCTGTCATATGTTATTAAACACTAACCATCTTTTAGACCAACTGCTAAATGTTTTCCATCTGTAGAGAAAGTAATACATCTTCCAGCTTGTTTTAATTTCTTGATGCTCAACATTTTATGTTCATCTGTTGTATTCCAAACACGGACAGTTTTATCATCGCTGACAGTGGCAAATATATCCTGTGTTGGGTGGCATGCTAATCCCCAGATTTCACCTTCCATGTGACCCTGTTAAGTAATGTAATTTTAAAAATTGTATTTAATGGTAGTTTTGTAAATAAGCATTCAACTTAAAGTTTTATGGTATGATCAAATGTAGAAATATTTATATTTTATCATTATTCTAATATCTCAAAAAATATGATATAATTTTACAATCTCCCATCTGCATGCCTTATGCTGTATCCCACCCATAACTTATCTTTGTATTTCAAGAGCTCAATTTTTTTTTAAAACAATTTTACCATTCTCCCTTACCCCAAACTGTAATCTGACCATTGCTCACCTGTGTAAGTATACTGAGAGGTCCAGCTTTGTCAATTTCTATAATTTCTCCATTTTTTGTTCCCACCAATATTTTCCCATGTCCCAACACTATAGCCCTGACAGTAGGTGAATCAGCCATTAGCATGCCTCTGGATTCTGGTGACACAGAGTCTTTCTTAATTGAGTAGGTCTTCAGACATTGTTCAAACTGGTCATTCCATAAACCAACCACGCCATCTTTTCCACCTGTTACAAATCCCTGAAATTAATCAAAGCTGGTAATCAATCAACTTATTTTCCTTTTCTATGGCTCATCTTATTCAATTTCTTGAAACTTTTATAAATTTTTCTTCATGGAAAGGTTGAAGGTGCTTATGGTTTGAATATTAACATTAATTCATGCTTCAGTGCTATGGACGAAATGTACATCGTCTTAACCTTTGAAAATTATCAATGACCTAAGGAATAGCCAATGGAAATGTAGTTATATTGTCTCATGATGCTGGATAAGCCAATCAAATTAACACAGTTTTTGTATCACATTTTCGTATCACACTCTGTGCAGTGTAATAAGAGATATATCTCTTTGTGCAAGAAATAGATAACAGGCCATAACCATAAGAGAAATAAACTAAAAATATAGAGAAATATGTTCTAAATATAATTCAAATACCTTATCTAGAGAATGCATGGCAAACAGAGGACCTTCATGTGCTTTTACAGTTTTCTGTAGAGTAGTACCATTCCAAACAAACACATTACCATCACTGCCACCAGAGTAACATATGTCTGCTGCTTTACCATAAGCAATACACAGCATGTCACACAGCTTGGCTATATTACCTAATGTACCTCGTACTGAGGTAAATCCACCTCCTACAGAAGAAATTATTGACATGTAAATTAAAAAATTAACTATAGTACTGAAGGATTCATTTATCTTATATCGATACATTTTAATTAAATGAATTCTGACAACACAAAATTATTAAATCAAATTGTATAACCAATTTCCAAAACGCTGGGTCCAATTGCAGACTTCAAAATCCATGAATAATGCAGCTTTTGGGAGTAAGAGCTGGCTTGTTAGCTAAGATTAGGAATAATATGGACAAGTTCGGCAACATATGTCCTCTGGACCGACTTCTTGTAAGCTAGTATGTTATAATTCTGACTAATATAATAAAGAGTGCATGATACACCCGTCACTTTTTCAATGAATAAAGTTCAATAACTCCTCAATGTCAAATCAGAAATTTATAAAAACCTGAGGGAGATAGATATAAAACAGACACCAAAGTTTCAAGAAAACTGCATAAAGCATTTTTGAGTTATTGTCCGAAAACTGGAAAATCACCCTTTTATTTTTTAATAAAATCACATACATTTGACATAACTCGGAAACATAAAATCTAAAATTAAAAAAAGAAAAAAGGAGGTTACGTCAAAAGATATAAACAATTCACCAAAGTTTCATGAAAATTGGTTAAAGCATTTTTGAGTTATTGTCAAACATGTTGAAGACGGACCTATGGACGGACGGACGGACGGATGGATGGACGGACGTACCGACAGATGGATGGACAACAGTATACCATAATACTTTTGATAAACTGGCATATAAAAATATGGAGATGTTGTCACATTTGTGCTGGACATTTAGCATCAATTATTCTATCAGTCATATGTTATTCTTGAAAAGGTAATTTCCCTCCTATTCTATATGTTTCTACCTGTTTGTGTCCAGAATTTAATGTGTTTCACTCCAACAGTAACAAGCTTGGTATTATCAGAGGGATTCCACTTTATCACAAATATTTTGTCTTTATGACCTCTGAAAAATAAAACATATATATATGCAGATTTAAACCAACTAATTTTTCTTAAAGAAATTTCCTTTCAAAATAAATTTTAACCACAACAAATTACCAAATGCAAAATAATTTCAATAATCAAAATGTGCATTGTCTGGTAATTGAAAAAAAATAACAATGACTTTTCTATTTGTATTGGTACTGTGGATTTGTTATTGTTTCTTGGATAATAATTTTTTGGTAAAGCTGAGCTACAAAATGAAGTTTTCAATGATATAGATATTTCCTTTTATCTTAAGGTGGTTCCAAACACCTTGACTAAAATTAATTTGGCTCGTTTAATATTCATAAAATTTTGACAAAATATTTACTTTGACCGTTTGACAAAAATATAAAAATTTCAAAATACTTGAACCATACCCTTTATCGGAAATATTTTATTGGATATATAGCAGTTTGACAAACACTAATTTTGATCATTGAGAAGCTTTTATATTTCCTTAACAATAGAACGTGATTAAAACATTGAGCTGATTTTTACAGAGTTACCTCCCTGTAGGGTTATGTACCACCTTAATTAAAAGGATAACAACTTTCATATTCCCGCCTTGTCACAGATAATTTCAAAAGAGGAGCCTAAAACAAAGTAGTTGGAAAAAGTCAATCTTTATTTTAAAATGTCCAAAATTATTTTTATGTCCTATGACCTAACATTTGAGCCATTGCCGTTAAATCATGACCTACCAGAGAATTTCTACATGTTGGCAATCCTATGAATTACCCAAATAAATTGTAATCTGACTTTTACCTTGTAGAAGCTAATTTCTCTCCCTTTCTCCAGTCCCAAACTACAATAAGATGGTTGTCATCCAAACCAACTGACGCCAACTTTTTACCGTCACCTAAATAAAAAATATCAAACTTTTAGGCTATTTTCATAAAACAGTCTATTCTTTTATGTTTGAAATTTTACCTTAATAAAAAATGCATATATTGAAAATTAATAAAATGGTTTACAAGTGTAAATGAGTGCTCCCATACAATTTCAGTTTAATGTAGCAAATATGCTTAAGTCCACTTTTCCACATCTACTGACAAAAACTATTTCTTCCCCAGTTAAATTCCTATCCCAAAATACAAATTTTTTTTTTACACTAACATCTTTTATTTTATTCAAGTAAAATGAATAAACATTTACCTGAAAAATCTACAGCACAGACACCTCTCTGATGTTGACCTTTAAGTACTGACAATGTTTTCATGGATTCAGTATCCCAGATATGTATAGTTCCATCTCTACCGACCTGTTGTATAGAAAAATTCAACAATCTATATGGCTAAACAGGTATTGTTGTACATGTATTCCCTTATTCCTGGTTTTAAAAAAAATATATTGATCTTTGAGAAAATTGAGTGTGTTGCAAATCAAATCAATAAATCAGATACATTGTGTAGGGCATTTAAAAATAACAAACAAATTAAAGTACTTCTTTAGCAAATCTTTTTATAAAAATTGAAGAAATTGGCATGTTTCAAAATCACTGTCAAATGAAATCAATTATTCCAAAACAATGAGTTGATCTTTAATTAACTTTCTGTAGAAATCAACATGTTTTAAGTATTGCAGGACAATCAAATTTAAATCTACAAAAAAAAAAATTCAATTGAAATTTACAATACTAAAAATATGCTCCTCTAATATTGTCATAAGTGTTCTTAATCTACTACTATATTGTTTGAATGTATATATGTGCTTAAATACCCTGATAACCCATTTGAATGCCTGTTTTGAGGTGTTCTGTTTATATGATAAAGAATTTCAAAATTCAGGTCAACACCTCTCATGGGGGATATCCCTCATAAATCAGGATAGTTGGCAGGTTTTTTTTCAATTTTAAAACTCAGAGCTAAGTATATGATGTAACATGATATTATTTCCCCATGTCAATAACGTTATAGAACGGGAGACATGAGAATAAGCTGCAAGAAATGTGATCTTCAGTCTGACTTACTGATTGACTGAGAGTCACAATTTCTGTAAAAAGATATGACAACATCACTTTTCAACATAAAATTTGAATTTACAGATAAACAGATGTTTCAATTAAAAATTCTAAAAAACACAAATGCAACAAGTTGAATTGTGAGCTTTTTCTCACTAATTAGTCCCCTTCTATAAGTATACGGACACAGGAAGTTGCACAACAATGAATCTAAAAAAAAATGCATCACACAGTAAAGCATGCCCACATGAAGCTTGATACTAAATTTTAGGATTTTCTGATTTGTAGATTCTGAGAAAATTTAAACCAAATATATCTGGGACAGACGAGAGAACGTAAAACTATTTTTTTTTACCCCCTCCTCCTTTGAATCAGAGTATAACTAGCTTATAAAAGCAATTATTAGAAACTCTTAAAATGTTGTCTACTGCACTCAAACACAAACTGTAAATCTATAACACTGACCTGTCCAGTGGCTACTATATCCTTGATAGGATGCAGACAAAGACATAGTATATCATCAGTATGTCCCAAATAAAACTTCTGCGTTTTCAGTCTGTCAAAAACTATACCCGTGGCTGCTACATGATAAACAATGTCTCCATTCTGGAGATAAAATAAGTTGTTTCTGCAATCATAGCCTCTGTACCTGAAACATAATTAGCAAACATTGCATTTTTTTATTTCAACACTCAGAAATTAATGTTGACAGACTTAACAGCATGTATGGAAAAAGAAGATATTCTAGATTTATCTTTACAGATAAAATTCACCACTTGAAAGTCATTAATTTTTTTTCTTTCACACTTGATAAAAAAATTAATGGAATATCCTTTAGTAAGCAAGCCATGCATAAAGTTGTATTATATCGAAAAATAAAAGCTGTTATAGAGAATGCTTACCCATGAACATATTCCAATTTAAGACTGGATGTTGGGCCATGTTTTCTTTTCTTCCCTCCTGTTACACCCTTCTCTAGCTTCTGTAATTTAGCTGCATCCTCTCTATAAACTTCCCGATCATATCTAACCTGTTTCTCCTGTTCAAGGTCAGAATCAAGGTCACCGACATCAGATATATCTGTATCACTGTCTTCACTGTTAGAATCTAAGAAACCTACAATCAAAAATATAATTTTAGCATGAGTGTAGCTATGGCAAAATAATAAGCAACCCTCTTTCTCAAACACAAATGAATCTGTGAAAAAGATAAGATTTGGCAAACAATAGATAAATGTGCCTGCCTTTTGCTAGACAATAAAAGTTCATATCAGCATTTTGCTATACAATTAAAGTTCATCCCAGCCTTTTGTTAGACAATATAAGTTCATACCAGCCTTTTGCTAGGCAATTAAAGTTCATACCAGCCTTTTGTTAGATAATTAAGTTCAAATCTATATCACTCTGCATGCTTGTAATAAATTCTTAACAACAATACAACATCTCGATAGTTTTCATTTAAAAAAATTGTGAGACATATCTTAAAACACTTTATGAGATTCATCATCCAAAAGTCAGAGTGAGGCTGTCAATATGGAGTAAAAGCTGACTGCAAATTCAAGATGGCCCCTAGCTTCAATTCAAGCAGAACTATTTGCTAGATGTCGATATGTCTACACAACAGTCATTTAGTTTTTGAAATGCTAAATTCATGCATACAGCTCCTGTCATAAATTTTATACCTGATTGAGGATCTGGTAAATCACTAGAGTCTGATGATCCGTCTGGAAGAAATCTCCACTGAAACACAGCATGATCTGCTCCTCCTGTTGATATCACACGATTTCTGTCATGTGAAAATCTGACATTTGTCACATGGGCAGAGTGTCCTATATACTTCCTGAATTTGGCACCTGAATAGAAAAAAAAATGTTGATCAACATATCATTCCTCAAGCTTTGTACTGTATATACCATTTACAGTAAATTCAGAAATTATTTGCGATATTTTTATTATTGGGAAAAATGCAACAGTATCAGGTTTCGCAATTGTAAAAACTCACATTCATAATTTTAGTAGTGATCTTCCTTCACAAAATGTTTGCTATCACATTAATTAAGATTTTGCATTTTTAACCAAAAATCAGTGATTCACAATAATAAATGCACACATTAATATCTGAATTTACAGTATCTGCTTCAATTACACATTTAATTTCTAGCTATATTAGTATTCAATGGCTCTTTACAAAAAAAAATATAGTGTAAATTGAAATGTTCATTACATACGGGTATTTTTTCTCATTAGATTTTGTGTATATGATAGTCACAGCTTAGTAGCACGGAAATTTAGAGCAGTAAATATTTAACTGCACACATTAAATGCATTTGGCATGTCTAAATAACATGAATTATAAACCTGTGTGAAAAATTAACAATGCCTTTTTACTCCACAAATGCAAATCAAAGCTGAATTCCTGATGTATTTTTAGATGAAAAAAAAAAATGGAAATGAAAAGAGGATGAGAATCTAAAAATTATTATTCTGTGCCCTTACATTATACTATTACCTTTTTTGAGAGAAGGAAACTTAAACAATTTGACAAGACCAAAGTCGTCGCCAGTGACAATAACTTCTGAATTATAGTTAGCATCTGTAGCATTGACATCGTTTGTGTCTGTATACTTTTCCCATATACCATTAACTTCAGCTCCTAAAACTCCAGTAAAGGTGCACCATCTAATGTTGGCTTTCTCTTCTTTATTTGTTACCTGTTTTCCACCTATAATATTAAAAATATGTAAATATTGATAATAGTACCCAGGTACTGTGAATATATTGTCTGATTTTTACATCGCGATGACCTTGAGGTCATCCCGATGTATTGCTATCGCCTAGATTTCCATTATGTAAATTAGTTTTGGGTTTGTAACCGATCTATAAACATGATAAATACGCGCACATAAACGAGTGCAAAATAACATTCCTTATCGTTTGATATAAATACATCTCTTCAATGAATACTGATAAAAATATTTTTGTTTACAACATAAATTGATAATATGAAAATGTTTTGTAGTTAGATATATATATATAAGTAAAAAATCATTGATAATATCAATGCACACGTACCGAAAAATTGTGTTAAAGCATGCGGAAGAATATCTCAAAGAACGTTTTGTGAAAATACCGTCAAGGACCGGTAACTCTGTAATTGATTTTGCGGGAAAATATGAATGCCTACTCGTATCCAATCTTAGAAAAATCGAATTTTTACAGAAAAGTGTCCACCATGCACTTGCATTGCACTATTTTTAGAATAGTAGAATAGAATGATATACAAATGGATTCAAATCATATATATATGTAACTGTTATTTTAATGTAATATAAACAACAACTCAGTGTATACTGATTTGTATCACTACAATATAATAGTTATTACGGTGAAGTTGAATTTCCTGTCATTTATTCATCATCCACGCACGAACTTGTCTCAGAAAAAAATATATCTCTACATTAACCTCAGTTTTAGGTAAAGAGATATGTTGTTTTTTTCTGAGACAAGTGCTTTTGACCATCCTCAAGAACTTGTGGTCATCCGATGTTCAGTACTTCAGTACTTTGATTTTTGGCTGTTATAGGAATGGATGCATGAATGGATTGTCATTCACAACAGTGAATGATATCAACTTAAAATTGAAATGAATAAAAGAAAATTTTGGGTAAACCTCGATGAGACAGCAACCTAACAAAAATGCAGATAAAAAAAACAGAGATTCGAGTCTCATGTAAAAGTTTTACTTTATCCTTGACCTTTTTTCTGTGATGTCAATTTATCTAAATATCTCCTCAATTCAAATCCAAATTTCTATTTGAATTTTCTCTATTTTTCTTTTTCTATATTTAGACTCAAGATTCTTATGTGCATTTTTGCAAGTCTTAAAAGCGTCTTTACATAAATTTTATATCTAGGAATTTTCTGGGACTAATACATTTATCTATTGATCCATGGCATTTTGTGAATAAGAAGTGTAGCAGTTCCATTGTTACATTTTAAACACAAAAATATTTCAACCAATAAATGCACTTACTAGGCATCTTATGAATGAGTCGTTCTGCAGCTCCACTATTTGTTTGTAAATATTTACTATCCTCCGACCAATCAATATGTGTTATAAAACTTGAACTACCACTGCATGTACCAACATGCTTGTATCGTTGATCTGCGGCATAAATGTCCACAAAATTGTCATTTGATGCCACTGCTAAAAAATTTCCACAAGGTGAATATTTCATTTCATGTAATACTTCCTTTCTGTCCTTTGTTTGAAATACTTCTGACAAATCCCTGTAAAAGAAAAAATAAAACTAAATAGTTTCAAAAGTTCCAGCAACCTCTATCAGCAATAGATTATATAAGAATAGAAAAGAATATAAACACAGGTACCAATATTATTATAAACCCAAAATCCAAACAGAGGCAACTAATTGAAAGTAAATACATCAAATATCAAAGGGTAAGTTAAAATTTTAAGAAAAACAAATACACATCTGTTTTAACTGTAGTCTCTGATGCATGATTTTTTATTGTTAATTGATTTTGGCTTTTAAATAGCTTGCAGTACTTGCGAGTACTTTTAAATCGTACTTTCATGTTAATTTGACCTGTTGACACAATTTGTAATGCATTTCTGTAATTCAATGTTTACTTATTTTGTGTTATATCTCGTCTCACTATTTTTAATATGTACCACCTTTGATAAGTATTTAGTATTACAATAAATTTTCACTACTGTACTCATACTCTGAACAACATATTAATTTTGTAAAAAATTTTTACTTCCGTACTCCTAACAACAAAATTATTATATTTAAATTCACCTGTGTACGTTTTTTTATTTAACACCATTTTGTCCCAGAGTTGTCTTATTGATACTCTTCCTAAATCTTTTTTATTACTACCTGTAACGTTTATGTTATATAGGCACCTACGTTTCAATATTGTATTTATATTGTGTCATAGATCAAACTTATTCGTTCAGTGTATGTTTACTTGTTTTAGTGTGTCTTTTTATGTTGTAATGTTACACTACTGTCTCAGGTTAGTGTGAAGGTTGGCGCCTGTCCTAATTCAGGAGCCTGTTGTTCAGTTTTGTTGGTGAGATTCATAGGTGTTTCTCGTTTATCGTTTTTTATATAGATTAGAACATTGGTTTTCCTGTTTGAATTGTTTTACACTAGTCATTTTGGGGCCCTTTATAGCTTGCTGTTCGGTGTAAACCAAGGCTCCGTGTTAAAGGCCGTACTTTGACCTATAATTGTTAACTTTTTATACATCCTGACTTGGATGGAGAGTTGTCTCATTGGCACTCATACCACATCTTAATATTTATATCAAATGGATGATAGCCACTCCCGATTGAGTTATTAATCCAGTAATAATTTTTATGAGGAAAAACCATGAAAATTTTCCCTTTTTTAGCAAATATTAATAGTAGCAATTTTCAAGTCACGTTTTTACTCATAAACAAGAGCTTTTTGTTGTAACTAATTAATCTGTTATTTATAAATTCAATATGATGTAAAACTTGATTTAAATTTTCATATTAATGCAACATACCTTGTTTTCAGGACCATGAAAGAGCCATCTGTAAACCCCACAGCTAGATGATTCCCTTCATTGTCAAATGTACAAGATCTGATCTTTTGTTCAAGTGTTGTTTTTGACAAAATTTCAAATTTGTTTAGGTTCCACAACCTATTAAATATAAATGTAAATGAGAGGTCAACATTGAAGCAAATGGAAAAATCATGCATCAGCAAAATTAATGGATAAACACATGTTTCTTAGAGTATTTTCAATGGTTAGCCCTTTCAATTTGACGTTGTTTTGATATGTTTTTGCCGTTTACTAATTTTGTTGACGTATTTATATAAGAGAAGATTCAAATTTGAGATATTCTTGACAATTTATATTTGCATTATAATTCTACTTGCAAAAGTCACTTAAATAATATGATTATGATAATATGATGCTCTATCACCCATAAGTTTTTAATAACTATATATTTTGAGATATTTTTCATTAATATTCTTTCTTTGAAGTGTATCAAATCTTAGGTTGAAGTTAATAGACAATTTACCTTATTCAAGCTTTTTTCAACTTTGAGAAGCAAAACTTGTAGCTACTAAAATATTTCAGCAATATATATAGAATTCAAAAAGAAGCACAAATTGCTTGCTACTTTTTTTTTTTTTTTAATTATAATTTATGTATTGTAATTTGAATGCATGTTATGCAGTTTTTTCCTCAACCAATTTTTGTTAGCTTTCTTCTCTGTACCTTCTGTTTTCCCATTTTAAGTGGAAAGGTTGAATACACAAAATATAAGAATACCGGTAACCTTTCCTTCTATTAATGTGATTGACCAACAATAGGAACTTCATCATCATTTTTGTTTATCTATTTCTTAATGCTTTAAGATACTCAAATCAAGACATTCAAATGTATCAATGACATTGACACAAAACACGTTCATAATCTATATCAGACCCTACCTGACTGTCTGATCATCACTCCCTGTGGCAAATATTGGTTTCTTCGGATGCACTGCCAAGGCCCATAACTCTCCTTCAGCATGTCCTTGCACCAGACAGATAGGTTTGTCTCGATCCCTGACACCAATTTCAAATATCTCGCTGTCCTGTGTCCCTACTAAAACTCTATCTCCTCTCCAACATACACTTCTCACACACAAACCTGACAATATAAAAAAATCATCCATGTTTTATTGACATTTAATTTCAAGGATTACTGTGGAGTTATTTATTTTTCGTGGGTACCAATTTTCGTGGATTGAGGAAAACTTGCATATTCGTGGATATTTAAATTCGTGGTTTTCGCAAAGTCTGCATTCAATCCTTTAGAAAATTTGTATTTCGTTGAACATTTAAATTCGTGGTTCCCCTGTACCCACGAAATCCACGAAAATTGGTATCCAACGAATATTAATGAATCCACAGTAACTTATATTCTTTCATTGTTTCAGAATTCCAATAGGGAACATATCTTACATTATTGTAGTAAATAAACCATTTTTTTAAGACGTTTCGGCCAATTACAGAAGATACATTGAAGCACAGTGGATGCAAAGACTAAATACAATTAGGCCATTTGGCGTCAACATTATTAAAAAAGATTAACTTTCATTAATCTAATTCCATATACTTAAACTTTCATTCATAAAACAACATTACGACGTCATGTTATTGTGATGTCAAATTATTTTGACATCATAACATCACCAAGGAAGTAAATCTATAACATTTTAATAATTGTGAAAGTAAAATGTCTATCATGTAGTGAAAAAGGATAATAAAGAAACTGAAGAAGGCCAGTGGCGGAAACGTCTTAAAAAATGGTTTATTTACTACAATAATATATTCTTTCAGGCAAAACTTTTAAATCTATGATTGATATATTAAGATACATAGTTGAACCAAACATTGTAGAAACCCCATATAAACAACTGTGGATTCATAATTAATCATTAAAATACTAATTAGGTGGATTTCATGGAACCACAAATTAAAGTCTTCATAGAAGTACATGTTTCTTGTATGCTTGCAGGCACAATTAGTCAACCCATGCTATCAGATATCTTTAAAAATACAGTTTTTCATTATTCCAAAAAAACAAAAACAAAAATCCCCAGTTAATGATATCAGTGAGAATCAATACTGTAAATTCAGAAATTAATGCGAGGTTTTTATTAATGCAAATATTTCGACTCCTTGATTATCGCAATAATAAGAACTCACATTCTGATACTGTGGATTCATTTATTTTCATGGATACCAATTTTCGTGGATTGAAGAAAATTTGTATTTCCATGGATATTTGATTTCGTGGTTTAGCAAAAATCAGCATACAAGCCTATAGAGAGTTTGTGATTCGTTGATCATTTAAATTCTTGGTTTACCTGTACCCAACGAATAATAATGAATCCACAGTATATGATACATATATATGTAAGAAACTTTTCCTTAATCAATAATTAAACTCGCTTTTTTGTTAATTCTTCAAAAATCGCAATATAAATGCACGCAGTAATTTCTGAATTACAGTATGCAGACACACAATAGTAATATTTGTTCGGGTGCCCATTCTTAATCAAAGGCAGATAAGTTCTTCAAAAGCAATTATTTCTAAAAATCTAGTTTGTTACAATTTTTTGAAAAAAGGATGAAATTTTTTGTCATATTTTCTTTAAATCCATGTCGATTGTTACTGAAATTTGTATATAAAAAGTAATTTGAAGTCAGAACCCCATTGTCTGACATATTACCTTTGTAGCCCTCAGGACTGTTACCAATATTGATAGAAGTGATACTTTTGAAATCAGGATCCCACAGTTTAACACATCCATCTTTTCCTCCTGTAGCATATCCACTCTCTCCTATATCTAATGTATATATAGCTCCCTGCAAAATAAGTAAAGGTGGGTCAAACGATTATCTCCCTTGTAAAAAGCAGTTAATCCTTTGTTAATTTTTTTTAAAAATAGGAACTACTAATCATAGCTCAGGCTCTCAAGTGAAAGCATTTGATTTTATATGAGGATTTTTTTTAGTTTCAATAAAAACTAAATTGATATTCTAAAATAATTTTAAGGAAAAGAACTTGAATGTGACAAAATATTGAGTATGCATGTTAGATATCAAAATTTAATGATGAATGTCTGACATTCAAGGGGAAAAATAACTAATGCTTACTTATGAGGGGAAACAGTAACATGGTAACAAAGTCCAAATATGTACTTAATAATATTAATTTTGAAGGTTTACCACTCTTATTGCTGTCTTTCATCTTGTAAGATGTTGGAAGATCTGTAATAATGACAGAGACTTTGCACCTTATAGCAAAGTAAAGAAGTCCTTCATCCTCAAAGAATCACGGTTTTCACAGCATTTAAAAAAGATATTTACCGGTATATTTAAATTTAAAAACCTTCTTTAATACTAAATTAATGCCCTTACTTGATGAGCTCCAGCAATAACATTATCCAGATTATTGCCTCTCCATATATAAACATCTCCACTCAGGGTACCAGAATATGTTGTGTCATCAGGACCAAAGGCCAAACACATCATGGTCTGTATCTCACCAACTTTACCAAACACACCTTTCTTAGGAGTGAGAGCATTACCGCACATTGACCAGAACTTGATGTGCTTCACACCACAGCTTACAATTGTGTTATCTTTAAACAGGTGGAATTGTACGTCGAAAACCTGAAAAGTTAAAGAAAAAACATATAAATTAATAAACCATTATGAAGTTTTCTTTGCTTTTATTTCTGTAAGGTTGAACCAATCTTTCAGCACATTTATATCATTGTTAATTTTATCAGTGGAAAAAATCAGAATGCCTAGCATAAAATGTGCTAAGAACATACTAACAGTAAATACCAATCTCTCTTTAACTATTACATTTATTTCTTTCAGTTTGTATAAATTTTACAAATCAGTTTTGCTTTACTACAACAAATTTCTATTCTAAAAATTTGTAAGTAGATACTATCTTTTGATTGTAAGAAGTTTCTGTTCAAGTTTGGTAAAAATCCAAGAAGGTTTATGAATCTAATAAATGTTTTAAAAACTTTAACTGCAGACTGTACGTAATGTTAACTGGAATAAAACTAAAGTTCATTTATAAGTAATATACGGAAAAACAGGAAATAAATTTTTACAAAATTTCCTTCTAGATTCTAGCTAGATCATAAACAAGCTTCTGTCCAAGTTTGGTACAAATCCAGGATAGTTTAAGAAAGTTATTAAAATTATGAAAGCTTTAACCACAGAGTGAATGTAATGTTAACTGGTAGAAAAACTAAGTCCATATATGAGTAAAATACGGATAAACAGGATTTTTTTTTACAAAATTTTCTTCTGGATACTACCTTATGATTATAAAGAAGCTTCTGTCCAAGTTTGGTACAAATCTAGGATAGTTTAAGAAAGTTCTTAAAATTTGAAAAACTTTAACCACAGAGTGAATGTAATATTAACTGGCAGAAAAACTAAGTCCATTTATGAGTAAAATACGGATAAACAGGAATTTTTTTTTTACAAAATTTACTTCTGGATTCTATCTTATGATCATAAACAAGCTTCTGTCCAAGTTTGGTTGAAATGCAGGATAGTTTAAGAAAGTTATTAAAATTTCAAAAACATTAACCACAGAGTGAGTATTTGTGGCCACCGCCGCCGCCGCCGACAGAATGTAGGATTGCTATGTCTCGCTTGTGTGACAAAAGTCGCAGGCTCGACAAAAATAACATATTTGTAATACATGTATCTCCTTTGTTTCAGGTTTTTGCATCTATCATGTCTTTTTAACTTATCTCCCTTGATTTCTTGTGTTTTCTGGGTAACCCTTAAAAAAGTCCTTGTTTGATGTTGCCTACCCATGCCTTGTAGAGTTGGATAGGTAGGTAGGGGTTTTATTTTATTTTTTTGGCCAACAACATAAGTTACATGCTTTAGACAAAGAAAAGGACGTTAAGACATGAAAAAATATGTGAAAAAAAAAATATGAATCTATTTGTGTCATAAAATGTTTATGAGGGTAGGCTGCTGTTTGGGTGGGTAGGTAGGAAAAATCAATCAATTTGAATTTTATTTTTGGCCCTGTAGCAATATACATTGATTACATGTATCTACATGCTTTTTTCTTCTATTTCTGAGTCATCAATTTAATGTGTCAGTTTTTGTTTTAATTATTAGAAGTATGTTTTTTTTCCAGGAAGTATTTAAGATTTATTAACCAGTTAAGAAAGTTGACCAAGTTTTCTTAAAAGAGATTAAAGTACATTATTTCACTTCAAATTTGAGTTAAATTAGTAAAACTATATGCGCAAAAGTCAAAAGTATAAAACTTATCTCATTCATATTTACGACATAATACATTTGTACTTACAAGGATTCATAAGTGTGTACTACATTTTAATACCTTAACAACAACACAGCAGTCAATGGAATGCTGTATAAACACTAAAAGTGTGTATCAAACAATAAAATAAGATTGAGACCATAAATGCGCAACAATTATGATAGAAAATTCTCTGCCTCAAAAATATATATAAAACAAACATAATTTGTTTCACATTTTGTTATGTCAGGGCCATCTATAGCTTGCTATACACTGAGTATGGGTTTTGCTTATTATAGAGAGGTTGTACAGTAAAATATAATTGCTAACATCCACATCATTTGGTCTCTGGTAGATAGTTGTCTCATTGGCAATCCTACCACATTTCCTTATTTCTATAATAATCACAATGATAATGAGTGTTTTTAAACACGAATAAGACAGCAATCAAACAACACACTTTTACCATAAATCTTCAGCAATTAACCAGTGCCCAAAATAATACATTTAACATGACAACCTCTAATTAGTCCTTAGTCTAATCAAGCTGTGAATGAATTCAAGAAGATAACTTACACTATCTGAGTAACCTCTAACTGATACTATTAATCTTAAAAAGATTTGAATAAATTCAAGAAGACTACTTACTCTATCTGAGTGACCTCTAACTGATGCTAGAATCTTTCCTTTCCTCCAGTCCCACACATTTATTGTGGAATGTGTGTCCAGGCCTACAGAAACAACTCTCTAAAAATAGAAATACAATTTTTAAAGGAATAATATTCACACATGATACTGAGAAACAAATGAAAAGAAAATTTTACAAATTTTGGTGGAGGGACGAGGCCATGCCATGATACAAATAGAACTTCTGACAAAATATAAAATACAAAATCACAAACGCATTGTGTATCAGTAAAATGTTTCTGCCTATTTCATATATTACAGTGTCATGAGTGTGGTACATGTATCAGGTAATCTTTGTATCATTCCATAATAATGTATTTTCAGTATTATTTTCTTGTGTTTTTTATTCATACACAGATCTGGCCTATGTAAGACATCCCATACCATGAACACAGTGCTGTCATAATATTTCATTATGTTAATTTCAAAAAAAAGATTATCTGACTCTTTTATCTAGAACTGCACTTTGTACATTTTTAGTGTAGAATTCAGTCATATTCAATAAAGGTGTCACCATAATAATATCATAAAAGTGCTGAATAAAATGGAAAACAATATCTTTATTCTACTTAATTCTTAAATTTACAAAAAAATTGATGAGCAGCAAAATATAAATGAGATATCAAATGGTATACACGTTTTTCCAAAAAAGGGAGAGAAAAAAAGAAAAAGAAGAGGTGTTGTACCCAAATTTATGTAACATTTTTTTAAAATAATTGATGGAATTTTATAATTAGTAACAAGCAAGTTTAAAAACCTAAATAAAAACAAGAAGATATGACCTTCATATAATCATGTCAAGTGATTTTAAGTGTTTCCTTTTTATAATATTTTTACAACACTTTGTCTGTCTGATTACATAATATTATGTTCAAATTATGTCAGGACTAAAATAAGACTCATTACAAACAAAATTATTTCATAAGAAAAAGAATAAATATAACACATGGTTCAATTCAAATTCTAATATGACGTCCTATTATCGTCAACCAGTATAATCACAATATATCTACCTTTAGCGTAAACGCAGTAATACACAAAAACAGCTGTTCCGCGTTACGACCAACTTATTTATACTACCAGATATTCTCAATTTTCTACATCAAAACCCCAAGTTTACGTAGGCCAAGATTCAGATACAATATATTTATCTCTATTCTACAGCAAAATAAACAAATCAGTTGATTTCAATTTATTTTTCATGGTAAAATTTCATAAAACGAAAATTCCGCAAAATGATGTTATTGTCTTGGCATGGCAACGAAACAAGGTGACGTCACAAGTATGTTTTCGTAAACAAAAAATCAAATGTAAATACCGGGCGTTTTAAAGCTTCTTGTATGCCTCAGAACGAATAAAATTACATTGGAAGAAAATATATAAGTGAAAAATGCGATTAAAAAAAAAATAATCATTGAATTATATAATATTACTAATATTATCAAAATTGGGTAAAACGGAACAGCCAAAACAATATTGTATGTATAGGGCTTTCACGGTTAACAAAATTACCGAATTTGTCCTATTAGAATCGAAATAATTCATGGCAGCCGTAGATTTGTTTTCATTTAACCATGGGTTGGGCATTTATATTCGATTATTTTACCCTCAGCTAACGCTAAAGCTGAGGGTAAAATAATCGAATATAAATGCCCAACCCATGGTTAAATGAAAACAAATCTACGGCTGCCATGAATTATTTCTTAAACAATTCAAAACATACATGTATGCTATAATTTTACATACCCCACCATCTTTATCAAAACCAATAGCAGCAATACCATTCTGGTGTCCATCTTTAAGCATGGATAAAGTTTCCATATTGTTTGTGTCCCATACACAGATGAATGGACTCTTTCCTGTCTGTCCTGTGGCAACAATGCTCCTTTCAGGATGCATGGCAAGACTAAAGAAGAATTTAGACAGTGTAAGACATATATGTCTTTTAGGTGCATGAAAACATCATGAACAATTTCCTCAAAGTTTGTAAAGTCAATCATTCATTTAAAGAAGGTTTAAAAGTTCATTATAATTATGGTTTCATAATTATAACAGTGTGTATTTGTGTCAGTAGTCATGATCAAACACAAGCCTTCAACCCAGGGCAGTTAACATCTCTAATCAGGATGACCAATCAAATCAGTGATCTCCAGTAAAAATTCAAAAAGTTTATTTTGGAATTTTAAAAACTTTTATATAGAACCTGTTTCCTGAAATTTAAAGCATCAGAATTTTTTTTTTGTAATCAAACCTCAGTCAGTGCAAAAACGCTCCAACCTTAAAAAAAATCAGTTTGGGAATGTTCAAAATATACGTTAGATGTATGTAAGTATTTTCTTGAGATGGGCTGTGCAGCTAGAAGATTTAAAAGTTTGAAAACAGACTGAAACCTAAGAGAATTTCAAACCTGCTGCTCAAATGCCCTTCTGAGAATATTTTTTGTAATGATGAAATTTAAAAAAAGATATGTAAATTAATTTAAAAAAAACCTTTTTCATCCCCTTAATGGTCTTATTGTCAAACAGGAAAAGTCTAAATGTTCATGACAGAACTTATATACATAAGTCAAATCCTTTAAATGCAGTGGTGCATTTTCTAAAAATAGGATTGTGCAACAACAGAATCACAACTTTATGTTTATGAGGGTATCAATTTGAGGGAGTTAAAAATAAACACGGTGTTGCACAAATTATTCCCAATCCTAGTCAAAAATATATACATAGATATAAGAAGATGTGGTATGAGTGCCAATGAGACAAATCTCCATCCAAGTCAAAATTTATAAAAGTAAACCATTATAGGTCACAGTACGGTCTTCAACACGGAGCCTTGGCTCACACCGAACAGTAAGCTATAAAGGGCCCCAAAAATTACTAGTGTAAAACCATTCAAATGGGAAAACCAACAGTCTAATCTATATAAAAAACGAGAAACGAGAAACACTTATGAACCACATCAACAAACGACAACTACTGAACATCAGATTCCTGACTTAGGACAGGTGCAATCAAATGCAGCAGGTTTAAATGTTTTAATGGTACCAAACCTTCACCCTTTTTCTGAAACAATAGTGTAACATCACAACATAGAAAAACACACTATAAAATATCAACTGAAATAGCTTAACTCAATCAAAGGACATATTAACACCAGTGAACAAACACTGAACAAATAAATTTGACCTATGATACAATGTAAATACAAAATAAATAAACTAAGGGAAGATTAATAAAAGTAACATGATTTATCGGTATGAAATGTTAAACAATTTAAGAAAAACAATAAGCTCGAACAAAAATATAAGCCATTTGCAATAACTTTAAACACAGGTAAATGAAAATAATTTTGTTGTTAGGTATACGTGTACAGTTCCAATAGAGAAAGGAAATATTTTTACAAAATAAATAATTTTGATGTTCATGGTACGAAGTGAAAATTTATAGTAATACCAAACACTTATCAAAGCTGGTATATAGACCAGATATAACCCTGATTACATTAAATAACAAAAAAGCATTACAATTAGTATCAACAGGTCAAATAAACAAGAAAGTACGATGTGAGAGTACTCACAGTTACTGACAGCTAGTTAAAAGCCAAAACAGTTAATAATAAAAAATCATGCATCAGAGACTAAAATCAACTAAAACACATTCCAGGGATTTAGTATTTTAACGTCATGGACAGTCAAAGAAGACATGACTATAGTGCAATGCCAAAAAGAAATGTATCGAATGTATGTATTCTTCGTCTGTTGAAAGGGAGCCTGAGGTAATGGTCTTCCTCCAAAAGAAACTTCATTACAACCAAATTAATATTGCGTAAGGGGACTATGATTCTCCACTCTACTTACTGAAGAATTCTTGGGTATACATGTACATGTAAAATGTATCTGTTGCAATGAACAAGACTGTCTTAAATTTTCCAGATTAATAATATTGACCTGATTCTTGCCAAAAAAACTGGAATTGCTTATTAATTACAGAAAAGTCCAGCTATCAACTGCTAGAATTTGTTTAAAAAAGTAAACATCAGTACGTTGATGGTTTTCTGTAACTGAAGAAGAAGATGCACCAACTTTCAATTAAACTTCTTAGCTTTATGCTGATGCAACTGAATGGCCAGAAGCTATCTGAATTTTTTTTTATTTCTCTTTGATTAATATGAACTGAATTTATGATTTTTTAGAGTACTGTCAACACTTATTAAAAAGTTTTAATACCCTTATTTAAAAAATAACATATATGAGGTATGAAGAGACAAGTCCAAACTTGTTTGATAATTATAATTTTTCACATATTTATTTTAATTGATAAGCAATGCTAAACGGTTATATTATGTGGAAATACTGCATTTGCTGCTATGCTTACCATAAGATATCATCATCGTGACCTAAATAAAACCTTTGCTTGTGTTCTGTTTGGTTGTATACTATGCCAACACCCGCAACAAAATAGACGATATCTTTGCCAACATTGTAAAATAAATTATTTCTGCACTGGTGTCCTCTGTATCCATACACCCATTCAAGGCGCAATTGACTTTTCGGTGCAGTTTTTGATGTCATAGCTGGAAAATGTTGATATCTTAAATTCTAAACAAGTTCCAACAACTTCAAGAGTGTTCAGCCATTTTGGACGAATGCCGCCGACAATCACGTGATACCAACAAACAGAAAGTGAAAGTACACATAAGTTGGGACTTTAGTTTCCGGATTCCCCTATTTCAAGTGGTACATATTCTTTGGGCACAACGGAATGGTTTTCACTATTTAATAAAAATATTTACTAAAAAAAAGAACTTTAACTTTACTTTACACCTGAGACTACGATAACACTGTGTTATGGTAGTCTTACTAGTTTACACCAGAGACATATATATGTCTCTGTTAATTTACACACAATTTTTCATTATGAGGAACGCTAATTTCCATTTCTAAATATGTTTGTGGACAGTTTCTATGTAAGATACCGCGGCGCGTTCGTGTGTGTGTGTGTGTTAGAGGGGAGGGGTGTACGTTAGGCGGCAAGTGCCGGCGTACGTGGTGGTAGTTTTGTAAGTGTTAGTGTTATTGGGTTGCTGTCTCATTGGCCTATATCTACGGCGACAGTTTTATTCTCGTTGATAAAATAAATTCAGAGAAGCGTTCTTACCGCTTAATAATGATATCTTTAGAGTTCATTAAAACAATCTAGCAATGGTTTGTTGTCCAACAATCAAGATCGAGTTACTTGCAACAATGAATCTATTTTCCAGAATGTGTATCCGACAAAGGTTACACTTTTCTTGGACTAGAGTTCTTAACGTCTTTTCACCATTTTCGCTGAAAACGTGATCATTTCTGCGACAACTTTGAAATTTCAGAATTATACTAGCGAACGTGGTTCGATTTTTGATATGTATAACTTTCAAGATTGGTTTTAGCTGGGAACAGTATATCTAACATGTTCCTGGTCTTAGTAATATCAGAATAAGTTAATAAGATTCATTTTCATCATACTGACGAAGGATATCTGTAGCCTGGCATCCTGACCCAATTTAATACTTCGTCGACTGTCGAGCAGTGAGCCAGGATCCCAGGCTAAGGATATCTGTTATCCGAAATATTTATTGATACCTGTTTTTACTGTTTCTTTTTTAATATTGGTGTTGTTTGGTACACTTTTTTATGCGTATATTTTATTTTTCTCACTCAGTATCGTTTTGATTTTCATAACGATCCAGCGCCCTCGTAAGAAATTTGTTGAGTAATATCTAGATGTTTTATATATATAGATATATAAGAGCCTAGAAAATCAACCTAAAAATGTTAGAGTTCTGATTCTTTACTTCCTCCCCGACCGGGGCTGGAGTCTGTACTTTTCACTTCATACTTCTACTATATATATATAAACATTAATATAAGACACACAAAAGCAAAATGTTAATTACAGGATAACTTATCATATGATTTTTTGTTCATTAAATAAGATACATGTCATGAGCGGGATATATTACATTTGAATTAGTCTGTACTGGGCACCGACTTAATATGATATAACCAGTACACGCAGCATTTCTTTTTATTGATATGAAAAACTGGAGATGATGAATAAGGATGGGGGAAGGGGGGGGGGGGGGGGGAATCCAGATAGATATTCCCAATCAAAGATTTCTCATCAAACTGGTTAACAAAATAACGTTTTCAATTACTTTCTGCATTGCATATTTTGTTTGAAAATGAATAATATATTTAAAGGAGATGTATATTGGGAGGGGGGGGGGGGGGGGGGAGAGGACCTTTATCGGGACTCCGGAATCGGGTGTTTTTAAGCTCGGGATTTCGGGATTGATCCATTCGGGATCCGGGAATTCTTTTTTCGAATTTCGGGATGTCGGGATTTAAATTTTTTTAAATTCGGGACCTCGGGATTCCATGTTTTTAAGCCCGGGATTTCGGGATCAGGACCCCTCCTACCCCCCTCTACATTGGTTTGAGGAAATGATTACCAGTTGACGGATCATTCCTTTATCCGATCAACACTGTAAAAGGACTTGTAATTGAAAATGTAGTGTTTTGGTGAATCCACTTCAAATCGAAACACATTAAGCTTTGAAAAGAAATATAAACGGCATCTTTTACAATAAACACTTCTTTTTCTTTATTTGGCGTAATGATTATAACAGAAGAATGTATTTCTCTGCCTTAATGTGGTGCTATGTCAGTTGAAAGGTCGAGTCTTTTTTTCTTGTCTTAGAATTTACAAAATGTATTTCAGTTAGTTTATTTTTTTCCCATTTGTATCACGGCCGATTGACATTAAGACAAAAACTAGGTCTTTGGTACTAGCACGATACACATGATACTGGTTAACTTATTGCATTTTGAATCTATAAATAATGCAATAATGCTAATTTAGATTAAAATTGCAAGTCACTTAGTAAAGTTGACCTTCACCTTTTTGCTTGGTATTGCTAAGCCCTTTTTCGTTTAAGCTCGTAAACTTTTATGTATTTAGCATCCAAAATATTTTTTGCGAGCTACCAAAGGAAGATTTTTCCAGAAACATGTGTTTTGTATGGTTTACAAACACTGGATATGAAATTCCGGCTTGCAGACTATTATTTCCAAGGATGCTTCAGTACTTTGTTCAAATGGTATTAGTTTTGAAATTGCCATGTTTGTTACTCTTCTTTAATTGAACTTGTTACTCTCTCAAGCAAAGATGATCTTTGGCTGTATTACTGAGGCCCGCTTTCTTTGTGTGCTCCAAAACTATTTATGTACTAGTATATGGCATACTAGACTTTTTCTCGAGAATATTTGATTACTTTTATTAAAAAAAAAAGGAAAGAAACAAGAACAAAATACAGTCACCGTATTCAAACGGTGCAAAGGATTTTGTTTATTATTCATTTCAAGGAAATAAAGAACTATAAAATAGCACCATATATATATATATATTGTCTAAAACATTTAATATTTGATCAAAAGGATCAGGCCATTTATACAAAGAAGACGAAAAAGAGAATCGAAACCACGTTTCATTTCGTACTAAGCAAAGCTTCACCCAACACTAGTAAGCAATTGAGATACAAAAGGAAACTAATATTCCCCAGCCATGCTAACAAAGTTTAACATTTAGATGTGCGAATTTAGTCATCTCATCTTTCCTCATGCATGCGTCCAACTATTACCAAGCATTTACCGCATGCAACTATCCCTACTGCACAAAAAAACTATTAAACTGGAAGTAGAGCATGGTTTTCTCCCAAAAGCAACCATTGTATCAACTGCCGATCGAAGCCGTTTCCCCTGACGCAGTAAGCCAACGCCCAAATAGCTGTGCTAAAAGAGGGTGCAGCTAATAGAGGCCAGTTATCAATCTACTAGATCAATGGAAGCAGTGTTACATTTCCCTTACAGCAAGTGTTATTTTACCATAATGACGATATCCGACATTAAACCCATGAAAATACAGATGAACATGCGACTCTTTCTGACCAAATCAAACTGATGAGAATAAACAAAATAATAATCTGTGTGGAAGTTAATAAAAGGATATTTGGTATACACAAGCAATAATGCAACCTATCCTATGAAAAAGTGTGACGGAAATATTTTTTGAACGAACGAGAACGGACAAACCCACAGACGGACAAGGTGAATGCAATATATCACCATTCTAGGTATTATTAAAACATATTCTCATAATAATTTACATTTTATCTATGTTTTACGTTCTTTTCCCAAATAAATCATTCATTAAATAAGGTATTAAAAGCATGAAAAGCCTGTGAACTTTTATTTTTGTATTGACAGATATGTACATGTTTGCTTCACTGACAATGGTGACTGCACTGTTCTTATTTGCTTGGCTCTGAAACTCCAATGAGTTAAGATAATTATTAAAAGTTGTATCATAGTTTTTTTTCTTAAGTAAAGTAAAAATGTTTAAGTAATTGTTGTACACATGACCATTTACTAAGTAATTCACACGGGTTTACTCTACCAGATTACATGTATATTCACCCCCTAATCTTACTAGTTAAAATTTACCAAGCAGGAAAAGGAAAATTATCTACATTTGCAATTTTGTCTGAATTAATTGAAGTTTACAATTATTGTCTCTCATCATGACTTCTTTTGAAAATTCTCCAGTATTAAGATAGTTTGGAATGCATTACACATAACTTGCACTTTTTGTTGAATCAGATGAACCACTAGGCATAGTTTGAGTTTCTTCATGAGTACTGTCACGAGACTTTGACCCCATACCGGGAGAGTTCAACAGATTAGCTTCTGCTTCTGATGCACATCCATTTCGTTGGAATGTCTTTTTCCGAAAAATACATTGTAAGAATAAATGTATTGACACAACAGCATATTTTACTGTTGTCATGTAAATGCTTTGAAAAGTAAAATTTGGATAAAATTATCAATACCCTTTTCTTTCTCTCTTCATGTATCTAGATTATTTTTTCTGCTTTTTTGTTCGTGCATGCAAGTGCTTCCACACCAGCCTCGTGTATATACATGTATATATTTATCAAAATAGCATAGACCTTATGCCTAGACATAGTCCACTCGTCCACACCAGCCTCGTGTATATACATGTATATATTTATCAAAATTGCAAAGGCCTTATGCCTAGATGTAGTCCACTCGTCCACACCAGCCTCGTGTACATACATGTATATATTTATCAAAATTGCAAAGACCTTATGCCTAGATGTAGTCCACTCGTCCACACCAGCCTCGTGTATATACATGTATATATTTATCATAATTGCAAAGACCTAATGCCTAGATGTAGTCCACTCGTCCACACCAGCTTCGTGTATACATACATATATATATTTATCCACAGGAAAACTTTTTTACTGCTATAAATATTGATGTAGGCACGGGGGGGGGGGGGTTACTTCGATAAACTTTTGGTAGGGCTGTGCCATTTTTGCCTCAAAATACGTACGGTGTAACCCATTTTAATATAACATTCACTGAAATTCAGTACCTATGGTTATATAAATATTTAAGAAAGAATGACCTATACTTATATACAATATTTGAAATATTACCCATGCTTATATAAGCACTAAATCTATATCATCACTCGTAATTCATAAATATACAGCTTCCCTTTAGTTTTTATATATGAATTGACATCCGG